TTACCACACTTAAGTGAAATTTTATATGTGTATAAAATTATGCTTCTAAAACATTTTTCAAACATCGGAGAATATGTAAAATATGTACTGCAAATATTTGTCCACATTATATGTAATCTTTAAAATGTATACATTCATTTCTTATTGAAAAACTTTATAGAAAATAAATTTCTTATTACCCTTCTTTATTAATATGAAATGTTAATTTGGTAATATCTTTACAAATAATATATTAACTGTAACCTAGTGAAGTGTATTGCTATGTTTTTATGTTAGATATCTAAATTTTGAGATTATCTACTTCATCCTGGTATGTAAAGCTTTTACTTTATTGTTATCTGTCATTTGCAGACAGTGAATTACATTGGAAAAATGTTGATACTAATGATTATTAAGATATTGAAAACAAAGATGCTTTATTATATTCATCATAACAACTTAAGTTAACATTTTTTGTTGGTGATGTTGTTGTTCTTTTATAAAGAAAACTTGGTGGTTAAAATTATTAGATCTTAAATCATTTACATTTGCTATCATTTCTTTAAATCAATGAACATTCCCTACTTATAGACGAAATAGAAATATAGCATAATATTTTTTCTGTAAAGCTCCAAGTATGATAACATCAACACATCACATTGAAAAAGAGAAGTAATCACAAAAAAATTGATTCTGCTTAAGTCATCACTAGCTTGAACGATAACTCAAACTTTCCAGTATCCTCCATGAATATGTCTCAATCAAACCGAGCTTGCAACAATTTTCTATTTTGGGTGCTCTGCAGGCATTCTTATTTATCTATTGAATAAATACTGGTTTAACGAATCATACCATCAATTTAGATATAAAATCTATCTGAAAGAAATTACGAAAATCAATCTTATAAACCTACGGAAGTATAATTAGAAGCGATAATTTTGCTGCAAATTTAATAAGCATCAATTGACAATCAACTTTTTCACTAAATTGCCATATTTGACTAATTTATCGGCTGTTCTAATGAATTGCTGTCTAACATTATTAGATGGTAAATCCTTCCGCTTTATTAAAGGTACTTCACTGATGTATTTTTGTCATGATGATACTGGAAATGTTTCGAGAATTGTGTACCATTTAATCATTTGATGTCGGTGTGCACCGATAACTTTCAAATAATTTCCTCTCCGATTGTTCCAGAATCATATTTTTTATTGTACAAAAAGACAAAAAAATGGAAAGCGTTGCAACGCTTTTCACTCAATTCGGGTTAAAAATCGCACTCAGTATCGAAATTAAGTTTATTTAATTATTATCCTTTGCAGATTTTTTTTCATTTTAATTGCTTCACTTGATATATGTATACAAATCAAATTGAACGTTTTAGGCTACTTGGCCGTAATGGAGCTTCTAAAACTAATGAAATAAACAAATATGAATATAGAAAAACAAATACCTTACACTTATAATTGAGTTATTTACAATGCGTGCTTTTATGTTTTGTTGAATACTTTCCTGTATTTTTAAGTATTTCCTGTGCTAAGGATTCACATTATATACATAATGTCATATGAATCTTTGGTGTTAACTGAATAGCGTGTATTAAAATATGTATTTAAATAAACTTGACAATAGACCTGGTAAAATGGAAATTTCTAATTCCGCTGCATTTCTTTTAACAATACTAGTTCTTCTTGGGCAAAGTTGCAGTGCTGAAGTGCTCAAAAGCTCTGGAACTGCCGGAAAAAATCTAGACGCACAGACGCTTGTGAATTTTGGACGAGAATTTAATGATTCCTTGATCACGATGATTGGAAGAGTTATAGAAAATTATCACGCATGTACTGCGTGGTCAGAATGGACTGAATGTGGCACCACATTAGCTGATTTCTTCTCAACACGAACTAGAACCAGACACTGTGGGGGCAAGGAAGGAAAATACATTCACCGTAATGAAATAGAGACAGGTGTGTGTGAAGGTAGAGCTGAAAAAAGTACGAAAATTTTGTGTCCTTTAAGTTATCATACAACCATGGAAGGATTTTGCTTGAAATTTTATTTGAGCAAAAAAAATAATTTGGATGCAGAAGCCATGTGCAAGAGTGACGGAGGCTACCTCGTCAACATTGATTCTGATCAAAAGTATGAGAGTATCAAGGCTATGTTGATAGCCAATGATATGAAAGCAGATATTCACATTGATGGCAAGCGTGTTAATTCGCAATGGAAGTTTTCATATGGGTCCAAAAGCGGATATTTCCACTGGTATCCTGGCTATCCTCAAAGTCGAGCTGACCATCAATGTTTACGACTAACTGGAAACAGGAAAACTGCTAACGAACGATTCCTCACATATAACTATGTATGCAGTGGGTCTGAAATTGGTCATATTTGCGAAATACCTCTTTATATTTGAATTTGCATGGAAGTAGAACAGTTCTTATATTACTAACTCTTATTGTTTACTGGCAATATTTTATTGCAAATAAAAAGAATATTTATTTAAAGGAGTGTTCTGTTTTGTTGTGCTTACAAAATATTTTATCTATTTGAATATTATTTTTAGACGAAATGAACTGTATTCGATTCATATTATGTTTATCTCGCTAAATGTGTCAAACATACATGTACTATTATACGTTAGTGTTCGGGAGGTCACAACAAGAAAGTCGACAGGCACTCAGGAAAATAAAGGAACTCAGAAAGATATAATATTCATTTGTCGAATTATTTATTGTGACGAATTTTGCTACAAGCTTTCAAATGTTTATCGTTTCATTAGTTCCAGCATTAATAGTATAAGATTCAATATAGTATTATCGCAGAAATTTTTCATTTTGCATTAATGTGTTGGTAATTATTGTAATTATTTGTAAAATGTAAAAGAAAAAATGTTTTGCACAACTCACCGGACCCACTTATAGAAGAGAATATGTATTGTGTTGTTTATTGGTTTGATTTTGATCGAAAGTTAGCTATTACAAATCAAAATACTGTATTATATATTGATTTGTTTTAGTTTGTCCCCGGTATAACATGTAAATGGGTTTCTTAGATTCGAATGAAAACATTCAATAATACTTCTTGGTTTTAAAATCTGTACCATCTCCGCCTTCATATGCGTCTGTACAAAGCAGAGAAATCTACTTACAAAGGTAAAGCAAATGTACTTACAATAATATCATTAAATAAATCCAAATCATGTCTATAGTCATAAACATGCTAATGTCCGGCACAGCGATCAATAGACGAGGGATAAAGAATTAAACAAATTCGTGTTATTCGTTACAAATACTTTTTCAACTAACTGAGCCCCAAAGTTACATTTATTATCAAACAAAAATGTATATGCACATAGCTTAATTGACAGTATGGATAATCCTCATTTTAATTTATTTTGTCTATTATTAGTATACAAAGACCCTGACATGTCTAATTCTTATTATCAGATCAGTGGATAAAATTTCACCACAACAACTTGTTAACAAAAGAGCACATGTCAATGCTTGTGGTTAAAGCTATTGTAATTCAAATTATAAAAGGGCCGAGTAGGGATCTATCAATTTATAAATTTCCAGACCAAATCGTACTAGAATAAACTGAGAATATTTAGTTTTCTTTTCGTCAAATATATTCTTAAGTGAGAACCTATCGCTGGTTAACAAGACAAGAATTAAAAACAGTTTCACTTATAAACTCCAAAACAAGGTAAAATTGAACATTTTACAGTCTCCGTTTGGTTGATGTTAAAGGTAAATGCTAGGTTCCTTCCACGCTAACGAGCAATATCTTAATACAGACTACGGTATTAAAACATGTTATTGTATGCTATTCTGTACACAAGCGAGGAAGCACAAAGTACAATAAAGGAAGGAAATTCAAGCTAGCACACTAAAATTGAAATCATGTAAACAAACTTTCAATGGTTACTTTACAAAACACCACAAAAATGCTTATACATTATCACCAACAAAAGATATCATCTGAATTGTTGGCCAAATTTTAATTACTACGATAAAATTAATATGTACGTGTGAAACAAATTCTAGTTGATTCTTTATCTTATTGGTTATTTAAACTTCCAAATAAAACATTAAGATCGTTAAAAAAAACATTTTTGATATGCGGGTCTGTGGCTACATTAATTTGATTAGACTTATCCTTATTGTCACGGAGCTCATTACATCCAGATGTGAATGAATTATATAGTTCGTGAATATTGAAAGAGTTTTTGTTAAAAGTTGTCTTATATATTATTTCAGTGTTGATATATTTTTCTGGTCCTTCGGGATCAATGATTCCAACACTTTTAAGTGTTCAAAATTTAATACCGCTCAAGCAGGTGTTAGGGGCGTGTAGGATGTTGCACAATTTCATTATCTCTCATGCACAGTATCAATCAAACCGAGTCTGCAATTTTCATGTAATTTTGTTGTGAGGGATCACTCGTTTTCCAGATTTGAATGCATGACGCAAACGTTTGTTTCTATCATTTAATTTCTATTGACACATTGATACAAGATTTACGATTTTTTTTGTAAACTTATCCTTTGTATTGTTTAAGTATTTTATTGTACAGGTAGAAAGGTTTCATTGCTTCACCTCAATGTTGTTTTATTGTCTGATCCTTAGAAATGATTTATTCTAATAAAATATACTTTTAGGATAGAGGAATGAATGCAATTTTACATAGCAGCTACAAGCTTTTTAGATTAGTTTGTAATTTTGATATTCATTGACTTGTTTTGAGACATTTACAATCGTAACTCTATAATTATACTTTCAGTATAGTATTGAAATGTATTTCAGCATTTTTGACCTGGAGGAATGAACACGAAACCCTATGGACCATATTCGATGATAGAAATTTAAACATACATATATTATTTATTTGATATATCAAAGTTGTTTGAAAAACAGCAAATGGGGAAATAATAGGACAAAATTAAAGGAGCACAAACTGTCAAATCTATATATGCTTCATTGAAACATATTTGGATGCATATAAATTAACAACTTACACATTCTTGTTCTACATTTTTATTTTCTTCATGAAATCTTACCCCAGAATATATATTAATCATTACTAATAGAAACCTAAAGATAAGACATATAGATCACAGACTGGAACAATAATGTTCACAATAAAAATAAAACATTTTAGAAAAACAATATGCACAATGTAGAAATTATGTAGCAATATAACTTAAGCAATTAAAGAACGATGTATTAACAAACAATTTTGTAAAAAATAGTAAAAGAGCAAAAAAACGGACGGAAAATGCTACTGCCTATATGATTTTTTATTAGCAAATAACTGCCTACTAAGCGCACCACATCTATAACTAGAAAATGAAGGAAATGTAAGTAATCTTTGCTAAAAAATGAATCTCTGTTTACAAAGTAGCATGGAATACAAACTGATATTTTGAAAACTCGAAGGCACTTGAAATCTAAATGCCCTTATGGAACTATGGAATAAATATTATACGAAGTAAATAGGGAAACTAATAATTTTGACCAACAACCGTTGAACCAAACAAAACTATTAAAACATGATGTTTTGGTACATAAATCTACACACAATTTTTAAATCAGATCCACTATTTACTGTTTGCTCTAAGCACATAAATATAACTTTGAAATTAAGTTTCACATAATCAGATAAACAACAGATATACAAACGAATTTTGCACGAGTTTTTATATCATACAAAATAAAACACATATTTGAATGAAGATTTTAACAAGCTACCTAATCACAATAAGCAATTAAGTAGTACTTTCTATAATTCATTCAAATAAATTACGAATCCAAGCTTCATGGTGGTTTGTTTCTATGTAAACTTTGACATCATTAAAACTGTTAAAAGATGACAAGGTTATTTTATGTGTCAATACTTAACAATCCTGTATGTTGTAATTAAGGTTGTTACCACACTTAAGTGAAATTTTATATATGTATATATTCTTCAGTTTAATGCAGCCTTAAAGTAAAATATGATGAACAAGATCGACAAGGACAGGCGTTCAATGAACGCAGCCCCCACCCGACCCAGCAAATCTGTATCATAGCAAAGTACTATATTTCTTTGAACAACATTTATTTATATATATGTGAGATTATTTTTCAGGACGTTTTTACTAACAATGTAAACAACCACTGTACAATATCACAGTCAATGCTTTCAAATTATCTTAACACTCAACTATTCATATACTCATGTTATCAAATAAACACAATATTTATCTCGCCATGACAAAACCAACATAGTGCGTTTGCGATCAGCATGGATACAGACCAGCCTGCGCATCCGCGCAGTCTGATCAGGATCCATGCTGTTCGCTATCAGTTTCTCTACTTGTAATAGGGTTTATAAGGGAACAGCATGGATCCTGATCAGCCTGCGCAGGCTGGTCTGGATCCATGCTGGTCGCAAACGCACTATGTTGGTTTTGTCGTGATGCAGCTCATATAATCGCACTTAATTACAAAAAATCCCTCCTGCTTTGAATGTGTGATCAATAATTTTAGCATTATAACAATAAATTTGATAATAACTACAATCTAAATACATCTGTTTATATATCAATCCCTATAGTTTATGTCTCATTTCATCTAAAATCATCTAAAATATTATGTACCGACTCATCCCGAGTAAAAAAAATTTCTCAATCAATTCAAAATGAAAATAAATATTTTTATTCTAGAGAAATGGAAATAGAAATATTAAATGAGATTAGTAAGAGTCATCTTAAACAATTGTAAAGATCCTGTATTAGAATCAGACAAAAAGACATACAGGTTCTAGAATACCCCTGTACATGCAGTAGACATGACCTGAATAGTTTAAACTTCGGTATACTTTATAAAACTTCTCATCCCTATACATGGAATATTACGAAATGTGTAACTAAATCTTCATTTTAATTACACCAGACTTTGCTTCTTGAACTAATCTTTCAAATTCTTTATCAGCAACCATAAATGTGATCTAAATATATCTCAAACCAATAATCTCTCGATTTAGAGGCATGTCATAAACACTAGACCACTGCTAGCCAAACATGGTTTAACTTTATAACATGATGTTTTAGCAACATAAAACTTTATACAACAAAATAATACAATAAAACAATAAAACGGAAGCTAAATAACAATTATTAAAATGGGCAGTGCTTCTAGGTAACATTAAATGATAAGTTCATGATATGTAATATTATTTTCTTAACAATTTCGATACTGCATTTGTATAATGAAATTTTGCCTATGGCTTGAATATTGAACTATCCAATGTTATTTCAAGGCTTTCAATATCAAAATGCATATTTCAAAATTGTAAAAATAAGAAATAAAATCGAAAGATAGACCATTTTGTCCATTTTTAAACTTTTATTTAAAACAAATTTTTGTTATTCCTTTTTGACGAAATAACATAATGATCCAGTGACTTTTTTCCTTAATGTTTTCACCCTCCTTTGTCGTCTTTATCATCTCCATATCGTCACCACGAATGTTTTGAGCATATATCCACATACGTTGCACATAGCAATACTACAACAATCGCCTGTCAGTCCTTCAAAAACTGACTCACTAATCATCACACTAGTTATTCCTTGAACTGAAGAGAGCTTGAATATATTCTCTAATCTCTATGACTGCGTCTACCCTAACATCTACAGTTTTTTTTCAAGTCAATATATATCTAGATAAAGTCTAATTTGCTAATGGAATTTCTTGGGGCTCTTCATTTTCATAGTCCTGCAATGGAAATAAAACAACAATATATTATAAATGTATCTAAAACGTAATTATTTATTTATTAAGAGACTTGAATAAAAAGATACCATAGTTTTATGTACACACTATCTTTCGTATAACTTAGACACAATTTTAATACCAGTTTGTATGATTTCAATTACACCCATATTTTTATTATAAGTATGTAAGTAGATGTATAATAGTTGAAGATTAAAAGAAAATTTTAAAAACTCCATTTAAATTTTGATCATTTATGCCATTGTGTTACGTGTATTAAAATGACACAAGATGAAACAAACACTATTTTGCTAGCTAGATTAACACAACCATGCACTAAAATACAGCGAGTTTTGTTTAGAATTTGTTTTTCCACTGTATTTGGTACATGCATCTATCATTTATGTTTATAAAACAGACATTTGGACAATTAAAACAAATCTTAATATTAGGTATGTTAAAATCATAATTGTCATAATTTTGTGTTGATAATTCTCAAAATATTAAACACTTTTCTGTGCCAAATTTTGCCTATTATTTGTATACGTGTACATTTCCAAGAAGTAGGTGAATCACCAACATCTGAATCGTTGGTCAGGAATCTATACTACTTTTTTGTCAGGAATGGTGAATAAAAGTTAAGCCGACATTTATGATTTTGATCACCCTCTATCGTTTAGCAAAAGGGAATGACACAGGTTCTTATTCTATGGGATTGGGTTGGGATAGGTATACCGATAACCTTACTTTTAATGTCATAGGGCAACATTAATATGTTTTACTTTTACACATTGTTTGCAACATAACACCCGTACGTAAAAGTTAGCAGGATTCTGCCTAAAATAAGCAGGAAAACGCTTAAAATTAGTTAGCTAGAAAGAATTTCATGCGGAAGTTTTCGTACGAGCAGACATAAGAATGGCTGTTGCCAAATTTCTGCTTAGCTAAGTTCTTTTAATGACCACATTCATGATATTCCTGTCCATAGAGGTGACAGGTAAGTTATTAAAAGGAAAACTCGAAGACATGAACACTTCAGTCACTTAGGTCTATTGAGAATAAATGTATCCTTTTAACTATGAATTTGTTAGAAACTAATGGGAATGTATTGAGTGTGTAACAGTTGAATAAAATAAGTTGTACTGATTATAGATCCACAACTCAAATAATTATCATTGTACTAATTTGCATGCACATGTGTTATTTACAAAAAGTAATATTAGTTGTTACTGTATATGTATCAACACAAACAAGGGTTAATTATTTCTTTTAACCAGAACTGATCTTACCGAAACAATACACTCTAAGCTCGATGGTACTGTAGTTAATAAAAAATAAATGATCTTCATAAAATAAATTGTATATGACAATAACAAGAGACACAAGTAAAGTCATGTTTAATATCCAAAATAAAATAACATTCAAAATTTTAACTGTTCTTAAATAATTATTATATGATAAAGATACCACGGTTTGGGACGATCTAAAGGCAGGTGGATCCTCTGAGTACGAGTGCACAGAGTACAAACGGTTTCTATGGCAAAACTGAGTTACATATAGAAGATTTTACGAGAATTTTATAATTATGACAATCTTGTGTTGTTGTATTTTCAATATCATCGCCTCTAGGCCTATCACACCAATTGAATATATGCCCCTGATATGTATGTATGAAATTAAAATTGGACTTTTGTTTGATTTTACGTCGCACCAACACAGTATAGGTCATATGGCGACTTTTAGTTTTCCTGGTGAAGGAATACCTCAGGTGTTCCTTCTGTGTATTATTTCAGGCATGGAAAAGCAACTGAGTAAAACTAATGACATTCGGTTTGATTGCTGGGTTCAAACTCACAGAGGGCGAGGGGCAAGTGGTTGGAACGACCTCAATCACTCGGCTATGGACGTCCCATAAATCTTGATTTAGAATATATACCAAAGATAAACTTGATGTCAAATTATTCATGACCTTTATCTTACCTGGCTATGTGATACTGTATAAAGTTTATTTTGTGTATCGAATAAATGCCTCTCTTTTTCCGTCAATTCGTGCTTCAATGTTTTTATTTCATAATTTTTCCTCTTTAAAACTTCTCGTTCCCGTTTCTTCTTCAGGACTAATCTCGGATCTTCCGGTTTACATCGATGAGATGCAGGTGCTAAATGAACTTTCTCATTCTCTAAGTGGAATGTCTACAAGAAAAAACACAACACTTTTACAAGTCATTCACAACAGTTTTATAATTTGTATACAGGAATGTTACGAGTATTTAAAATCAATTAACATCAGAGTGCAGTCAATGAAATCAAAGTCACACAATATGTTAATGAGACATTAAATACTCTTTAAGGGGATATACGAGGACAGCAACACAAAGAATGTAATACAGATATGTAAAATTCGCAAAACTTGTTCTTATTACTTTTTCACGAGTCATAGTGGAGTGAAATAAAAATCTCTAATTTACTCAAACACCTGCTTTTAAATATATTGCCAATATTCAACACTAGTGTCGGATGTAATTCTTCCAGAGACAAAAGAAAACATATCACAAAACTGTAATAAAGAAAGGGTCATACCATATATGTACGTAACATATAATATAGTTTTATGGGCATACTAAGGTGTGAAAGAACATGTAGATATAATAACATTACCTTTCTTTGTTTGATTGCAGTATTGAGGCGTTTCTCTTGATCCAGTTTACTTCTGGTTTGATGTAATGATTCTCTGAGGTATTGTGACTCCTCAGTCTTACTTCTTACATCATTCTGTAATATAAATATATACATTTCACTAGAGGCATTTGCAGATATAACAACATACCTATACAGTCATTTAAAGTCTAGTCTAGTCAGTATATGCATCTGAGCGTCCTGGCCAACTCAAGTATAATTCATGGTTGTTCAACTTATAAAACATTTTGTTGATGACATCCCTTTGACTGCTAGAAAAACTTCAATATAAGGAATTAGCAGGGTAAAAGTTATAGTAATCCTAATTACTTACTTAATTTCTTGAAATTTATCTTAAAGGGAATTTTGAATTAATAACTCTGTTTATTTATTCTTAGCTTATTTCCAAATCAACACTCTTTAGATTTTGTGTTAGATTCATGTTAGTTCTTGTAAAACACAGTAATGTATGAACTATTTTATAATATCAATTAATTTTCAAGGCAAAGTGCACAAATTGAGAAATCATTGCTGAAAATCAAAAAGATAACGTGGAATTCAAAACAAGAATCTTGTATAACTTACAGCTAAGGTGTCTAATTGAACGGATTTCCTATCAGCTAATTCTTGAGCTTGCCTGAAAAAAAAAATAAATATCGAAATATGAACTAACCAAAAACATTTTTATCACACATGACAATTGATTTTCAATGAGAAAATTCTTTTAAATTACCAGTAACTAAATCCTATTAAAGGAATTCAAATTCTACTGGGCTAGTATAACAATGTATTCTTCTAAATATTACATTATTTTAATAACCTTTTACATGTTTTAAATACACAATGACTTTTTCTTTTGGTTATATGGTGACAACATATAGCCTTACTAATGTGAGACCTTTAAGATTCAGACATAAGAACCCTAAATGTTACATCGGTATTTTCTCTGTCAAAAATATCATTAAACAATAAAACACAATTTGCTTTGTTAAACTAGAACGTGCCACTGTCATGGCGTGGGGAATTACCCCCGCATGCCACTTTATGTCAAGAAATCAAACATGGCCATTTAGAAGCCTCCAAGGGACCAATGTCGCCTGCCAAATTCTGAGGGTACTAAATCCAAGTTTCTTGTATTCTACATGCTTCAAATGTGAAAATGTCAAAATCAATAAATAACACAGGCATTTAAGCAATTGAGGGGAAAAGCTTTTTTTAGTCGACCTTTGACCCAGTGACCCTCAAAATCAATAGGGGTCACCTTATAGTCATGATCAACCTCCCATGCCAAACTATGAAGACTGTGGGTTCAAAGAAATATTAAAGTAAATGGGTAGACAATCTTTTTGAAGTCAAAGTCCATGTGACCTTGGTCTTTGACCCAGTGACCTTAAAATAAATAGGGGTCACCTACTAATCATGACTAACCTCCATGCCAAACATGAAGACTGTGGGTCAAAGGAATCTTAAGTTTTTGAGCGGACAAACTTTTTTAGTCAAGGCCCCTGTGACCTTGACCTTTGACCCAGTGTAATAAAATTAATAGGGGTCATCTACTTATCATGACTAACCTCCATGCCAAATATGAAGACTGTGGGTCAAAGGTTTTATTAAGTTATTGGGCCGACAAACTATTTGAAATCAAGGCCCCTGTGACCTTTACCTTTGACCCAGGACCACAAAATCAAAAAGGGATCATCTACTAATCATGACTAAACCTCCATGCGAAATATGAAGACTGTTGGTCAAAAGAATCTTAAGTTATTGGGCAGACAAGCTTTTTATAGTCAAGGCCCCTGTGACCTTGACCTTTGACCCGGTGACCTCAAAATCAAAAGGGGTCATCTACTAATCATGACTAACCTCCATGCCAAATATGAAGACTGTGGGTCCAAGGAATCTTAAGTTATTGGACGGACAATCTTTATGAAGTCAATGCCCCTGTGACCTTGACCTTTGACCTGGTGACCTCAAAATCAATAGGGGTCATCTACTAATCATGACTAACTTCCATGCCAAATATGAAGACTGTGGGTCAAAGGAATAATAAGTTATTGGGCGGACAATCATTTTGAAGTCAAGGCCCCTGTGACCTTGACCTTTGACCTGGTGACCTCAAAATCAATAAGGGTCATCTACTAATCATGACTAACCTCCATGCCAAATATGAAGACTGTGGGTCAAAAGAATCTTAAGTTATTAGGCGGACAAGAAAAAAGCGACGGACGCCAGACGGCCGGCCGGCCGGACAGCCGGAAGGACAAGCTGATTCCAGTATACCTCCCTTACAACTTTGTTGTGCGGGGGTTTAATGAAAAGACAATATAGCTACCTTAACTTGGCCAGGTCTCTCTCATATCCTTGTAAAAGTTCATCTTTTCTTGCTATTCTTTCCCTATAAACTTTAATTTGATTGACAACCTTCTCGCACGCCCGTTCCCTATCTCGCAGAAGACGATCTCGCTCATCTTTAGGTATGTGACCTAGCGGTCTCAATCCTTCAATGCCATCCAAATCCAAGGTCATAGAAATGGAATTCAATGTGCTGAGGAACTGTAAAGGAAAAAGCACACAACGAATAAGCATAGTTTTACAACAAGTATGTAAACAAAACATAGTAAGTTCGGTGAGTATCTTTCATGAACATTATAATTCCCCAATTTACACCTACATTTTTTTCGAATACATCTTTGGTCTGTATGTGCCTTTGGTAATATAAAGTAAGCATAAATGAACGAGCATAGTTTTACAACAAGTATGTAAACAAACCATAGTAAGTTCGGTGAGTATCTTTCATGAACATTATAATTCCCCCATTTACACCTACATTTTTTTTCGAATACATCTTTGGTCTGTATGTGCCTTTGGTTATATAGAAATAAAGTAATTCTTACCGAGTTTTCACTGGCTTCTAGAGCTTCCATTGTTTCTCTATGTGCACTGCGTTCCATCTCAGCATCAGGATTACTATCTGTAACCAGCCCTCGTGCTCGTCCAACCTCACGATCTAACATAGTCAGACTCTGAATATTCTTGTCCTCTGCCAACGCCTGATTTGCTCTCATCTCTGCAAGCTCTTTCTTCAAAATGATCACTTGTTGTAAAGCCTGATCCTGGGTTGGTACTGTTACAAAAATAGAGAAGAATAAGAATACAATTCTGCGAGGGGTTGTAAAATTTTTTGTTTTCGAAAAGGTTTAAAATTTTATAAAAAAATAATTTTAAAAATTTGTAAAAGTTTTTTCCAAAATCACGGGCCATCCCTTTTTAGTTTGAGGGGCCCAATTTGGGATTTTAAAAAAAAAAATTGATGTTGACATATTTAAAAAAGTTAGGGTAAACTGTATTTAAATTTATGCAAAAGATTCCAATCAATTTTTCTATATTTTTAAATTTTTATGGTTCTTTTGGAAAATTTTATTTTTTGGCCCCAAAAAATTTTTTGTTTAATTTAATTTATCAAAAAATTTTTGGTATTCTTTAAAACTTTTTTTATTTTATCGTAAATTTTACAGTTTTTTTCTTTTGATTTAATGTTACACTTATCATATATAGATGCTAATCTAATTATGAACAAACAGAGGTGATATTATTGTATGCTGTTTGCATGCCTTTGCGGTGTGTGCCTCACTTCACACACTGGCTATTTATACATAAGATAATTTTTTTACACAAAAATGTAAGTGATTAAGTTTTTATTAACTTACACGGAGGTCTAGCTGTCTCCAGCGTTTTAACTCTAGCTCTGAGTTCTGCCAAAGCTTCCCGTTGCCTAGCAATGACTTGCTCGTGTCTCTCTCCTCGACATTGAGCACCTAGAGACGTCATCTCCGATGTGATCTTTCCCTCCTGGTCTAAAAGCTCCAACTGTTTCGCCTGTTCCGTTTTCTCTGCCTCTAGACTCTGTTCAAGAGACATAGAACGCTGGGTCTCCTTATCAACTAAAGTCTTATACTTCAGTGAAATTGACTTTTCCTTACTGTAAAATAATATTTGTTAAATTAATCTATCTATTCCAATCATATTTTGGATATATAATACAGTATTAAAATTTGGATACTTAGATGTCTCACTCTTCTTCAATTATAAGCATTCATATTTTGACCTCATATGTCCTTGTTTTCTTTACATTTCAAATCCAAGCAATTCCTGCATTTAATTATGATTGTTATCATGATAAATTGTACGTTATTGATATTTTGGAGTTCATAAATTAAATCATCGAACCTTTAAAATAATACCTTCCTGATTTTCAGACTTGAAGATGAATTTTTTTGTCAATTTTGATTTGAATAACGCAGGGAATAAAACGAATATTGCATCAAGAATTCATAATTTGTTATGCTTAACTTTCTAAGCATATTGTACTACATACACCATGCAATTTCCTGTTTCTTTCTGTTCTATATTTAACACAAGAAAACCTACCTAAGATCACCTTCCAGTGATTTAACTTCTTCCTTTTGTTTATCTATAATCCTTGAAAGTTTAGCTAATTGTTGCCTCATTTCTATGACTTCTTTCTCCTTGCGACTGACCATCTCTTTACACTTCTCCACCTCCTGTTTTTGTCCTTCACTCAATTCACCTACAAACAAACATTTTGTATCTTTAGTATACAATCAATTACTGAAAAAGAATTCAACTTTTACCTCACTACACTACGCAACCCACTTGTCTACTTCGCAATCCAATTTCTTTCTTGTAATTTGGAACCTACTTATTGTCAAGATAAAAATTTCTAGATGCATCTATATAGTAGAAGTTAGCTTTACACATAACTGTGCTAACTTTACACTATTATGAATTTTTGTCACAGATTTTTGATAAAATATAATAAAACAATGTTTTTCTGGTATCTTTTATTAAGAAGATTGTTTTTCAATAAATGCATTTAAGACACAATTACCTGTGATATCTGAAAGCCTGGCTGAAGCTCCAGCAAGATCTCTCCTTAAACCAAGGATGACATCATCCTGTTCCTGTAACCGGACCTTCACATCAGCATTCTCCTTCCTATAAATATATATATAAATATTTAACGTTTATCATGTCTATGACACAATAATGAACTTAACTTTAAATTGATATGCGCCAAATACTGAACTTTAACTTATCTCAACTCCTCACAGCATTTTAGTATTTAGTTCGTAATAAACAGCAGTAATGGACAATTGGTTAAAAGCTGGAGAGACAACCCCAAACACTGGGCGGACTTTGGCGGTCCCTTTATATATCTTAAAATCTAAAAAAAAGTTCTCAAGCAAGGACCTAAGTACATTGTAATAAACATTACCTAAGAACAAGGATAAGTTGTTCCATTGCAACAACATCATGGGATGGTTTCTCTACGACAGGTATAATCTTCGGTTTAGGAGGTGGTGGGGGCTTTTCTTTAGCCTTTTTACTCAATTCTGCTTTTAATTCTACAATGAATGAAACAATAACATGTAAGAAGACTAATATTCAAGCATTGTTCTAATTTAGTGTCTAGGTACTATTGGAAAAGGTACACACTTGTTTTCTAGTTGTATAAGTAAAATAAATTTGTTTTAAAAAGTCGGCACGTTTTTCAAAAGAAAGTAGATAGAAAAATTTTGTCTGTTAAAATAAAATATAAAAATGTCGTATTATGAATAATTTACATGGAACAAAGATAATTATAATATTTTATTCAGAATAATTATTTCATGCTCATAAGAAAATACAACATTTAAAATAATAGTCAATTTAATATATGTATGTAAAACACCATATACATACTTCTGTTTCAAGCCTAATTCTTAATGGCTTTCTTCCATGTCTGGCAAAACAAATATTTGATGTAATTGAATGAAAATAACCAGAAATGAAAGTCATTATTCTCTTCAAGTTAAAGAAATTTTAACGGCCTACTTATGACATTCACAATGATTAAGTACTGTAAATAAATCTGCTTTGAAAAACATATTAAAATTAAGCTTTTACCTTGTATTTGTTTCCTATATGCCTCAGCCTCTTCAATACATTCCTTATTTTTCTTCATAACTTTAGAAATTCTTTCTTCCATTGCACAAATAGTTACAGAATGTTGTTTTATTTGTTCCTTATAACTTGTTACATCACTGTCTAGTTTTCTATCCTTTTCAACAAGTTCTGTAGTTAATTTTGTAACTTCTTCTATTTTAGCGGCTTCTAAACTAGCCACTTGCTCTCTGAGCTGAACTTCTAGTACTTTATACTCCTCTAGTAGTGAGAGTGCTTCCTGTCCTGCCTCTAGCTTAGACTGGTTGTCTTCATTTTTCTCTGTTAGATTCTGGAAACAAAGTTGAATAAATAGAGGATATTGAACGAGTGTAAAGTTAATAGTGAATTTATTGAACAAGTTGAATAGATATATATTATGCGAGCCTCTGGCGAGCTTAATATTATTTTTTTGAATGAGTTCTATAAATTCACTATAAACAGTTACAGCAATACCATTTTTATGGAGTTGCAAATATAGATTTTAATAATGATGTGAGCAATTCTTTGTGATGAAACTTAATATATAGTCTTCTTATTTCATCACATTTCTTTAGTGTTTTCACCATTTCATTTATTTCATTCAAACTTTCGGCCATTATTGATAAGCAAAGTTTATATGAGCTTGTTCACACTCTTTCTAAATAATTGATGCATGGATTATGAAAAGGTTGGACTATTTAATTAATACAAGTTCTATTTCTTTTCCTGTATATCCAGCCAATAAAGAATCAAATTAGATAAGGATTTTTAAGTTAGTTTTTAGCTCAATTATTGATTTTATTATGATTTTATGCACTTATTTGAACCATTGTTGAAACTCCATCATATAACTATCCAGTATTTTGGATGTGTGAGGAATCACGAGCTCGAACCTACAATCCCTAGGTTAAGGGGCAGACATTTTTATCCACTAAGTCACCTTTTACCGGTACATTATATTAAGTAGATTGAAATGGAAATTACATACAATTGTGCGCTTGGATTTTTCTAGTGATTTAAATACAATACTACAGCTTAATTATTCATTATACTTTAAAATCAATTAAATTAAATTAATTGAACTCAATTCTGTCGTTAATTTTATCTTAAGTAATGACACATTCTCTCTTTAATAAAGTATTTGACCCTCAGACAAACTTACAGCTCTAAGTTGTTCTAGTGTTGCCTCAAGTTCCTCAATCTTCCGCCGTTCTGCCTGTACAGCACCATCTAATTTCTCACCTTCTACTGCCCTGATATCATCTATAGCTCTGTTCATACGCTCCTCAACTGATAATATAAATATTATCATGATATAAACATTTAGTATTTGTGTGTGTATTTGAGTTTATCTTTACTCGCCACCAGTTGCCCATATGGGCAAGTACTCCAGAAGAGTATTAGTCATTTTAGATTTTGGAGGATAGTGCAAGAAACAGATACAGAAATATGCCTCAATTCCAAAAGCTTCTCCTGGTTCTTTAATGTGCCATACACGGGACCTCGATTTAACGACTGATTAGTAACTTTAGTTGGCCAGCCCAGGAATGAAACCCACAATGTCAAGATAATCAGTCTCGCGCTCTAACTTATTGAGCTATGCGGGCTGGCTTATTTAGGATTTTAAAGTGTGTTTAACTTTTATATACCAGAGGACACAAATACTAGGGTACACTCTGGTATTGATACTGAGATTCATATCGCATTAAAAACAATAATAATATAAATCACAGTCAATTAAATCAGTTCTGTAGATTCTTTACAATGATGGAATATAAAATTCACATCAAATCAAGCTATTAACTCTTGATCCTGCTGAACTTGTGTAATAGATTGGCCCTGCTATAAAATTGGATTGGAACAGTCATTTGATGTTTAACGTATTTCGTTATAGAACTATAAAAGTTGAGCTACTTTATAACTTTCATTTCCCGCAGATGAAGTGTTAACTAGAAATGTGTCCATAGGACACGGATGCCCCCACACACCACTGTTCTGTCAATCTTATGACTCTAGGTCAAATATTTTTTGGACTACATGTGCCACAAGTTGAAAACTAAAAATCAACAAAGGGCCATAATTCTGTTAAATTTGGTCGCAGCAAAAATTCCTACCTTTACTACCATCTACACATTAAGGTTGTGAATCCCTGGAAGTTAAAGCAAAATCTGCCATCCGGTTTAAGAGGAGTTGCGTTCACAAAATTTCTACATAGTATAGAATGAAAAAAACAACAAAGGGCCATAATTCTGTTAAATTTGGTTGCAGCAAAAAATTCCTTCCTTTACTGCCATCTACACATAAAGGTTGTTCATCCTTGGAAGTTTGAGCAAAATCTGCCATCCGGTTTAAGAGGAGTTGCATTCACAAAATTTCTATATAGTATATAGTGAAAAAATCAACAAAGGGCCATAATTCTGTAAAGTTTGGTCGCAGCGAAAATTCCTTCCTTTACTACCATCTTCACCTTAAGGTTGTTCATCCCTGTAAGTTTAAGCAAAATCTGCCATGCGGTTTAAGAGGAGTTGCGTTCACAAAATTTCTACATAGTATATAGTGAAAAAATCAACAAAGGGCCATAATTCTGTTAAATTTGGTCGCAGCAAAAATTCCTTCCTTTACTACCATCTACATATTAAGGTTGTTCATCCCTGTAAGTTTGAGCAAAATCTGCCATGCGGTTTAAGAGGAGTTGCGTTCACAAAATTTCTTCATAGTATCTAGTGAAAAAATCAACAAAGGGCCATAATTCTGTTAAATTTGGTCGCAGCGAAAATTCCTTCCTTTACTACCATCTACACATTAAGGTTGTTCATCCCTGTAAGTTTAAGCAAAATCTGCCATCCGGTTTAAGAGGAGTTGCGTTCACAAGATTTCGGGACGTACGGACGGACTGACGGACTGACACTCGGACGGACAAGTGCAACGCTATATGCTCCCACTCTGTGGGGGCATAATAAAAACTAGATACTATGCCGTTTGCGGTGCTCTAAAAATATCTATTAAAAGAAACATGGGTTATTTCAAAGTCAATGCAGGGCTAAAAGAACTCAATTGTACAGCTTACTGGATTAAATGGTCAATTTATTATCAGTTTCTTTTCTTATATAATCTCTTTATACTCCAGTTTATCTTATATACATAATATAATATATTTTGTACTAATTTATACAGTACTCAATTAGATGATTTTTCATTTTCCAACTTGAGATATTTACTTATACATTTCACAATTAACAAAAAAATGCGAATAATGAACTTCATTGTGCAGTCCTTGAAAAATGCATTTAATCCTAATGTAGCAATATTTACATTGATCAGTTATTTCTCTTTTTTATCCAAATTATTCAACATAAATTTCCAAAAATGAATTAAAACTGGTATCAGGTTTCAGTGCACCTTTGAAACTCTAAACCTTTTAATTGTAAACTTAAATTTCAACTGAAAGCAAAAAATACATGTATTCCAATGACAAATACCTGATACCCTTATCATGATTTGTATGAAATTGCCTTTTAAGTGTCACATTTTATAAACTGTATACAGTTAAGCACTACAGATAATCAATAAAATTATGATAAGCAAAGTATATAATGCTGTAATCTGGGGGAACAATCTTGGCACAAGTCAACAAATGTCTAGACTGTAAAAACACTTCTTTTATTTATTTGTCTCTTATTTATCATACTTGTCTATCTACAAACTGTACGTAATATTTATAACAACTCTAAATATTTTGATCTGTTCTGAAACATTCTATTATATTATCATCATCCACAAAAAAAATCGGAACAGAAGCTGCAGTGTACTCTATAACAATAAACCTTTGAACTCCACTTAATTGATATAATTTGACTTGTAACTGGTCCTGCTTTGAAATTTGAAACTGCTCATTGTTGTAAAAAGGGATTCCAAAAGTATCTAAATAGGTAATAATGAGCATCCTAAAGTACATAGTCAACACAGATGTGTATGATGACCTATCGTAACTCTGTCTTATTTAACAAGGATAACATAGCCAAATTACATTGAGATTAATTTTACTAAGCTCATACCATGAATTTAAAATAAGGATTTAGGCATGGCATGTTATAATCAAACATTTAAGATATTTGGTTAATATGTCTTAAAATCTCCTAGAGGTAGAGACAAAATATTTGTTAACTCATTGACCTTGATTTAACGCACTCACGTGCAGGAACCCCAACCTGAGGGTAGAGGTCCATGCAGTCATTACTTACATATAAAATTGTACTGAATATAATAGGTTAGTATTTAAACACTTTAGAAGAAAAAAGTTGCAGAACTGTGTTATTGCTTTGGTGACCTTAACTTGACCTCCATTCCAACCACCCAAACATGAAAGTAGATGTACATGCAAAACACGTAACAAATCTTTTTAATTTTGGTCCATAAATGAATGTGCTACAAGGATAGATAAAGTGAAGGGCAATAGGACCTTACCAACAAAACATTATGAAGGGCTTATATATATCTACAGTCCATTCATACCTTCAAGCTTGGCTTTTTCTGCAGCATCAGCAATTCTGCCCTCATACTCCACTTTCTGTTGCTCCAATTGTAGGAGCATATCCTCTTTGTGTGCAATCTCCATACTAGAGATCTGCTTCACTAAACGCTCCTTCTCACTTAGAGAACTTTCCCATTTGGCAAACAGAAGACTTATATGTTTACTCGGCTCTGAAATCATAGTAAAAATACATTATATATATTGTAAAGAGAAAATAATGAAAAATAACAAAAGACAATTAATAATAATTAAAAAAATCTTTTAACATTTCTGAGAAAAAAGAAAACTCACAATCAGACTGGGCCTAAATTAAAATATAAGAAATTTTAACATTCATTCTGCATTGAAATAATACTGTATGAATTATCAGTAGTGGTGTTTTTTTCACCTACCATCATTAGTAAGTTTAACATTGACTCCACACTTCTCTAATGCATTTTCTATATCCGTTTCCCAGGACAGTTCTCCTTCAAGAAGACCTACTGCAACTTCCTTAATCCAGGCGACAGTGTCATTTACTGATACAGATTGTATTAGGCCTATCTCTTCCTTCAGGGCACCAGAGAGCCTACCTTTTTGTTTCAAATGTACCTGAAAAAAATTAAGCATGTTAAGGTTTTCTCCTTTACTTCAAATTAAGCAACACTCATGCTGTAATTTCCACCCACTGTTTGCTTGTATAGGGCACATGCATTCTTTTACTTGAAGACCATAATTACGCCGCTTTTCATGGAATGACTCGTGTCACATTGAAAGTACCATGATAACCGTCATATGAACACATCTGTAGATGTTCCTAAATTCAATATGTCACCATTTTGTGTTAAAATATTGTATTCTGCTTAAGCTGGTACTATGGGGCGTAGACAGTAACTTGTATTTCCCAGTACCTCCCACAAACAGGGTCAATCAAACAGAACCCGCAACATTTTCAATTTGTTGTTCTGGAGTTTATTTCAGGATTCCATTTTTCTCTATTGTATAATGGGCTTGTCTTCATTTACATTCAAATAGTCCATTGTTAGAAAATATTGATGGATTTCAATGTCACAATAAAAAGACAACAGTAAATGAATAGGTCAGAAATTCAGAATGCTAAAAGAGTGTTGACTGGCCTGGCTTATATGCTCACTGTTTTTGCTGCCTACATTTTAAAGGTTGATATAATAGGCAGATAAGGGTATAGTGCTCGACAATCTCTTGTTAGTATCATAAAAAATCCATTCAATTGCATTTATAAAATGTGTATATTAAAAATCAATATCAATATTTGAATAAAAGAAAAAAAGGTGTCAAAGAAATGATCCCTATGCTATAATCAAAACGTGTTATAAAGAGAGTAATAGATTTCTCAAAACAAATTAAAATTCAAGGAAATAAAACAGATGAAATTCATTTCACTTTCAATTATCAAACATTTCTATGAATTATCATAACACATATTAAGCTTAATAAAAAAGTGATATACAATCAAGTAATATTAGCAATTTGGTGTTAGATTTGGAAACACTGTATTTTAGCATACCTTTGCATTTTGTAAAGTTTTGCGTAAATCATGAAGATTTTTATCAAATCCTTTGTTGCTAGCTTCAGCTGCCTTGAGTTTCTGTTCCAATTCCTTGATGTTTCTAAATGAATTTGTTCGTTCATCAATAATTTTCTTTAATGTTTCTAGAAGTTCGTCATCGGAAATCTCGGTGTCAGGAGCTTTAATGCCAGGTGTAGAAAATGTTGTTTGAACAACACGGTTCCTAAATCTTTCATTCTGAAACAAGTATATTTATATATGTTACTTTTGATATTAAAACACTTTTTAAAACTTTCAAAATAGAATTTTCAGTATCAGGAGAATTGCAAAAATGACCCAATTAATTTAACATCCCTCCGTTTTATTAGAGAGTTAACGAAATTTAACAAATATGCAAACTTAATCATTATATTATTTATCTAATTGAACTCGCATTGAGTTTTCTTGTTTCACTATTGAATGAAGCCATAAACAAACCAGGATGGTTGTTAAAACTGAAATTTGAATTCCATTTTAACTGATTTAAATGTCATCAATCTAAGGTATAAATCACAAACCAAATCGGACAGCAGTTGTTTAGTGGCCGTCTACCTTTCAACCTAGATGAGTTTGAGTCCTTATCATGTCACTACTCTGTGTTTCTTCAAATGAAACCAGCACTGGTTAATTCCAGACGAGTGGTTCAAATAAGATTCAAATTTTCATCTCAATCAATCAATAATAAACATAAAAAATTTACACAAAACTAAACAAATCATTTTCAACAATTATTAATAATACCAGTTTATCACATAAACCGCGGCCCCGGATTTAATAAAAACGATATTACACTAGTGTAATAACACTTTGACGTGACGTCATTTGCGCTATACAGAAACATAGCGTTAAAACGCGCTAATGTTAGCGTTACACTATAGACGCGTCATTGGAAAATTACTCATTTTAACAGTTTACTGTTCTTATATTATATTTGTGATAAATAGAATATAATATTCGTGTAGATTCAATGCTAAATTTATTAAACTCGTTGAATAAAACAATATTATGCTCGCCAGAGGCTCGCATATGATTTTATTCAACTTGTTCAATAAATTTAGTATTAAACTGCACTCATTCAATATCCTCTATATATCTTTTACCTTCTTAGACATTTGTTCTAGATCAACTCTAACCACTCTTTCAGCTCTCTCCAAATCTTGAGCATCTGCTTTAGCCGCATCAACATCTTGTTGCAGCTTACGTTGAACGTCTTTCTCGGCGAACAACGCACTTTTTGTCTTTTCAAGTTCTTCACGTAAACTGTCGATCAATGTCTGCTGCTCCTGAGTCTTATTTTCAGTTGTTTTAAATTTCTAAAATACAAAATGATAGTCATTATAAATAAAAGTCATAGTATCTATTAAAAAGTTCCATCTTAATTAAAGTCAGGCACCTAACAAATTAAAGTCAGGCACCAGCTAACAAATCCATTTTAAATAAAACTACCCCTACTGGTGAAAACAATGCTAAACAATTTGTTTTGAGGAACTTCTTACAAGATATTCTATAATTCTCTAATTGAAGTCTCAAAAAGGGGAGACTTATTTAAAGTAAAAACAAAAGTTAAATACCATAGAAAACTAGAACTGTGTCCAAAGGACACGGATGCCCCCACTGACAACATATATATGGTATATAGTGAAAAAATCAACAAAGGGCCATAATTCTGTTAAATTTGGTCGCAGCAAAAATTCCTTCCTTTACTACCATCTACACATTAAGGTTGTTCATCCCTGGAAGTTTAAGCAAAATCTGCCATCCGGTTTAAGAGGAGTTGCGTTCACAAAATTTCTATATGGTATATAGTGAAAAAATCAACAAAGGGCCATAATTCTGTTAAATTTGGTCACAGCAAAAATTTCTTCCTTTACTATCATCTACACATTAGGGTTGTTCATCCCTGGAAGTTTAAGCAAAATCTGCCATCCGGTTTAAGAGGAGTTGCGTTAACAAAATTTCTATATGGTATATAGTGAAAAAATCAACAAAGGGCCATAATTCTGTTAAATTTGGTCACAGCAAAAATTCCTTCCTTTACTACCATCTACACATTAGGGTTGTTCATCCCTGGAAGTTTAAGCAAAATCTGCCATCCGGTTTAAGAGGAGTTGCGTTCACAAAATTTTTACATGGTATATAGTGAAAAAATCAACAAAGGGCCATAATTCTGTTAAATTTGGTCGCAGCAAAAATTCCTTCCTTTACTACCATCTACACATTAAGGTTGTTCATCCCTGGAAGTTTAAGCAAAATCTGCCATCCGGTTTAAGAGGAGTTGCGTTCACAAGATTTCGGGACGTACGGACAGACGGACGGACGGACGGACGGACGTACGGACGGACAGACGGACGGACAAGTGCAACGCTATATGCTCCCACTCTGTGGGGGCATAAAAATACTGTTTTTGTTATTTTCTGCTAGATTGTGCTGTATTTTATATAATTGCATCACCAGCTGTGTGTGAGCTTATTGCCTTGGTTTATTTAATAAACTGCCTTCAGATTGATAACTCACTTTTCTATGTCAAAACGGGGCAAGGTGTTAATATCAGGAAAAGGGTATTTACCAGAGCATATACAGCCAGAGTTTAAATGGCAAAATATTTACCTGTCTTAGACTAATAAACTAATATACAGTTTAAATGGCAACAATTATTTACCTGTCTCAGACTAATCAACTCCCTTTCTCTAGCATCTCTCTCTTCAGTCTTAGGTTCTTTAAGTTTATTAACCTTGGTGGTCATTGTGGACAGCTGCGAGTCTTTCTCACGTAATTCTTTCTTCAATGCTTCAATTTCTCGAGTCAATTTAGAAATTGATGAATCCTAAAATAAAACATATGTCTTAGTTGCTTTCCATATAAATAAGGTGGAATGTGTAAAGTAATTGTTTTATTACAGAATATTCAGGTGGTATGCACTTTATAGGCATGCTGAATTTATTTCATTGCACATTTTTCTTCAATTTTTTCTTATCAGGTTTATGTTATTTTTTTTCTTTGAAGTTTTGAAATAATATTATGTAGAACTAATGGTGGGAAACAATTGTATCTCAATGAAACAGATTCAATTTTTTTTTACCAGATGGGCTTAATATTATGCTTAAATGTTCATTAAATGAAATGAATATTCAAAATAGAATCAAAAGAACTAACTTTTAGGATTCTATATTATTTATATAACTATTATGCTGATATTATATATGCATAGAGATCAGTAAGTTGGTCTAAGTAATTCTACAGGAAAATAGTATTAAATTTAATTGAAATGAAGGTCTGTGTAGAAATAGCTAAACTTGCAGACCTGTGTTTTTCATTAATAGTAAAATAAAATGAGATGTATTAAGTTAGTCTTAACAAACAAAACAAAATATCTTGGCAAGTTTAATTCCATTGCATAAGTCTTACACTACGTTCAAGGTATAAATAAATTAATACATCTACATCTCCAGTTTTACTGGTGGAGGAAGACCTCAGGTGCCCCTCTGTGCATTATTTTAGGAAATGCAGGCACCTGAGTAGAACCATCAACTGTAATCTAGCTGGATAGCTTCCAACATGAAAGAATCCAAAGTCCCTGGGGGGTCAAACCTACAATGGTGAGAGGGCAAGTGGTTTGAAGTCCAATGACTTTGACCTTTCTACCACATATGCCCCTAAAATGTTTACTACAAAAAAGGGGTGAATATATATGGGAAAGAAAAGAACAAGTGATATGCAAGGCTGTGATATCTACTTTCATGTATGCGTACAAAAACAAAGTCATGAATAAAAATACGAATTAAATAAGAAAGAAACCCAAATTTAAAAGCAGGAATTTTGAAGCTCCATTCAGCACATAAAAAGAAATAAACTAAAGAGGATACTAAATTAAAATTTCTAAATATAACTGCTCTCTAAAGTACCATACCAAGGAGAAAATATAATTTATGTATATGTAGATATAAATTTTAAAACAAATGAATAGCTCATTTTATATGAGATTGTTTATAATTTATTATACAAAGGTAAAAGAAAATGCATCTACTTTGTAGTAAGTGTGCTAAGTTTAAGGTGTTAACATAGAGAGGACAGTTTTACTAAGGCATACAGTTAAACAAATACATCAGGATGGTCAATACTTGGAAAATTTAATGTCCTGTGAAATTTCTGAATATGACAACTTTTATTATAAGATTAATATAGTTGTTGACTATTTCAAATATAACCAGTGATAGCAAATGTAGACTGAAACAATTAATAAACAGTAATTAACCCATACCAAAAGGTTGTCTTAACTACTTATTTAAGAGGTTGAAATTAGGATTCTCCATTATGTCCATTAGGATGACATTTGTATTTTGTACATTTCTATGCAAAGTAGTTCTATAGAAAGAATATAATAACAGAACTATTTTGTCTTCATATTGACCAGCCTGATAACATCATGCAGATAATACAGTGAAGAAGAAAAGTAGTCCCCATGCTGCAAACATAGAACCAAGGGCAACCATATTGCATTCTGTTTCCCAAATAAAACAACATAATAAGTGATTCTGTTTATATATTCTTGAAAAAGAATAAAAATCTGACTTGATAAAGTTAACAGACAAATAATTTAATTATCTGTCTTTAAAGATAAATGTCTCAAGATAAGTTAGTAAATACATTAATAAATATAAAACTGAATAAAGAAATGACTGTCACTTATGATATACAATTCATGAGACTGGCCATTAGTGATTGAATTAAGTGTTTCCCTCACAAATTTCCTACTCCATTGCAAAGTTAAGGCAGTTATTGCATACTTTGGCATAGGTAGGCTATTTTTGTAAATTTTATTTAAGACCCCAGGGTAAATCACTTTATTTTTACACCTGACAATAATTCACATGATCAGAACATTTTCTATTTTTTCATGAAATATAACAACAAACTGAAGGTGTGTCGCCTTTATAAGACAAACTTGAAATATTTGACATACAACATTTATCAACTGAAACATTTTTTTCTGATTTTAAAGATTTAAATACAAGGACAACATTTCATTCTATTGTCAGCTAACAATAGAATAAAGAGAGTTTGCTATTCTAAATTCCTATTCTGGTTATAAATTATGGGATATTAATTAATTAATGAATAAATATATAAAAGTAAACAGTGCTCTACTATATTTAAGACATTATCAATTTTAATGCTCTATCATTTTGGATTTTTTGACATACATTTTCACATGTACCATAAATCTTTCATACCACCAGAATACAAAGAAAAAACATATTTTTTAATTTAGAATTATTTATCATGACATAAAAATGAAATGGTAATAATGTGAGTTCATTCAAAATAAACTTTTTTTGTGTTAATTGCAATAAACATGTATAACCTGTTGGGTTTTTGCACACAAAAGCATACATGTAGAATCTGTTGGGTTTTTGCACACAAAAATAATCATATCTTTTTGACGTCAAATGGAATTACAGTAGAAATTCGGTAAGTCGATGGGACTTGTGTGAAAACTTCGACACATCGGGACTTCAACTCATGAATCAGTCTCAATTTCAGAACAAAATTTTGACCGTTTGACGTATACAAGGAAATTACAAAAGGCGTAACAATAGGAAATAGTGATAACTTAACCAGCTTTTAGTAAATATTTTGCGTGTGATTATCACACGATACAGGGTCACGCAAGTTCTCAAATAAAAGTACATGTAGTTCTTACTGTTAACTTTAAATAAACCACTACGTCAATTTGAATGGTAACAATTAAAGCATTTTATCACACATTTAAACGCATAAAAAGGCTGTTTGAGACACGGCTGTTTAATAAACACAGTGTCACCAAAGCTGATTGGAAATCGTCTCCGCGGCCAGATAAGGTGTGAAAAATATCTCGAGATTGAAGGAGTCAAAAAAGTCAAATGACTTCAACTTATTTGTGGTAAGTTGTACTTGATTTATTCTATATACGGACCATGAAAAAACTTTGACACATCGAAAAAATCGACACATAAAATTTCGACTCATAAATAGGTTTTTATAAGGAATATTTAGGGGGGAAAATTGGGACTTTCATTTAACTTGTACACATCGAGAAAATTGACTAATCAAAGTTCGACTTATAGAAGTTCTACTGTATATACAAATATTTTCTATCAATCTGATATTATAAAATAAACAGTGGTATTACAATTATTATAATTTGACTACTGAATATTAAAAACACAAATTGAATTTGTTATGTGTATACACAATTAATGAAAACAAAATCATCTTGAGTATACATATATATGTCTGAGTGCATGGCACATCAATGTGTAAACATTTTACCCATTTTGTAAACATAGGAGTTGGCCGTCTTTGAAGCGCTGCCTTTAGCTGTAGAATTGTTAAAACAAAGATAATTTAATATATGAATAGGTACTAAGGTTTAAAACAGCTGATTGTTTATTTCCCTTGTGTTTGCTCCCATTTTTTACAGAATTCTAATTTGTTTTCACTGAACATAGGGGAGGACCTTTTTTACATGTGGGAGGGCTATATTATACATATGGGTGTGGCCTAAAAATGTGTATCTTTTCATGCAATTAAAATTCTTAATCAACTCTTATCAATTTACATCTGCTCCTTTTTTTTCCCCTTAATTTCAATATATGCTTGTACAACAAAAATTTCCATTATGACATCATAAACAGATATCATCACTCATTCACATAAATGATTTCTTTTAAAATATGGGACTGTTTAATGTATGGACCAAAACGTTGTTTTTTTTACCGATCATATACTGTATAATGCAATATGGCTTGCCCTTTTTTCTGAAACTTGTATTATAAAACATTCATAAAAAATGTTATTTCTTGGTTAGATAAAGGTGCACAACTCCACAGGGCAAGGTTACTGAGTGCAGTCTTAGCAGAGTTGTCTTACTTTGTTAGACATATCTCGCTGCATTTGAGTTACGAGCCCTGAGGTTATATTTTTATCCTTTTTGACACGCTCAAGCTCATTTTTGAGATTATTAACCTCCTTAATTTTATCTGTGAGCTCCGCACGTATACGGGCGGGACTTTCAAAGTCAAGGTCATTCTGTGCTTGTAGCTGCGCCAGCTGTAAAAATGTAAACATTTATAAAATCATGCATTTTCTTGAACATACAGTGCTTTTTTCTCATTAATGATTCAATATACAACAGCAAACTTCTGAGAAAAAATCTAAACCTAAAATCATAACAGGGCCATTAACAACCTATCTTTGTATGGAAAATATGAATCCTGAATTACATGCTTTATTATGTTTAATAGAACAAGATTTGAATTTTCCATTTCCTTTTTTTATATTCAACTTAATGAATTTCAAAATAAAATTATTTGCTCCTGATTGAAAAAAAACTGTTTGAATGTTAAAAATAGATTTTACTCTCAGAAGTCAATGCTGTGTCATATTTCTTATATCATACCATAACATGGGTGATCTTACAATTGGGACTAAGTGAGGAGGTCAAGCAAACATGCTTTACATGCTGTCCTGATTATCAAATTATCATGCCAATTATCATGTTAATTATCATGTCAATTATCATGCCAATTATCACACTAATTATCATGAGAAAATGTCAAAAAGACTGAACATCAAAGAGATCATAATATATATGACATCAAAAAAAATTTCAATGTTTTAAAGGTGTAAGTTGGTGTCATATCCATCAAGTTAATGAAACAGTGTTGTTATCATTTTATTAAAGGAACTCCACTGAAGACAAATAGCATAAAAACAAAACAAATATTGGATTTCTTACATCTATACATGTATATTAATTAGTGAACTTAAAACAGAAAGATATGCAAAAGAAAATATAGAAATATATACTTATATAAAATGATTTAAATTGAAAAATTGTCTTTTGGGTCAATACCTAGCTCCTTTTGAAACACTTTTCATTTCTAAGGACATTTTTAACAAATAGTGTAATTATTCTGGAAAAACAAAGGTAGTAAACTATCTGAAATTTGGCACTCAAGTTATTGATCCAGACCTGCATGAAGTTGTACATAAATCTTTAATACTTTCAATATTGCAAAAAAAAACCTCAGATGAGTCTCTTTAAAAACCAACATTTTATCAAGCAATGTGATTCAAAATTTGAAATTTTATCCTACAAGATATAGTAAGTCTAAGATACTGCTTAATATTGGTAGAATGACAACCAGGAACCAATCAAGTGCTCACCTGAGCACTATATGTAAGAATCTAAAAATTTCCAATAACTAATTATTGGATTCAGTTACCAAACTCTAAATCTGTAAATTGCTCAGTATTTGGTCAAAAAATCTATCTAAAACTTTATTGACCATTCAGATTCTAAGAACTGATTATAAATTTATATGTAGTTTTAACATAATTTAAGATTATGCTATAATTTTTTGAAAATATATGTTTTTAATCAGAGAGCAGACCTATGCTAGGATCTATATATAGTTCACAGATTATCAATTACTAGAAACAATTCACACAGTATTATGTTGTCATGTTTACCTGTTCTCTAAGCTCGATGATTTCTTGCTTCTTGAACGAGACCTCAGTTTCTAGGTGTGACAGTTTGTTAGTGACCTCTGGATCAGCACCCATGACAGCTGGACCTTGACGACACCTTATCTCCTGTAAAAATTTCATTACCATAAATAGTAATATATAAATTGCATGAAATATATAAAAAGCATGGCAAATTAGAAAAGAAATGTACAGTATAACCTCAGCAGAGTGACCTTCTGTAGTCAGCAGTAACCTCTTTAAAACAACAGCATAATAATTGTCTTGAGAATCTGAATATTAAAGGAACTTCACTGAGGTCCGAAATCCTTAAAACAAAAAATTTGAATTTTTTAAATAGATCAGCTTGGGCACTTAAATCAGACAGACATGCAAAAGATAATGAAGAAATATACTTAGAAATAAACAGAAAGTTATAATTTTGTGCAATTCTTTGCCTGACTGAGAGAAAAGCATTGCATGGCTTTCCAGTTTGGGTCATTTTTCACAATTAGAATAATTATAATTGATCAACGGAGTGAAGGAATGATCTACATTGAACCAGTTAGCAGTTGGCAGACTGAGAGTTAGCATCTGAACAAGTAATTCAGCCAAAGAAAAAACGTTTGAGATTAAATCATCAAAAAAAAAAATATATATATATAATAATTCACTGGTTAAAGTTCAGTGCTCATGTTTCAGGAGTGTTTTTTTAATGAATTTGAATTAAGTGATTTGGGATGAAACATTAGAGTGTAAAGACAGAAATTTATCTCAAATATTTTTGTGTCTGTAGGATGAAATCATGATAACTGAAGTGCAATCATTGACAATTTTACAAACAACCACAAACATTATTTGAGTGATTAAGGTGAAATAGGGGATTTATTTAACAGTGCATGTTATTTCTTCAATCAATATTTTAACAGTATTTACTATAGTTCCATTTTTAATATCCATTTGCTTGTTTGTAATTGTTGCCTGTGACTGAAGAAAAAAAAAATTACTAATCAATATTAACAAGAGCGATCAGTAATCACATGTGTTGCCTCATAATGGCCAATTTCATGTTGGGACAAGTTTTGTGACAGACAGACGGACAGTGCACAACTAGACTTGGTACTGATCATTATTGTAAAGTTTGAATAAAATTGCACCAGTAGTTTTTGAGGAGAAGTCTGGACAAGCTTTTGTGTATCTGGCAACACACAGAAAAAAACACCTTTTTATCAAAGGGCCATAACTCAGCCAAAATCATTCAACCGGAAAACCCGTGCAATATGCGCAAGGACTTGAGCTACAGATCAATCCTGTAAAGTTTCATTGAAATTGCATCAGTGGTATAAGAGAAGTAGTCCGGACAAACAAAAAATAAAAATTATTAAAGGGCCATAACTCTGACAAAAATCATTGAACCGGAAAATGCTGACAATGTGCACAACTAGACTTGGTACTGATCATTCCTGTAAAGTTTGAATGAAATTGCCACCAGTAGTTTTATGAGGAGTAGTCTGGACAAGCTTTTGTGTATCTGGCAACACACAGAAAAAAAACACCTTTTTAACAAAGGGCCATAACTCGGCCAAAAATCAATCAACGGAAAACCCGTGCAATATGCGCAAGGACTTGGGCTACAGATCAATCCTGTAAAGTTTCATTGAAATTGCATTAGTGGTATACAAACTTTAAAAATAAAAAAATTATTAAAGGGCCATAACTCTGACAAAAATCATCGAACCGGAAAATGCTGACAATATGCAAAACTAGACTTGGTACTGATCATTCCTGTAAAGTTTGGATGAAATTGCACCAGTAGTTTATGAGGAGTAGTCCGGACAAGTTTTGTGACGGACGGACAGACGGACGGACAGACAGACAGACAGATAGACGGACAGACAGACTACGGAGAAGTGATCCCTATATGTCGCCACTACTCCGTAGAGGCGACACAAAAATGGGCTATATCCTGGAATAGACCTTGGGTTCTGAAACTAGGAGTATAATATAAGGTTCAGTCCGCTTTCTTAAGACTTATATTACATACAAGTTTTACAACTGAAATATACATAGGTGTGTAATACAGAAGATTGCCTAAACATGTTCTTCCAGAAAAAAAAACAACAGAATTACCAAAACAAAATAATGTTATTAATAAGGTGATTGAATATTGGCCAACAACATATTATATCTGTGAGGCCAAAGACTGAGAATGGCGGAGTGGCTGAGTGGTTAATGCCTCAAACTTGTAATCTAAGGATTGCTGATCGTGTGGGTACAAACCCTGTCAGGGGCAAGCTGTTGTTTCCTTGAGCAAAAATTTGCTTAGTACTGGTTGGTCCCAGGAACAGATTCGAGGGTTTTAATAATGTTAGGCTAAGCTTCCAACACAATCAAACTAAAATAAGTTTGTATAAACTAAACGCTGAGAGTCAATAACATTGTTGTTGTTACACCAAATGATGCCATTTGGTCATCATAAATGAAGTTGTGAATTCTTACACTGCTAAAGGAAAAAAAATTCTAAATACAAATATAGCTTTTCCTTATTTCTTTTCAAACTTTAATGAATATGTAGATGTAATATGCTAAAAAAAAATGAACCAAACACTTGTTATAGCACAAAATCAACATAGCTTTCATACTAGCTTACACTGCCAGTTTCCCAATTTCGGAAGAGAGTATATAGTGGAGAGATTTGTAGTAAGGGAGAGAACTGTTACCTCAATTTTACAATATAGAATGGGGAATTTTGAAGTAAGGGAGAGAACTGTTACCTCAATTTTACAATATAGAATGGGGAATTTTGAAGTAAGGGAGAGAACTGTTACCTCAATTTTACAATATAGAATGGGGAATTTTGAAGTAAGGGAGAGAACTGTTACCTCAATTTTACAATATAGAATGGGGAATTTTGTAGTAAGGGAGAGAACTGTTACCTGTAATTGTTGCTGTAGTTGCTGAACTTGCTGTTCTGTTTGTTGAGCATGTTGATCTTTATGCAATGATTCCATCTCTACAGTACGCAGTCTCATCACCTCTTCTGATAACTCCCGGATCTTCTGATCCTTTGGTAAAATACAAACACCGAAATACTGAAAATCTTACACAGTTCAATTGTATTAAAAAATAGTTCAATATGTGATGCAATATCATTTGTAATTGCATGGATTTGAGTTCAGATGTGTAGTAATATAACCAATAAGGCTGTAATATCAACAGTTATACAGGACCTGAACAAGAAGATGTGCAGTATCAAGCAATAATGCACTATCATATTCATCTTTAACACAGTTCTAGAGAGAAACAATGGAATTATTTTCAACTTTATTAGCTCATCATAACCATCAAATCTGACACAGTTTACATATCAAAACATATTGTTTATGATTTTATTGGTTTGTTTTGAGGTCACACGCTCAGCTTTATTGGCAAGGGAAGACATTTAAGGTGCACCTCCAGGCACCTAACTAGTAAATATTTGGAATTTCTGTCTCAAAATCACACAAAAATGAAAATTAATAATTTTAATTAATAAGGATATTGAATGGCAAAGAATTAGAGGCTTTATAAAACTGTAAATTTATCTTGATTAGAATAGTCTGTTCATATCTGCTGAACTTACAGCAACTATTAATATTAAAAAAATGTTTGTTTATGTAACCACTACTAATTGAAACAACAAACAGGGTTCAAACAACATGTGTTTACCTTCTCTTGCATTAGTAAAAGTTCTCCCTGTGCCTGAACATTTTCAGCTGAAGCAGGACGTGCTGGAGCAAACTGACTAGTTACTACACTTCTACCATTACCACTGTTCACCCATCCTCCACCTGAAATATGTATTATCACAATATACAACTAGAAAATATACAAAGTTTTCTCCCTTTTATAAAATAAAATAATGATACTGCACAAAGTCATATGTAATGCTAATTTTCATTGGTCAATCATAATCATGGTGTATACAACTAGAGAAATTTCTTTGATACAATTTGGTAGATAACAAGGATGATAGATACAATATTATAAGGATTGGAAATTAAAATCACAAATCTTATGAATATAAATGCCATCTCTTGTCATAAACAAAACAAATGTAACGTTTAAAAATCAATCTAAAATTTCTTCAGCTGTTGGTCAAGTTCCAACCTTGGTTAATAGTTACTGAATTTTCGGTTTTTTGTTTGTTTTTTGGCTAAAAACCGACCAGACCGAATAAACATTTTTGTAGATATTATAAATTTAAATAACAAATGTATATAAATTTTTGCAGAAGGTATCATTATAAGAACTGGATCATTACAAAAGAGTGTTACTCTGGTGGATTGTATTGCTCTTATTGTTCTTGTATGTTGTGAAGTTGCTTTTTATGTGTTTCATGGTAATACAACTTTACACTATCAACTTAAGTGATAAAACCGTTTAATAGAGCAATTTCATGCAATATTCTCTTGTTATATATATTTGTTTACAGTTTTAAATGTGCACAACTATACTGCCATAAATTTTTGTGCAGATACAATAGTAAAATTATACAAGATAAATGTATCTTATTGCTTCATGCATACATGTATATAAACTTCAACTGTGCACTTCTAGCGTAAAGGAATAATCTCAAATGAAAAAGCAATAAAGTTTTGAATTCTTGATATTTCACACTGGCTTCTTTGTTATATCTACATTAGAGAAAATTGAGGGTGAACAAATAAAGAAATAAAATAGACTTAGAGCTATTCGAAAACCTATACAATCATCCCATAAAATGTTGGGATTGAAATCATCACAAATAGTAAAATATTACTTCCCTTGGCAAAAGAGCAACCATTTGCAATGGTATGAAAATATTTCTAAACTAGCAAATAAATAAAAATCCAGGCTGCTGCAAAAGCAAGGTAAAGAAAATTAGATAACTGGTTCTATTTGGATGAAGAAATCTTCTTTACACACTTGAAAAAGAGAAGCTTATGCCAAAACCCAAAAGAAAAAAAGGACAGAAGAAAGAAAAAGTTACTTCCCATGACAAAAGTGTTGCCATTTGTCATGATCTAAAAAAAAATTTAAACTAGGACATGAAAAAAATTGAGTGTTCAATGTACCATTCTACCATTTATCATTTAAATTTGGATAAAGATAATTAAAGAAAAATATCCAAATTATGATGCAGAAACAGGTAGCAAACAATGAGTTGTCCCCCTTTGAAAGAAGTCCACAATTTGTGATTACATGAAAATATTTCTATTCTAACAAATATTCATATAATTTATAAAATCAAGATGGTATAAATGTAATTGCCCTTTTATAGTCTCTTTAAAATTTGAAATAGAAAAAGATTACACCAAAGGTTGACTTAGGGGAGGTGAGGAAACCATGCCTATATACAAGAATCAGTATATCCTAAATGAATTTGTGAAAAAGCATACATAAGGTGCATCATCAACAAAATACCTTGAGTTGTCCATGCTTTTGTATTAACAGCTGTTGAAAAAAGTGAAAACAAAAACACACAATGAAACAAAATCTTAAAACACAACCTCCATCTTTTCACACAGGATATAAAGGACTTTCTTTTTGCATCTAAGCAACAAAAAAGGTTGCTATGGCGAACAAAACTGACTAGAAATATTGTGAATCACACAAAAAAATATATGGATTGTGCATCAAACTACCACAAAGATAAACTCTAAGTTCTATTAATTCAAACTTTTACAAGTCTTAATCATGCCACTTTATTTCAGTTTAATGAGCTAAAATTAGACATTAAAAATAAAAAATATTTCAAAATTGATCACACAGACGATTAAGTAATTTTTAAATTAAAATTAGTTTTTAATGAATAAAACAGTCCTAAAATAAAAACACATCTTTTTAAATTTTCTATTTTTTTTTAAATTTTCCTGTCTGTAGATTTTTTTAGTACATTTTTAAAAAATTGTAAACATTTTTTTACCCTATTTTTTCCTTTCAAAAACAAAAATGGGTGTTCAAAAGGGTTCAAGGGTCGAGGGTGACAAAATAGTGATGATAGAAACATGTACTTACTTCTTGGAAGAGGGGATGAGACAGGTGATTGAGGCTGCATTGTGCCACCAATAGTCTGTAACCTATAACCATAAACAGAGGTTAACAGTATTTTCTGGATAATAATTTCAGTATATTATAAATATCTTTTCAATAATCTTGACATCTTCTATCAAAATAAGCTGACAGCAATTCTTAAGGAATGTTACCATTTTGGTTTAGTTTTCTAAAATTGTAATCCCTATAACAATTATTATTTACAATTAAAAGCAAATTATCAACCATTTTGCATAAATGTAAAGGGATAAAACTGTAGAATCTGTGGAATTCAAATATTTACCTGTCAAAAGCTGATGTAGGTCTTCTCGATCCAGCACTAAGTGGCCGACTTCTAAGTGGTGGGCGGGGCTGAGGTATTTGAGGATGTGCATGTGCTACAGGTGTCCAATGAGCTGCTGGAACTGTGAGAGTGGGTGTGGTTAAGTAAGGAAGGCCAGGATTGGTCTGTTGTAAAGACTGTGTATATAATGTATGTTCGTCTGTGATCATTGCTAGAGAACCAGTCCATGCCGGTCGAGATTGAACCGGTGGGTAAGCAATCTGAAAATAAAAGTAAAATAACACAGTGAAACCAAACCTCAATTAGTTAAAACATTGCTTAACAAATGTTGCTATATATCTATCTTAATTTTTTTCTTAAATGAAAAAAAGTTAAAACTCTTATTTTCTGATATTATTTTTTTTCTCTGAAATAAAATGTGGGCTTTAATCGATGTACATGTATCTGATGAATGATGGATGAAAGTAAGCGATATAGATTTCCAAGGGCAAGAGGGATGTCAAAAATCGCTATCTAATTAGGATAATTGGGTGTTGTTAATTGATAGGTTCACAAGAGAAAGTTCAACAATAAAGCAAATGGCGCATGCAGAAATCATTGCTTAAATAATGACATAATATATAGCAGATTAGTTTGTTCCCGGAATGTTTAATTCTGTTTATGTACATGTACAGTATGTATGTACTGAGAATCAACCACAAAATTACAGAAACAATTATTATGATTTTTCTATTGATTAATTTTTTAAAAATATTTTTGACACATAGCTTTATACCCTTTTAAAGTATCTGCGACTGCATTGTGCCTAGAAATATTTTGTTCAAACTACAAAATGTATCAAAAACAAAAAATCTTGTGAATAATATTGTTATTATTCTTATTAGTTACCTAAAGACAAAAATTGAAATACAAATAATTAGTAGACCATGCAAATGCTGCACATTAAGTCTAAATATTTGGCCTTGAATATTTCAGCTGACCATTAGATTCATTGTTCAAAATCTGCATAATAATGCCAAATATTTTTCTTTCCCCATTTCTAATCTGATTAAAATTTAATTAGCTCAGTCAAACAGTTAGCCTTTAGCCAGTGTATAGTGGTATACCCTGTTACAAAGCAAATAAATTTCTCATGTTCACCTAAAGTCCAACACCTGGTTACCCAAAATTATTGATCTGAATGAATTATTGATATATAAGGCCACACCAAATTGTAATGTGTTTATGAGACTTTTTTTTATTGAAATTACAGAAATTTTAAGCAAAGAAAAAATACTTGAATTTTTTTGTGTGAGTCTATTCTTTTAAAGAAATTTAGGCAGGAAGAAAATGATCTCTTATACTCAAAGCTTTTCAGTTATATAGTATAATATTATACTAAAAAATAAGAGAGAAATGGTTAAAAAAATGTGATGGTTAAAAAAATGTGACAAACAAGAAATTATGTTACTTTGGCCTTAAGTTCTGCTTAAAAGCTTATAAATTTTGTCTTACAAGCTTGATTTGACAGCCTAATCTGACTATAACTTCATGTTTGCCTTATAATTTCAAGTGGCCATACAGATCTTAAATGATATGAATTTTAACTGATATGTAGTAAAAATCTTAAACATGCTTCGCCCCTGGATAAAATTGTCACTATATACTTCTCCTGTAATTCTGAACATACGTATTTATTGTACAAGTTCTGATAATGATTGATAAATTTTTGTTACACTTTTATAGTTAAACAGTAAAATTGTATTACATGGCAAAATTATTGAAGAAAAGTAGCTTTCAAAACCTTTTTGTTCCTAATCAAAATAATGGCAAATACAAAGATTGAAATAATAAAATGTTATAATATTTCAATTTCTGTAATACATATATTGTAAATTCATTATGTTTTACTTTCAGCATAATGTAATAATGTTAATGTGCAAGAACAACTGCCAAGTGGGGGCCTGATGTTCAACTTTTTTTATTATTTCTGAAGACAAACTCATTGCAGAAAGATTATTGGAGTAAATATAATGTTCATAGAAATTAAAGATCAATATGATTCAAATTTCATATTTGACCCAGACAGTCAAGGTCAATTACCTAGCACTTTCATACTTAAATTGTTCAACAAGTTCAGGTGTTGTAATTAGTGTTGTTTTATTTTGTCCAAATATGAATCAAATAATCAAATATGTCCATTATAAGCTCTTGTAATGCAGCAATTTATGGTGAGCTAGGATTTTAGATACCCAATTTATGTTAATAGATATGTTCACATAATAAAATATTGGTTTAAAGTGATACATTCAAGCAATATCATTGTTAAATGTGTGTATATAAATACATTAAATCAGTGTAAAAAAGGAGTAAAAAACTGGGCATATCAAGTAAAAGGAATTTTAGATAAATTTTGGTTTTTCTGAGGTGTGGAATTGTCCTGAACTTTATAATCCAAAAGAATTTGTTAATATTTTTAAACAAAGAGTCATTGATGTTTTTAAACAAAAATGGTTTTCAGATATTGTTAATAATAACGTTTTAAATACATTGTATAGACATATCAAGGATAATTTTTCTATGGAATGCTATTTAGATAAGATTAAGTGTATGAAATCAAGACAACAATTAACCCGTCTCAGAATATCTGCGCATAATTTAAGAATAGAATCTGGTAGATATGGTAGAAACAGACTTGAAAGACATGAGCGCATATGTCAACTTTGTAATACACAAGATATTGAAGACGAATTTCATTTTATACTTGTTTGTAATTTGTACCAGGAAATACGCACTAAATTCATTAAAAGGTATTATTATAAAAAACCTAGCATGTTTAAATTCATAGAATTACTTCAGTCATGTGAAAAGTCTATATTATTAAATTTATGTAAATTTATTTATTTTGCAAATAGTAAAAGAAAAGATATGTTGATAAGCTTAGGTTACACATAAATGTCACTAATGTTAAAATGTTGTTATTATTTTCATAGATATTGTAAACGTTTAGATTTCGCTAGTAATTTTTATATTAAAATGAGATTATTCTGATATTAAAAATGAGAATATTCTGATATACATTTATTTTATACAATTTTTTTTTCGCAGCAATATATGTTCATTCTCCAATATACTGTAAATCTTTGAATTATATCATGTGTTTAGCTATTTATAATATTTGATATATGTAATGTAACAAGATACTGTATTGTATACGTTACGAAATAAAATTTCTGTTCTGTTCTGTTCATTATATAGTTTATAATTGACAATTTAAGCTTATTTTCTTTGAATTTCTTTTCCCAAGGATTGTAATTATGCCAAAGACCCATGATTTGACAATTCATTCATTCCTAAACTACTAATAAATATTATAACATTAACTCATTGTCTGCCAGTCTGGCAACACTGACTCTAACCAATGCTAACAAAATTTGCAGACAAACATCACATGAAGGTTCTGTTTACTATACAATAAATATTCTCCCTAAAAATGACTAAATTAATGGTTTTGCCCTGATGTTAAGATGGACATGTCCATAAACAATATTTACCAAGTGTTAAAGACGTATAGGGTTTAAAAACCCGATGCAATATTCAAGTGTATGCATCTTATAGTTTAATATTCGATATATTCTTATAATATAAATGTATGACAATCTTTTATACATGGTCATTATTATAACATGACTTAATTAAGTCTAAATATCTAATTTATAATACTACAATTATTGCCTTCTTTCATTAAAATGGAAAAAAAATCAAAACCACCCAATAAAAATCTAGCTGCTTTACAAAATTAATAAGAATGCAATATTAGATAATTTATGATACACTTAGGTAAAATGCGCAATTCAAGATTTGTGTGTAATTGAGCATTCATTTAACGATTTCATAATATTTTGATATCAGACAGGTGATTAATTTCTACAGACAGTAAAATTAACGTCAATTCAAATAGTCTGGCAACCGACATTATACCCATACATATTTTAAAAAATAGATTTATCAAGGAGTCATTCTAAATACAAAACTTGTCATTATTTGTTCAATAATTCAGGTATATATGATAGCAGTGCATCAGATATTTGGAATGTTGTCATGATAAAACTGGCTTGAGGTAGTCGTACTGTAATCCTTTCCCGCTAAAAAAATTCTAATATCGGCCAATATCGTAATATTAAGTGGTCATTTCCAGAACGTTATTTTTCACAATCTTTGGTATTCAATAATTTTTAACCGTTTATAACTGGAATTTAGTACATAGCAATAAAAGAATGAGTGATTGTAAATAATATAATGCCCAAGATTTTGAATAAATAATGTTCCGGAAACTATAAAACGATTTGCTAGGATATTGGCCGATGTTATAGAATTTTTTGGCGGGAAAGCATTACAGAAAGATAATACCTTAAGGTTATCATCCATCACAGCCAGGAGAACATTTCTAAATTAACTTTGTCTCATTAATATTTTTCAAATCAATTAAATCCTGAAATTTAGGAAAATTCGCAAGAATAATGACTACAAAGCATTAGAAATGAAAATTACAGACTTAGATTTCCAAGATTAAACTTGAGTTTTTAGTGATATTAATTAATATTAAAATGTATGGCAATTTGACATAACATGGTCAATTATATTGCCCTTTATTGCTATTTACAATTACATTATGACTATATACTGTATGAATATATTAAAATGAGCAAAAAAAACTATCTTTAATTGAATTGCAGTTAAAATAAATATCAAATAAGGAAAATTACAAAATTATACAAATTCAAACATGTGGAATTTCCTTAAGACATTATGTACAAGGTAAATGATACTCGCTTAAAGATTGGTATGAGATCAGAGATTTTATATCGGCACATGCCAGTAATATACGTTTGCATTACAAAATCTCATTTTGATCTTTAACCTCCAGTTAACAAAAAAAAACAACAAAATATCAAGTAGTTTACAACAGAGGGGTAATACAGTATTTCCTGATATAAGTGATAATAAAAGAATGGCATCCTGGTTATAAAAAGAATGGCATCCTTATCTAATTAAACATCTGCTAAGCTCAAGCTAGATAAAATACAAATTGTTCAATTAAAATGAAGTAATACAAGTTAAGTCAGAATATAGTATATAATTATAAAGAATATTGCAAAAAGCAATTATACCGCAATATTGAGCAGTATATATTATGTTTGACAATTTTTTAAGCTGAATTCACCAATTTGTAGACATTTCCATCATAATTTGAAGCACATAATATAGTATAGAAAAAGAATATTGCAAAAAAGTATATATTGCAAAATTGAGCAGATTTTTAAACATGTACATTTGTATATAAAATATGTTTAATAATTTTCTATGCTGACTTCATGCACCTACTTGGAGACATTTCCATCATTATTTAAACCGCTTTTTTCTTAAAAAGTATATAAAAAAATTTAATTTGGTTATAATTTACTGCCCATTCTCAAGAGAACAAGCAGGGTTTTCTTTTTCGTGATTTTAACACTTTGGTCCCATTCCTGTTTATTTTTACTATTAGAACCTGATAATTTCCTTTTAATAAATAGTAAATACGGTAAGTATAAATTGTACAATAAAATTATTTTCTTAAAATGTTTGTGTTCATTTTGAATGCTACAAAAAAATGGTTTAAATTAACAGAAATTATCCACTGAGAAGAAATTAGCACATGAATAAAGTATGTTGACATTGCTAAGGAAAACAGTCCTTACTGGGGCATTTATTTGGTTGCACTCTTTATAATATAATCATATTGATTCTTAATCGAATGAAAAATTAGACTGCTTGATTTAAATAAACATAAGAATATTGGTTTGATATTGATCAAGGTTTATGAATTATGTCTTGTTATCAAATATAGACATGAAAGGCTTCGCATTGTGTGTGGTTCTTTAGTAACCAGTCAAAGCCCACTGTAAATACAGGGGAAGGAAGTTTGATCCTTGGCTACACAACACAACTAAAATTTACTGATTCTCTGGTACCACAACTAAAATTTACCCATCCTTGGCTACCACAACTAAAATTTACTAACAATTTTCCTTATCAAAATTCAAAAGACATCTTAAAAATTGAGTATTCTTAATTGTTTTCAATCTAAAATTTTTACTGATCGTGTGTTTTAGTTCACTAATCTATGACATCAGGAACCTCGATGTATTAACATCTAAAGGTTTTATTTAACTCTATGTAAATAAAGAATAAAACTTGTATTAGAATATATAAATAATCTTATCTCTACAAATACATTTCTACTGTTCACCATATAATGAGAACAATCCATGTACAAATACTATATTAGATATCCCTTTTTTTACATAGTTACTTCACTCTAAGTTGTTTAAATATGCTGTTTAAATAAGCGAGAGAATTTAAATTGGTTCTATTAACTCTCAACCTCCTGAATATGTGTAATGGATTTGCCCTGCTCTTAATTTGGAATAGTCCATTTAAATATTAAGGAATTTCCTTTACAAAATGCAAAAATTAAGCTGCCAGAAGTACAGGGAGCTGTCTGGTCCACTCATTAAGTAGCGTTGGACTCTTAAACAGGTGACCCTGGTTCAATTCCTGGACAGTACAGGTTACTTTCATTGTTACTGATAATGAAATCCTTTCTTCAGTCATTTGCACTGTACTTCTGCTCTAGTATGTACAAATTAAGTGACAACAATTCCTTGCGAAAGTGAAGGCAACTAGTGCTGGTAAATTGCTTGTCAGCCAGCCCATAGAACAATGCGGTGGCTGAACTGTGCTCTAATAAATTAAATATGGATTTAAACTGCTGTGGGTGAAAACTACCAATGCTGCATCACCACCAACAGTACAGAACCAGGTCAGACTCGGTGGCACAGATGTGCTGACTGACGCAGTTCTACACTGATGCAAAAGACTAATAACTTTTGTTTCCAGCAGAGGGCATTGAATTACAACTTGTTAACCACCTTATAAAGTCTGTGAGAAAAACATTGTGCAATACTGTGATCAAACAGTTTCAAACGCATTCATACAATATAGGTGTTTGAATCCTAGATAATATTACAATACATATGAAGGTAAAAACTAGAAATCTATTCTTTCATGCAGTATTTAGTGTGATAACTTAAATATTTCCCTGCCAAGTGTATATCAACTAAAGAGTATAAAGCAACTAGTATAACAAAATTGTTACTTTTCATTTATAATCTGCTAAAATACATTCTTTTATATTTATTTTAAATTTTCTTTTTAAAGAATTATTAAGTTATCATTATTAAATTAATTTTATGTTGATTGAAAGTAAATATATAAATAGTAAAATGTGGCAGTTTATAAGTTTGATGATCTATAGGTCTGAACTATTTTGGCATTAAAATGCATCAACAGCAATGAATTGCATACTTGATTTTTTCACAAAATGTTTTTTTGAATTTGTCATGAAAAAGTAAGTTTTGACAACAAAGAAAAACAATCTTCTGTAACAGTACATGTAGTGCTGCCCAACCACCAGGTACTTCAAAGAATATGTTGCAGAATTAGTTTATGGTACAGATTATGCGCAATATGCAATACTCCTATTATAGGGCTGTCCTTATAAAGAAATTCTAGTCTACCCTACCACCTGGTAAATTACCACTTTACCTGCTGGTTATATTTGTAATAGATTTGCCATTTGCTTTGAATTTGTTTTCCATTTAAATTTCAAATGATTCTATAATAATTATAAAAGCTAAAAACTGAGCAACAAACAGTATCGATCGAGCCCCAGGTCAGACTGCACAGAATGAAGTCCAGGTTTGTTTTGACGACCCACCAACACAATTCTGGTCATATGACGTCGGAACAGGAAAGATTATTTTAGCTTACCTTGGGTGTTACAAACTTAAAGCAACACCATGGCTCAAAACCATCTAACTTGCTGGAGCTAAGAGATACATAAATTTGAGTTATTCAAACCCATTTTTAGTTGCCTATTATGAATTAAACGGTGGCTGCAATCCTGATGCCTCAACCCTTAAAGGCAACCGCTCAGCCACAAGTGGGTACAGACTGGCCAGACTCTATGCTGTTGCTAAAGGCTCAATACTATTTTAAGTTCCAGCAGGTAAAGGGTTAGGCTACATGCTAACATAAACAATGGGGGGAACATTATGACATGGGTGTAGCAATACGTACTGTAGACTGGTGGTATAACGGCAAAATCTGGTTCTATAATTATATATACACGGAGAACATTGTTAAATATATGTGTAACATTTGAGCCGCGCCATGACAAAACCAACATAATGGGTTTGCGAACAGCATGGATCCAGACCAGCCTGCGCGGATAGCCTGCGCATCCGCGCAGTCTGATCAGGATCCATGCTGTTCGCTATCAGTTTCTCTACTAAGTGTAATAGAGTTTGTAAGCGAACAGCATGGATCCTGATCAGACTGCGCGGATGCGCTGGCTGGTCTGGATCCATGCTGGTCGCAAACGCACTATGTTGGTTTTGTCGTGACACGGCTCATATACACGGAGAACGTTGTTAAATATATGTATAACATTGAAGGATGTATATATCTTGGACAAAGAAATAAATGTTTGTTTCTAAGTTAATATTTATGTAAAAAAAATTTGGTTTGTTTGTAATTCTCAACACTTACATAACAGATACTAAAAAGTTCAAATAAAATTTTGCATTATACAAATGATGAGTAAAAGGAAAAAAATATCACATCATATAACTGACAAAAAAATGAAAAGAATTAATCTAAAAATAAATTATATGATCAGAAACAAACATTTTATTTCCTACACAAATGATGAGTGGCTGACACATTTAGGGTGTATGACTAGCTGAATAATCAAAACATTTTTTTAAGTAAAAGCAGCATGCCTCCAGATTTATGCTAATTTTCATGAAAATTTTGAAAATGTATTTAAAAGTATAATATTGTAAAGTGAACAATGGAAGAAATTTGCACATTGCTAATGGCACTTACACTGCACATAAATTAATTACCAAAAAGCAGCAAAAATATATGCAATAATAGCCCTTACTCAGTAGAAATATAGTTATTAATACTGCATAATCAGTAAGTAATTACAAATACTGGTACCATGTAAATTATTACTTGAATCTTGAATCTTTTTACTTTTCTAAAACATTTTTCTCAAGTTTTTACGAAATATTTCGGCTCATCTGAAGGCATGCAGCTCGGACTCTGAAGAACTTTAAATTCAGTACATGAAAATTATGCGTATTATAAGTTCTTTATTTTCAGTAATAAGATCTTGTTTTGCAAAATCAAACAAATGAGAACTATACATGATTGTATAAGTAAGTGGTCATATTAATAACAATCAATTTTGTTACTGACAAACATTTAATTATTAATAAATTAATGGTTAATACATTTATGATATATATTTACATCTAGCCAAACTTATATATTCAGGATATCAAAGACTTTATGTAAATGATCAAGAAAGATTAATATATTAGCCCGGGGTTCTATGATATCACTGTACTTAACATTTATCAGAAAATATTTAAATATAAATATCATAAATGAATGAGATTTTTCTTCCATCTTATAACTGAACCTTTTCCAGAACTGTTTGTCAAAAAATATTTCAAAAGAACCAATAAAAATGACATTTTTTAGAATATTTTCAATGTCTGCCATTTTGGGTAATTTCAGAGGAGGTTACTACGGTATCAAGGTAATCCCCAAAAAAGCAAGTATGGAAGGATAGTCTCATGGGTCAAAACTTTCAAGTTAAGTTGTGAAAAACTTCCAACAGTTAACTTGCTGTAAAATTAAAACTATATGAACAGACTATATGTCAGTATATGTGTTTATAACATATTTTAATTGACTGTGTAAAATTAATTAAGGAAAATGGTAGTCAAATATGAAGGTTTTATAAAAATAGTTTTCTTGCCACAAATACATTCATTATTCACCAAATTAAATTTATTGGCAGATGAAAATGAATCTAGTGTGCAAGTTTTACAAATATTAGCATCATCATGTGTTGCTTTTACTAACAGTCACAGAAAATTTAAATACCTTGATATCATAGAACCCTTGATATCATAGGAACCAAGTATATATTGATATAATTAGCAAAAATGTAAAATGTATTTATAATAGCGAAAGAACCTTTCCCAATCCCAACAGTTCATGAAAAAGTAAATTTATATTTTTTGGGTTGGGTTTTATGTAACAGTGCATCAATTTTGTACAATAAAAGTGATTATTCTGGAACATGAAGGTCAGAGCAATGATCTGAAATTTTGCATTCAGGTGTTTTGTATAATCCTACATCAAATAGTATAAATTTCTCAAGAAAACATTTTCTGTCCCCTCATATAAAAAAAAAACGCAGTGAAGTTCCTTTAAGATGATTTAGAGCCTTTTTTTTTTCTTTCTCTTTTATAAGAGCCTTGCATATAAACATTTTGGAGATCATTTACATAAAATCATAAATTGCATTCACTTTTCTCTGAATTAACAATTAAATAACAACTACATATTACCGGTGGTGGATTATCTATATTTAGTTCATAAGGTGTTCCTCCGTAGCCGAATCTGATCACGTCCCCTGGTGCGAGACGAACAGCGGCATTTTGAACACGAACATCATTAACGTATGTTCCCTGTGTGGAGTTGAGATCTTGTAACACATAGCAATCTTCTTGTTCGCTGTACTCTACGACGGCGTGTTGTTGGTCTACACCATTTGTCTATAAATAAAAAGATAAATAAACACAACGTTTTATACAAAAACAGGGAAAAGTATGTGAATTATTACAGAAATTAATGCAACAAAATGTAAATGTTTTTATAGTTACTGACAAAGATTTGCTTTGATATAATACACAGGTAAACGTTGCGTGACCATGACTTACACTAAACCCCCGTTCCCCCTCTACAACCCAAAACCCTAAAAAAAATTATAAAAAAAAATTTTATGACTAAAATATTATAAAGGTATTTTACTCTACTTTCATTTTGCATAGAAATATCACTAGCATCTCAATTATCAGCGCATATATTCATCAATTTTTCACCAATCTTAACAATCTTGGTCTCAAATCTTAGATAAATAAATACTCTTTAAGAAAACAACAATGGCACCTTCGCTGATTATACGTAGCAAGAAATATCCAAGCCCAAACTGTCAACAAATGAAACTCGGAAGAGATCTGATTGCACCGTTTCGGTAAAACTCTCACGAGTAAAACACACTAAATTCACCGTGAAAGAATATTTCTTTGTATTGCGTATTTAAATATGATAAAATTAAGTTATTATTTATAATAATTGTTCAATCAAAGCATCATATGAAACTATAACGCACCTTTTTATCTATATGTCAAATTCTCAATCCAAAATGAAAGTAAATTGGCACAGCAGAGTTGTTTCCCTTTAAGTATTTTCATTGGTCCGAGGTTTTCCTGTGACCAATGAAAATACTCCATTTGAAAACAATCTGCAGGCCCATTTTACTTTCATTTTGGAATCAGATTTTTTCTTCCATAGATTATCAAATATATGAAAATGAAATAAATTAAATATCACAGACTACTTAACAATAAAAGATGTATGTGTCTTTTTTTCTTTTTCAACCTTCCATTTATATATAACACACTTATTGTTATATTTCATACATTTATTTCATCACTTCGCCACGGCACACCAATCACTGCAGTCATTTTAAGCAGAGTAATTATTTCACTATAATATTGTTAAACTTGATATCAAAACAAAACTTTAATCAAAGCAATTCTTTGGCAGTATTAATAGACCCTTATTATTGCTTATCAAGTTCTAAGAAAATTAATGAGTTTCTTCATTTTGTAATAAATCATCCAGTAAGATCCAACGGTAATACGCCCATTCTCAATAAAACAAAGCATTTGAGGTTGGAAAATATTAAAAATTTGATGTTGTCATTTTGTCATTTTTTATCCCTGAAGTAAAAGTTTAGGGTATTTTGCAAGTTTGCCAGAAATATTTTCAACAAGAAACTAAAATATAACAGGATAGCATTTATTTCGGTAATGACAATGCATTTCCTCGGTAACGTAGATTTCAGATCTAATAATGTAACATATGGGCTGAATATAGATAGCAAATGTCTGTAAAATATATCAAAATCTGTAAATTCTCTATGTAGAGGGACTTTCAAACCCAGGAAAATTCAAGGAAGTCGGATTCCTTGCTAATTTTTAGTTAATTTCTTCAAAGTTAAATATTCGTTGAAAGCAAAAAGAGTCAAATTTGGAAATGATTATTTCATGTCTTCATTCAAAGGATATATATCATTTATAATATATGAGAGGTCAAATGCATACACAAATGTTGTATTTAGTAACCTTTTTCTTCAAACATTCAACTTTCCATTTTCTTCATATTTGGAAAATTTATTGCTAAGCAGTTCTATATTTAACCCCATATGGCATATCACGTATGTTTCTTTTTTTTCAATTACAAGTAAAGGCTAAGAAAACAATTTCATTTTTTGTAAAATAATTTATATTTTTGGATATTATTTTAACATTATTATATATAGAATGAAATATGACCAATAAGCTATTTGCAGAAACGAATTAGTTGTTGTAGAGAACTTCAACAGCTTGTTATATATTTTTAACATTTCTGCTGGTACATCAACATATTATGCAAATATCTTTCCTTTGCAAAAACACTTTTGTATTTTCTTTCATCTAATACAAGGTTACCGTTACTAACAGGCATGCTAATTCCAGTAAATTTTCAAAAATTGTTGAATTGTAAGTTGGAGTAACGTATGTTTCACACTGGTCTATTTATGAACTTTATCACAAAATTGAAATTTACATGTAAAATCGACTTTTTTATTTAGAAATCAAATGTATATCATTCTTTTGTCATAAAAATGCGATTTTATGTTTTTTATATTTGCATGTGTAAAAAATATAAAGTCTGTTTGATAAAAGTAACGTTTGTTTCACTGTGGTTACTTAAACATGTTGAAACTCGACCAAAGTTAACAAAATTTACTTACTAATGTCAAATGGAAGTTAATGTTGCTGTTATACGTGCTTTCTGACTTCAATTTACCTTTGGATAAAATTATTTTAAAAAGTTAGTAACGTATGTTTCTGTAACGTATGTTTCATTTTTACATCGAAATTGGGTTGAAAAATGACGCAAGAGCATATAACCCGCCATAATTTGTGGTTAATATATCAGAGTTACACACATGTTAATTTTATTTCTTGTTTGGAGTCTTCCTTGAATGGATCAGTTCTTAAACAATGGTAACGTATGTTTCTTTTTAAAATGCTGTTGAAAAAAATTGAATAAAAATTGAAAATTTCCGAAAACAGAATGATATTTTGGAGGCTGCAAGCTTATTTTTGCTTATAATTATATATATGCTGTATTATTAAGCATGCATCGATTCAATAATGTAATTTCTGTTTCGCTTCCAATTGTTTTAGGTTTGAAAATATTTATTTATATACGTTTGGCGACATTTGATCATCCATTATATCAATGAGGTTTTATCAATCAAATATAATTTTTACTAATAATCGAAGTGCATATATACACGCGGCAATGACAAATTGCACATGTTTCGTTTATTCTGGAACTTATTTTTCTGAAACACAATTTCAAAGTTAAAAAATCTAGGTGGCGACAGTAACGTATGTTACATTTTAGGGCATTAATGGTACTTGTAAAAGAAAAATACCATATAAAAATGTAAAACTGAGAGAGTCCCTATTAGACAAAGTGGCAGCCACCTTTCTAACGACATTTTGACCTCAAGAAATTCCTTCGTATAAGAGCTACCCAGTGGAACACCAAATGCTGTGTTTTATTGAGAATGAGCGAATAGTTGAAGAGCTCCTAACTAAGGTCTAAAGCCTTAAAACATAAAATTTGAAAATCCTACATAGATCACATGGGGCGCTAATTAACATGAAAAAATATGAAACAGATAATAAAACATATATTAGGAATTTAATTGAAAATCATTAGTTACATGTACTCTGAAAGATAAACTAGAACTCCGCGAGTCGGATGTGTCGCCTTGTGAACAATGTAGTTTAGGGGAAATGGCCAGGACAAAAATGAAATATGAAAAATAACAAAGGGCAATAACTAAAAAAATAATACGTGCAGAGCAGCATTTCTGTACACTGCACTTCTTATCAATAAGATCTATCATTCTATGATGTTTCAAGTCCATAGCTTTCATACTTGAGGAGAAATGACCAGGACAGAAATAAAGTAAGAAAATCAAAAAAGGGCAATTACTCAAAAATAAGAAATGCAGAGTATCAGTTCTTATGCACTGCACTTCTTTTTAATGAGATCTATCATCCTATGAAGTTTCAAGTCCATAACTTTTATACTTTCGGAGAAATGGCCTGGACAAAAATTAAGTATGAAAATTAACAAAGGGCCATAACTCAAAAATTAAGAAATGCAAAGTACCGATTCTTGTGCACTGCACTTCTTAATAATGAGATCTATCATCCTATGAAGTTTCAAGTCCATAGCTTTTATACTTAAGGAGAAATGGCCCGGACAAAATTAAAAAATGAAAATAAACAAAGGGCAATAACTCAAAAAATAAGAAATGCAGAGTACCAGTTCTTGTGCACTGCACTTCTTCTTAATGAGACCTATCATCCTATGAAGTTTCAAGTCCATGGCTTTTATACATTAGGAGAAATGGCCCGGACAAAAATAAAGTATGAAAATTAACAAAGGGCAATAACTCAAAAATTAGGAAGTGCAGAGTACTGGTTCTTGTGCACTGCATTTCTTCTTAATGAGATCTATCATCCTATGAAGTTTCAAGTCTATAGCTTTTTTAGTTGAAGAGAAATGGCCCGGACAAAATTAAAGTATGAAAATTAACAAAGGGCAATAACTCAAAAAATAAGAACTGCAGAGTACCGGTCCTTGTGCACTGCACTTCGGGTTATTGAAAGAAGCATGCATACCAAGTTTGAAGTCAATCAGACTTATAGTGACTGAGTTATGCTCCGGACAAGCTTTAGCGGACGCCGACGCCGACAACGACGCCGACACAGACGCCGCCGCCGCCGACACCGCCGACAAAAGTAACCCCTATATGTCACCTTTTCAAGGCGACACAAAAAGCATTTTAAAACTTTTATATTTAAGTTTATTTCCTAAATACAAATGATTATTCAGGAAAAACAAAGCAAGCAAACCATCTAAAATATTGGTACAGACCATGATCAAATGGTGTAAAAATCTAGAAAAAAATTAAGTTCCATAATGTACTTAAAACCTCAGTGTTGTCCCTTTAATGTCATGTGTCAGTCCAGCCAGCCTACAACTCCCTACATTCTAGCCAAACTATCAATGACAACATTTGTTCAGTATTTTTTAACATGAAATTAAACAATGAGTTAAATGAATGTCACCCTTCTTTATTGATCATTGTTGTTAAAAAACTGGACGTTTTTTTAAGGATTCTGTTTTCTTTATTTTGTTCTCATATATTTCAGAGAAATTGAAATCACAGATTTTACCTCAAAATTAACGCATAGCAAAATTAAGCATTTTGAAACAGACCTGTAAGTATAACATAAAAAAATAATTGTTAAAAGCAATCAAAGAAAATTAAATCACAGTCTCAAAAGCTTTTATAATTTATAATTATTTTTTGTAACTCACCACAGATCGAAATCTTGTTTGGACTTTTCTAGCATCGTAAGACAACTTAAAAATATTGTTTTTACGTAAAATTTCTACATGAATAAAGTGGAACAACCTAATTAAGGCTTTGTTTACTAATGAATAAAATCAAACAAGGCTAAGTTATAAGTTAGCTATTCAGTAAGTATTAATTTTGAAATATTCCCTAAAAATGATGAACAAAAGTTTTATCCAGACTAAAATATGGACAAGTACATTTAAGATATTTAGCAAGGTAAGGGTTAAAAATCCAAGTTAAGGATCATTATAATAAAGCAGCATTTAACGTTTCTTTAATTTACATGTTTACAAGCCCTTTTATCATTTTTATTTAATACTTGTCAATCTTAAATTTTAACAATTTTTCAATAACAATTAAATATTTACTTCTGAATCATATTCAAGGACAATCAAACATTTCACATATAATTTCAAATTTTGTAATACATATATTAACATACTGGTACATTTTAAGGTCAGTCACCATCAAGTTAAAATTGTCTTTCTTATGCAGAATACATTTTGAAAGAGAATTTAAAGCTTTTAATTTGAAAAAAAAACAACAACAAAAAACGCATTATTAAACTTTTGGGGATCAGATCTGTTTTTCTATTTAAGTCTGATAAAATATGGTAATTACATGTATATAAATTAAGGTTCAGTTGATCAGATTTGTATGTAAGTTGACATTTTCTTTTCTTTTATTCAGGTAAGACTTGCCCAAATCCTAGTCACAAAGACAGTATTCATTCATGCTGCTGCAGATTCACTTGATTGATTTAATCTATAATTCATCTATTGGTATCACCTTTCTAGTTAATTACATTAATTACTCTTGGGTAACAATAACAAAAAAAACACCACTGAATTCCAATACTAACAGCTGTTGCTGCCAACAAGGTTTATGTACCCTTGATTCACAGGTCCTACATCCATGAATCAATAGATTGTAATTAGTGTTTTATAATTCAGGTATTGATAGAAACATTACGGTAACTGTTGATAGAGGAAGATTTACAGCGAATTAAATGTCATGTGATACTTATCTAAATGTGTGTAAGACACTGTGATGATATCTGTCATATTAACATGCATGATGATATTAAAACATTGAGATTTTGTTGTTGTTGGTAAATTATACATAATTTATTTTAGTTTGATTGTGTATAGGAAGCTTCTTAAATACCTTTTAGACGCATTTTTGAATCAATTCCTGGAACCAACCAGTACTGAGCAATGAGTGTGAATCGTGACTTGTTCAAGGAAACAACTGTGACCCCTGACAGTGTTTAAACCTATGTTACTCAGATAGTGATCCTTAGATTACTTGAGTCTAACATGTAAACCACTTGGCCATGCAGTCACTTGCTGCTGTTGTTTATTTATACACATACAATTTAAAGCAACATGCCTTAGGTATATACAAAGTTAATTTATATTCAAAGAGGATAACTCAGTAAAATTTCATTGCTAGAGTTATGGGTCTGAGGTGATTACCTACAGTTCTGACCCTGATGTGACAAGCATGAAGTTTCGGGGGAAGATTTTCAGTAGTATAGGAGATATACCATACTTTGCAGGCAAATAAATACCTCAAACTGAAATTTTTGTTTCGTTCACAAAAGGTTTAACTTAGTAAAAGTGACCCAAAAAACATTTTATATTGTGTAAAGTACATTTCAAGCAATTATACTCTCACACCTTATTGTTAAATTAAGCTGGACACAAAAACTAAGTATCCAAGTTAAATATCCATGTTTTATACCACTGCCAACAGCAAGATATCCCTAATTATTTCATCAGAGGTTGATCTAATAGCCATATATTAAGTTCCTTTCTTTCTATTATGACGACATATCAAAATGTATTCAGATTACACAATAATGTTCAATTAAGAGCTAATTTATAGGAATATTGATTATATTGTCATATTCATTATATTTATAATTGTCATAGAAGAAGAAATTTCACATGAATATTACAACAGCAGGCATACAATGTTGATGAGTGCCAGTCTTAAAAAAAAACTGATGTGCAACGTTGAACTGGTACTCTTTTTTATTTTATTTTTTTATTTACCTAATAAAGTATGAAATTATAGATTTGCACTTAACAAAAATCATTTGGTATTATTGTGAACCTAGAAAATCCTCCAGCACTGACAATTTGAACCAGTCAAAGTTCTGCATTTGTTAATGGGCTAACACAGCAACAATGCCATTTGACCCAGTTTACGTTGTTTTTTTTTCAACTATTGTACATATTCTAGTTCTAGTTCTACATCTTACTGCTTTAAAATCGTTTACGATCACTCTAAGCAGGTATACATTTTTTACATTTTTAAGAGACAGCTATGAGATACAAGGGAATCCGGGAACCAGTCCCTAGCTCTTATTGAATAGACCCCTTGGTTCTTTTACATGCCCAGTGTATAGCACTGATACATGCGAGGATTACCTGGATTTCTTACCAGTACACCTCTAGGTACAAATTAATGTGGGTGGGAAACACTGAAAGTGTCTCTGAAAATCCCAAGGTTATAACCCAGGATCAAACCCAGGACCTCAGGAGTGATAATCAGTGGGCTAACCAACTGAGCTATCGAGCCACCGCATTGCCTATCAAATAAAACATATCTGAATGTTATAACAATATATGAACCAGTCATTGAAACGAAGAACCTCTTTTTGCCTTTTCTGTCACTGGTAAATACATGTAGGTACTTTTATGTGAACCTTAAAAAGAGTAGGGAGGTGGCGTAGGAGAGAGGGTGTATTGGCAGTCATTTCATAAATCTAATTATCCTGCACATGGCACGCTAGAGCTTTGTTGGCTCTACATTTTAAATGTTCCCTGCTATTCTACAGGGATTGGGAAATCAGGCTAAATACTTGACAGTGCATTAAGAAATTACTAAATCTGTCCAATAATTTACAAATTCACACTCCTTTTTGGTACAGTAAAAACAGCAAAGTATCTTATCTTCTAGCTTAAAGTGCATTTGAAACTTGTAAAAGCAGTTAATGAATTGAGTGAACAGCTTCAGACATGCATTCACAATGGCACATGATTTTTAATGGTTAAAAGAATTATGCTTAGATACAAAATATATCAAATATTCACCTGTAAAAGTATGTCACATCCATCTTTTCCTATAGTTGTAACTTTAGGTGCCAATGGATAGTAATTCCCATCGTTTCCTTTCAGAAATGCTTTTGAATTCCGGCTCATGATGTTGATTTACCACATGCCAATTAAAAACAACAGGTGCCCGTGAAAAACTGATTAATTGGAAAATCGAACACAGATTTGACTAACTTGCAATTATTTACAACGTTTTCCGATAACACAATTTCAACACTTATTCATATCATATTCAAAAACACATGTAAATTTAAACAATGGTGATGAACTTGTCAATTGTCATCAAAACTATCAGTTTCCACATTTGACAGGTTTCGGCATAACAACCCCAAACAACCATAATCTCTAACCTAGAGACTACATTTGAAAATATTTCTTTATTTATTTTCAATATTTACTGCAATAATTTCATTTCTCTGAGATAATTTTCAATAAATCATTCATATTTATTTGAAACTGGAAAATATATGCCGAAATAAAAAATAAGTTATTAAATAAATTTTGGTTTGAAGACTTTTTAAAAATTAATTCTACTTCCGGTTTCATGCGGTTTGTTTATCGAACAATTACAGCAGTCAAACGGCACGGTTTTAAGCAGTTTCACGAGCAGTGTAGAATCATGCCGAAAGCTTTGGTTATCTTATCTGAAGGAGCGGAGGAAATGGAGACTGTCATCGCCGTTGATGTTCTCAGAAGGGGAGGGGTAAATGTCACCTTTTCTCAGACTATAGTTACTTCCCTTGATGTAAAACTGATTTAGTTAAAAATGTGTTGTCTCCCTTGATAGTTCAATAATATGAAATAAGGCAAAGCCATGAACTGTGAAGTCGATTATAAAGCATTCATTTCTCCGTTTCAAAGGAGTCATTCGGTATTTCATGCACTACATCGGTTTTTACTCGGAACACTCGCCAATTATTATGAAAAAGGCAAAGCCTCAAAATAAACGTTCCTAAATTTTTATTTTATTTTAAAACTGTCATTCGCTATTTTATACACTGCTTCCGTTTATTCTTGTTCCCTGTCCTGTTATTGTTCCCATAGAAGTGTGCAGGAAACCAGTCTACGCATCTGTTTTCATAGCAATCAGAATTCCTCGGGTTTTGTCCTTATCTTGTAATTCGAAAAAGTTGCGGTGTCAAGATATGTGTCAATTTCATACTTCCGATGAAAGTTTTGAAAACCATCACTATCTAGCAGGTACTTGCGTTTATACCATAAAGGTCACTTTGGAAGCAGGCCCTTGGGCCTGCTATTCGAGCTCAATTCTAATCCGAAAAGATTGTTATCGGAATGCCCCGCCTATCTGCTCAGTGTTGGGATATAATTAGCCCAGGGGTTGAACACGCCAAATCAGCAGAATGCCACTAAATTGCAGCTAAATGACATCACTAGATGTTGACAATAACATAATTCTTCCCACTTTTTTGAACAACAAACCAAATATCACATTTTTGCTAGGTCGGACTGGACACTCAATTTTCTATGTGTAAAAACACAATATACTTAACTAGACTGTCTTTCATATCATATCAACTATTTTATGTCCATTTAAATAAATCATTGCATTCTTTCTAGGCCAATTTGTGACCAATATTTGGCCCAAATCCCATCTCCAAAATATTTTTTGTTTCCCCTATTTCTGATAAAATTCCCTTTTAAAAAAAAAGTATGATGATGATATTATATTAGAATTAACATAAAATCATACATGCCCTAATTTTTAGACTCATTTATGGGACACTTTTCATTTGGAGGGCATTGATCATTTTTTTTTAAATTTACATAGTGGCATACAACCTATATTACGGGTAATTACAACTTGCAAATTTAATGACAACATAAACAAGACAAAATGTCAATAATTATTGACAGTTTTTCTATCTTTTTTTAAGTATTTAGGCATCCTAAATTCAATCAGTCACAGGATAGAATAAAGCTATTTTAAGTAAGGACAATTAGCCATGTCATTTGCTAAATCCTGTAGATTTCATCACCTCATATATATAGCGGTAATATTCATGTTGTTTGACCACTAATAACTGCCTGCAGGCGGATTAAATTTATACTGGCCATTTGTTAATGATGTATGGCACCTTCGCTCAGGAAGCCACAGGGGGTAAACAATTAATCCTTATTTCTGGGACTTTCCTGGACATCGGGGACGTTATGGCATGTATGCATTAAATGAACTGATTCATCTGTTTTTAGATTTCCACTTTTTCCCTTAGCAATGCAATTTTCCTCTCTACATAGACCTTGCCACCATTCATCTAAAAGTATGAAAAAAAGCACTGCATTAAATTTTTTAGAAAAAAATCTAAATATCAGATGTAGTCATTTTTCATAACAAATTATTTATTTACATCATGTATTTTGTTTACAGATAGATGTAACGCTTGCTGGTTTAATGAATAGTGATCCTGTATTGTGCAGCCGTAATGTGAAAATAGTACCTGATGCGGCCCTCTCTGATGCTGTTAAACAAGGACCCTATGATGTCGTTGTTTGTCCTGGTGGAGCAAATGGAGCGAAAAATTTAGCTGCGGTGAGAATAAGTTTTTAATGGATTTATTTCATAAATCTGATGCTCAAATGAAGATTTATCAATATTGTAAGTTTCAAAAAGCATTATTTGTAAAGATATTACCGGATTTAATATTTCATGTAAGTTAAGGGAGGTAATTAGTTATTTATTTTCGATGAAGTCTTCAGTAAGAAATGAATGCATTAATTTTTATTCTAATGTTTAATTATAATGTAAATTTGTATATAAACATTTGCTGTACATATTTAACATATTCTTGGATGTTTGGAAATTGTTTTAGAAGAATAATTATATACATAATTATATAAAACTTCACTTAACTGTATGTTACATCCTTAATTACAACATACAGGATCTTTTATTAATATGATTTTTAATCTTCTATATTGTTTTTTTCCTACCCTACTTTTGATTATGCTCATTTCTTCGCTGCCTTGTTGAGTTGAATTTATAATATATTTCAATTTCTGAGACATAATGTTCCATATCATTATGGTATGTCAATTGAATTATTCCTAAAAATATTTTTAAAAAATTTGGCAAAGTTATTATATAAAACTCCTCTCTTTCGAAGAAAAAGTGGAGCTATAATTACTATTGCTGTGGTGGCAGGGTTAGCAAAAACTTTACTGTAGCACATTTCTCAATGTTTAATGTGAAAAAAGTCAGTTGTTAGACAAGGGGCATTATTCTGAAAGCTTTATTTTTTGAGTTATTCCCCTTTTTGACTCTTTTTATTGGTATTAAAGATGATTTCAAAACTATTATAGCTATAAACTTGAAACTTGTAATGCTTGATCATCATGACAAAGCAGTTGTAAAACAAGGGACATTATCCTGAAGGCAAATATATTTAGGAGTTCTGCCCCTTTTAAACTTACAATATTTATTGATAGTGGTTTACAGCGCATGCACTGCTCCTATTTGTATTTAATATTTGTTTGGACATGGTTTTAGAATTAGTTGATTTGAGGACAGGACAAAAGAAATAACACTTGATGTATTTATAACATAAGTTTATTTTATTTCAGTCAAAAGAAGTTGGAGAGATTCTACAGGATCAGGAGAAAGGTGGCAGAGTGATAGCAGCAGTATGTGCAGGTAATATATCATAGGTTTAAATAATGGGTAACTGTTATCATGCTTAATATGAATAATGAACATGGCGGTATTTGAAGTTGGCCAAATAGTTATGGTAATTGCCTTCAAACCACTTACCCATCACTGCTGTGGGTTCAGATTCCGACACAGACTTTTTATTCTTTCATATCCAACTAACTTATGGAACGTTGGTGGTTGTACTCAAGTGCCTGTTTGTGCTTGAAATAATTCACAGAAGGGCACCTATGCTCTTCCTCCAACAGTAATGCTGGAAGGTTGCCATATGACCTATAATGTGTTGGTGTGACATAATACCAAAAAATAACCACAAAAAACATGATTCCTATACATGTATTACAGTATATTATTTCAAACAAAGATAAATACCGTATTTGAATATCCAAAGCAGCCAACAGTATGGAATTATGGTCTGACATAAAGGTTGGCATTGCCCTTAACTTGTAGGCTTATTGTTAGTACTTGTATGAGTTTAGCTTTTCATAACTCTTTGATTGATTCATAATATAAGTTTATGGTTCTACCATGGTGAGCCCTTTGATTTTAAAATACATGTATTACATGAAAAATAAAATTCCCCCAAAAATATAAAAATTGTACATTGTATATGTTTTCTTTCAGCTCCAATTGCTCTGGCCAGTCACAAAGTGGGCAGTGGAAAGAATGTAACATCTCATCCTAGTGTGAAAGATAAGTTAGGTAAGTACATTACCTCTAAGACAACGGTAACTCTTTGTTTTGTTGTTGTTTTTCATTCTTTTTATACGCCCGTTTGAAAAACGGGACGTATTATGGGAACGCCCCTGGCGGGCGGGCGGCGTCCAATTTTGTCTGGAGCATATCTCCTACATGTATGGAGGGATTTTAATGAAACTTCATAGAAATTTTAACCACTATCAGAAGCTTAGCTTCGCACATGAACAAGGTCTCTAGGTCAAAGGTCAAGGTCACACTTAGAGGTCATTGAAAAATGCTTGTCAGAGCAAAACTTCCACATGTATAGAGGGATTTCAATATTACTTGGCACAAATGTTCACCATTGTGAGGCGGAGTGTCGCGTGCAAGATTCAGGTCCTTGCGGCCAAGGTCAAGGTCACACATAGAGGTCAAAGTTCAGATAAAAATATGAAGATGTGTATATGGACCATTTAGTCATCATTAGTCCCCTACCGGTTTAACCGGAGGGGACTTTAGGTTTACCCTCCGTCCGTCTGTCCGTCTGTCTGTCTGTCCGTCTGTCTGTCCGTCTGTCTGTCTGTCAGTCTGTCAGTCCGTCAGTCCGTCCGTCCACAAAACTGGATCCCGCGATAACGCAAAAAGTACTGAAAATATTTTTATGAAACTTGATATATGGATAGATGGCAGTATGGAGATTATGCACGTCTTTTTTTTTTCTTCCTATGTTGAAAATTCTGGTTGCTATGGCAACAAATAGTCTGAAAATATGGCAAATTTAACACATAAACTGGATCCAGTGATAACTCAAAAAGTACTGAAAATATTTTTATGAAACTTGAAATATGGGTAGATGGCAGTCTGGAGATTATGCACATCTTTTTATTTTCTTCCTATGTTGAAAATTCTGGTTGCTATGGCAACAAATAGCCTGAATTTCAAGATTTCTGATTTAAATTTTTCAGCTTTTTTCACTATATGTTCTTTATTTCTTAAGGTGTTTACTTCAAACTTTAAATATATAAGTTCCTGGTCATCAACCACATCATATGTGACAAGGTTTTATAACTCTAGCACAAAAAATATTAATATTACCTCCCTTGAACTTAGATTTTTTAGGGGAAAAAATGTTGTCTTTTTTAAATAACTTCTTTATTTCCTAATGTATCTACTTCAAACTTCATATATATGTTTCTTATTATCACTCGACATTTTTGAGAAGGTTAAATACTCTAGCAAGACTATTTCCAGAATTATGTCCCCCTTGAACTTAGATTTTTTTCGAGAAACTGGTATTTTCACTCCAACTTCTTCATTCCTTATAGGATTTACTTTAAAATCCCACATCGTAATAATATGACAAGGTTGTATAAACATAATTTCCTTACTAAGCATGGAAACTTAACACATTACTGTGATATAAACAAACTTATTTTATTATGTTTTGTGGTCGATATTTTCAAATACAGACTTCATCCTCAAATTCATTATAAATGGCAATACACAGGAGTGTATGACAATTAAAGAACTTTTTGAGGGACCGGTAGGGGACTACTGTATTGCCCGCAATACTATCAAATGCTTGTTTATTGAGGGATTGTAACACAAATGGTCATTATCAAGACTATGGCTGTGATACATATAATTTAGGTCAATATATACAAGGTCAAGGTCACTAAAGATGATGAAATATCCAGATTTTGTAAATAGAATTTAATCAAAGGGCAACAACAAAGTTATTACTTTGTTCATAAATGACTTACACAATTACTCCCCTTGATCTACTTTCACTTTCAATTCTAAAAATAGAATTTAATCAAAGGGCATAAAATAATCCTCTTTCTTGGACTTGAGTATGTTCTAAAGAATGTAACATTTATTTACACATGTTTCATTCATTGGTCAAGATTCTTAACTGTGATAACTATGGTGTTCTGTAGACTTGGTATTTGTTCATAAAGATCATACAGTAATTACCTTATCAAATGTAAATACTTTCTCATAGAAATTTAATTATATTTTAATTTTCAAGTAAATATCAGTTCAGCTCATTCAAAGATTAAGAATTGTAATGAAATGTATTTCCCTAGAATAAAATCTTAAATCAGAATTTTTTAGTTATTAAATTACAATTACATGTACTTTTTATCTTCCCTACTGATTTGTTTTAAGGTTCATTTAACAACACAGTGCCAAGGATAAAAACTTGCTTGCTAGATAACACTTATCCATAATGCCCCCATCTCCATCTAAAGCTTTCGTAAACGGGTGTATTTTGTGACTATGGCACCCTTGTTGTTGTTGTTTTTCAAGATTAAAAAAATCAGCCTCATTTAGGGACTGACATATTCTTACCTAAAAATTGATTTATCTTAGCACAGGTTTCTACAGATATACATTTGTTTGATGGTACATAAACCATCTTGGGCACATGAAACAGAAAGACATAATCTCGAAAAATTATTTTCAATCCTGTCATATCAAAAACCTCAGAGTAGTCCCTTTAAGAAACATTTTTTTTTGTTTTAAAAACTTTTTCTTTAGAAGGTATCTATAAAATTTAATATGAAATTTTTTAAGAGTTTACAAGTACTAGAGATCGGAGTACAGGGGGGAAGTTGAAAAGTCGGGGCCCTGGACCTGCTTCATCGCTTGAAATTGTCGAAGCCATACAGGGTAAAGAGAAAGCAGATTCATTGGTGGCACCGATGCTTGTAAAAATGTGATTACCTTGGCAACTGCACAGACTATATTCTTGTTGCCATAAAGTTGAATTTACCCATTCAGTGTGAGTGAACTCTCGAAAAAAAGTGGCGAAGATTATGATGTAAATTTTGAGTGATTAAGTTTGTTACTCAGCATTTCCTCATAGTGATCAATAAAAATCCTATAGGTCAAAGGTTATGGATCATAGATTGCATATACCTGCATGGAATTTTTACCTTATGTTGTAATTGGGTGTCCTAGACTCGACCCTGTCCTTCAGTTGCCTCCATACTTGAATTCTCTGCACATATCCTTGCCATTTTATTGTTAAGAAAAAATTGTAAATTTTTATTGTTGAAGTTAGTTTTCTGATCTTTTCTTTTGCAAAAATTTTGTTAACTGTAAAAAAGACTACTCTATCGTAAAATGTCAAGGTATTTATGCTGAAATCATTATAATAATAAATGAACGCTAATGTCATTAGTTGTTTTTGAGTTCAGATGTTGTGTAGATTTATATTCAAACTAAGGCATAATGTTTTTATCAAAGCTTGACAAAAATTTCATAATTTCCAGATTTTCCTTTACTTTATGAATCTCACGTTTCGGAATTTTCCATTTTTCGAAGAATGTGGTGGCTTGTTGCTGTAAGCAATGAATGAGTGTAGATATACATGTATTACTCAGTTTAATACATCTACATACATATAGAAATATGTGTGTATTGTACTGTTAAATCATAAGCTCATTTGGTGCATAATGTTGTTATTTGATAAATATTTAATACTGTTTGTTTTTCTGAAATAAATAACAATAAAAAAGCATTACACATTTTTCTCATGTTTTATTATCAGATTTTGTTATAATGAAAATACATGTCAGTTACATGTTCAGGATCTATTTGGATGCAGTGTCATTTTTACCTTTATTTTGAAAGACAGAAGAGTGATAGGAAAATTCTTCCAGGTTAAAGGGAGGTAATTTGCGTAATTTAATTTTAGTTTATACAAATCTACCCAAGAATAAGAAAAGCATTTCCCAGACCATATTATAATACACATTGCTACATGAATATAAATTATAAAGTTTCCAGTACCTACTTGCAATACATTTATTATTACCCTGAAACTATTAATGGGAACAAATTATATATGATAATAAATCTTAGTGTTTGAAATCATTTTTTGTCCAATAGGATTTCAGTATTTAAAATGAATCGTAATACATTTACTTTGGTAAATTAGTAAATGTTAATCAGTCTAGTAAATCAATTGTTTATAAAAATAACTTGGAACACTAAGCTGGTATGTATTTACAAAATTAAATTGTTCGCCCCGCACAGCCAGGCCTGACCAATTTAATTTTGTAAATACACACTAATGAACTTTTTCTATAGTATACATAATAGGTCAATTTACACTCGTACACATAGTCAGAATAATTGTCAAGTATTGAAAATGAAAAACATGCAGTCAACAGTTGGGATTATAACAGGTATAACTGATAACAAAATTTTCTTTGGTTATTTCTTGGTTAATAATACATCAGTTACCCAGGATTTGTCTGCATATCTAAAATCTACCTACATTGTATGATTGACGAACTACCAAAACAAGATAAATTTTGTTTAAATAATTGGTATCTAATTCTAAAAATAATTTACTTAATTTTCAATTGATTATAGTGTTTACAGATAATCATGATGAATGTATATATAATGTATCAATGATGAATTATTATGGGTAATCTGCATATATATTATATACCCGTCACCTGCTGATTTAATAATGGCTATAATTTGTTACCTCTGAAATTATTTGTCTTAAGCTTAAAACGAAACATAGAATTTGTTTTAAAATGGTTTCTCCTGATAAATGGTCATGGTCTTGATAATGAAATCCAATTGTAGCAAAAAGGACGAAATATTCTTTGTAAAGATTACTGGAAAATTGCTGAGAGTACTTTAAACATGAAGCGTCTCGTCACATAGTGTAAAGGCCCATTAGGCCCCAGAAATGCTTTTCTTTATATATCTTAACTCTTATTTTAAATGTCATATTATACTTTCCAGAATTTACCCTTTTGCCAGTGACCAGCTTAACCTTTTGCATCTGCAGTTGCCTTTTATAATCAGTACAGTTAATATATGTAGTTATTTTGTATGGAAGTCAAAATACTACATGTACTTTGTTTACATTTTTCTATTTTTATAACAAATAGTGTTACATTCAGGGCTACTCTTTTCAAGTGATAAACATCTAAAACCTCTAAATCCATTATTCCGATGTTATAAAACTCATGTTTCCCCTTCTCTATAGATAAAAAATACCCTTTTCTGAGGTTTAATTATTGTTCCTTTTAAGCAAATTGTTAAATAAAGAAATGCAGCGATAAACACTAGTGAAATTGTTTCTTTTGCTATAAAATTGACTAAGAGAAGTTGTTCTTTCTAGAAATATGTTTTTACCTATACATACAAGTGCTAAATTGGTATACAGGTATAAGAGTGCTCATTTTAATAACAGTTTCATGTACATATTGCTTGGATGAAATGCAAAGAAATTATGTATTCATATAATAAATTATATATTCATATTACAAGGTTCACGATCTGAAATACCCAGTGTTACATCAATAATACTTCATTTAAGTGACATTATGCTCATTTTCTCGTTGAAAAGTCAAGCTTTATTTATAATTAGTTCCATATTTCAAAAGCCATTGACCAAAAATTTAAAAAAAAAGGTCTGAAATATAAAAATACTGCAGTACTTTCAATTGACCGTAACAGATGCATGTACATTTTTACGGATATTTAAAGAACTTTCCATGAGTCATGTGGGTTATTGAAATAGAATACACAATTGAAAACAATTGTCAAAATGTCAAGTTTTTTTACTTTTACAGGCACACTCACCATTTACATTTTAGATTGGGATAATGTCACATGCCAGACCAGCGTGTAAGTTTGGTTATGTTTAAAGATTTTATGTACTGCAAAGTTACAACCGCTTTTATAACAACACAAATAAATTTAATATAGTTTATATTATATTCTTTTTCATTACAAAACGGGTCAATTAAATGCTACAAACGAAATTTCACTTTTTAGGAACTTTTTTAACGTGGTGTCTTGAAAACAAACAATATTCAATTGTCCTTCAGTTATGTTTGTTTGTATTCGTGTTTTATAGAAAATGTTAGTTGTTAAATAATTAATGTTTGACTTAAGTACACCCGAAATTATACAGTTAATTTTATATCATAAAAACATACACGAACGTACATAAATAATATCAGCTCGCAAAATATCCACTAGAAGTTGTGTTGTACTCCTGTATCACAATCAACAATTGTGTTTTCGAATTCATATTGTACATACACAATAAGACACTGTCGTTCGTAGCAATGTTGTACTAGTTTATCTTAGTGAGCAAATATTTTCAGGAAGGCATCTAATCATTGAAAAGCAATCAGTAATCATTCGTTTTTTCAAGTCTGTATTCAGTCATCCGTCATTAATTGTCTTTATGCAAAACAGTCTGAATTCAGGTATAGTATATGTCCGGCTGTATTAATAAAATACCGGCAGTACAGCAAATAATTATTTAAAGATAATGCTGTATTTTTTATATCACCGACATCCAGCAGATATCCCCTAAAAATTATAATTTTTCATCTACCACAGAATAACCTTCAAATAACTTTTGGCACTTGGCCCCATTTTATTTCTATGACAACTAACTAGCATCAATATAATAAACATTGTTCTATATGTCACAATAAGCTAGCAAATATCTTTTCGAAATTAGTTTGTTTGTCCTCTAAGCCTGCAAATATCTTCTCGAACATGTGGTTTATTTTTATTTCATACTAAACCAGAAAAATACTTATCGGAAAAAAAAAATGTTATTAGCAGCAACTACGTTTTTATTAAGCATCAACTGCCATATCGAAAGGAAAGCACTTGTGTCTATTTCTTTCTTTCACAGAAACGCTTCAACTATCGTTTACAAAGTCCACGCAGTTCTTTCAGTTACAATAAGCCAGCAAAGATCTTCTCGAAGGCATGCTTTGCTTTCCTACGTTCAGTTTCATTATACACCACCTCTTCTTCCGATCCAGATCCTAAAATACTTCTACGCCTTGACTTGCCGCCTTTACTTCTATGTCTACGTCTATTCCCGTCCCAGGACTTGTTTGCATTAATATCTCTTGGGTTTTCATGTATAATATCGGTTTTAGCAAGGACAGGCATCCCTCCAAAGTCTGTAATTTGATCATCTTCATTGAAAACGTTTTCATCGTCCTCTTCTTTAACGCTATGAATTGTGATTTCCTCGTTTGGTTCATCCTGTTGCGCTCCGCATATTTCTTTCTCTTCATGAATATCATAGTTTGCATTAGCATTATGGGGTAGTTTTGGAAGGAAATGTGAATGTAGATTTAGATCGTTGCTGTCTAACCTGTCTCTATTTGTGTAAGAGAGATCGTCCGGTATGTCATGATGCAAATGTGTCCTCTGACGAATATTGTTCATCATGTTGACGAAATATAATCTCATCCTCATGTTGAAGAAGTCAGTAGGTCCCTGCTTTTTCCCGTCTTTGTCCTTCTTGTCTTCTTTTTCCGGCTCCTTGACGTTAAAGTGATGAGAATAGTACCGCCTGCAGTAACTTAAGTTGCTCGGCTCACTTAAACATCGTTGTCGACTTGTACCAACCGTGTTTTGACTTCTAGATGTACTTATATCAGAGTCATCGCACACATAGTCCGGTTTCTTTTGTCGAATTTGTCTCACCTCGCGCTTTATCTTTCGAGTTTGACGCGCGTGTATTTTTTCCACGTCTCTGCGATATTTATTAATGATTTTTTCTTGAAGTGTAAGCCGGGCGTCAAGTTGTGTGTTGACGACACGCATCTTTTCAAAAACAACGGCGTCCAGTCTGTCACACAAACTCGACTGGATGTTATTGTTTACTGGAGGGCTCATTGGCAAGTTTATATCCATCTTAGCAAGGAAATGTTATCTTGACAAAAAACAGTATGGAGAATAAATGATTTTAATCTGTCGTTACCACGTAAACACGTTTAAGTGTATAGGTATAGCGGAAGTTCTGTTGACATTTTATTCTGAAGCATGGCTAAATTGATATAATCTTATGTTTACACTCTGTTGAAATATTTCAAGTTTAATATAATGTTGGTGTTTTCATTTCAATGAATTCTTCTGATTGAACATAATTTTGTTCATTTTTAACTATTCGTTACACGTGAATTTCGTTCAAAATCTGTTCTTTTTGCGAACTTGGTATTTTGTATGAACTGGTTAAATTAATTTATTGCATTTTCTTGCACTAATTTTAAATCTCAATTCGTTTAATTTATTGTTAATTATTTAAATGATAAAATCGTACTCCACTATTCCCTTTCTCTTCAGTTTATCGGTGTTTACTGTACTGTCCTAAATAACAATGTATTTCCTCTGGAATCTATTGCGCGCTTCTTGCGCGGTCTACAAGTAACAATGTATTTCCTCTGGAATCTATTGCGCGCTTCTTGCGCGGTCTACAAGTAACAGTGTATTTCCTCTGGAATCTATTGCGCGCTTCTTGCGCGGTCTACAAGTAACAGTGTATTTCCTCTGGAATCTATTGCGCGCTTCTTGCGCGGTCTACAAGTAACAGTGTATTTCCTCTGGAATCTATTGCGCGCTTCTTGCGCGGTCTACAAGTAACAGTGTATTTCCTCTGGAATCTATTGCGCGCTTCTTGCGCGGTCTACAAGTAACAGTGTATTTCCTCTGGAATCTATTGCGCGCTTCTTGCGCGGTCTACAAGTAACAATCTTCTCTCTTAATGTCTGGGATTTATTGCCTGCTTTTTATGCGGTCTACAAGTTTGCTTCGGTATATATTTGTATTTCCTTCCTACATATATATTTTTGCGAGATTCCCTCTCTTTTTCCTTTTTCTATGAGCTTATTTCGTGTTGTTATGCGTTTGTTTTACGACGTCAAAATCTCATCCTTAATTTCACTGGTACAAATATATTCCATATTTTCATGAAGAAAACTTTCGATTTATTTCCCTATATTTTTTTTAGGAATATAGTATAGTATTTTCTTTACTGAGGAGTACTGTTTAACGAGATAAATTTAGCTTTATTATAACTCTGTCCTTGTTATTTCTTATATAAACATATTTCATGATATTTCTCACTTTGTAAAAAGATCATTTCCACCTGAATTCCTGGTATGACAGTGTCCGTGTTTTAGTATACGAAACCCCTTATTATCTATTTGCGCTATTATTCTAATTGATTTTAGATGTCTTCAAATTCCTTCAGATATCCAATAATCACCGTAATAACCCTCCTTTAGTATTAAGATTACAAAAATTTGGGTAAAATCCGGACGGTTTAATGTGATATTACACGTATTGATTTGGTTTTGATAAGTTGAACGTCAATTTTTTTATCAAAAATATCGGTGAAATGTATACGAAAGGTGCCTAGTGAATGGCGGAGTTTAAGTAACTGGTAATTTTCGTTTGTCATTTAATTTGATTGGTACACTTTCAATATTTTTATATCGGCTGATTAAGAGAGGACCGCGTATTTTTTTAAGTGTCGTTCAAATCCTTTCACAAAAGTAATAAGCGCTCGTTTCAAATTCAATAACTGACCTTCAATGTTATTTTTATATTTCATTCCAATATTAAAAATTGAGACGATCTGTAATAAAGTCATCAAAAGAAATTTTGAAACTTAATCGAGAATTAATAATACATAGAGTCAATATCTTTTTAACAAGGTTATGTGACAATAGAAAAAATACGTACGCTTTCAATAAATTATGAGAAATCCGAAAGCTTACAGTGACAAGTTGTATAGGTAGGTATCAAAATATTTGATATATTTGAACAACGGGCTAATATTTCAGCTTCTGTAAGGGAAAAAATATGTTATGAATTTTGCGCCATTGAAATAGTTGAGCGGTATTGTTTTCCTTTTTATATACAAAAACTATGAATTAAAGAAAATAAAAAATGGAAAAAAAAAAGAGAAAAACCTGAAAGTCATTGTTCCGAAATTATTAAATTTTCTATTTGACACTACAAGTGCATGTGCACTTTAAACATAATTATATAATGTTTATGAATTATGAATAAACAGTTTAATTATATAATTATAAATGAAGTATTGAGACATATTGATGAAATAAAATGCGTATTTTCATTTTCCGTATTTTCACTGTAAAAAAATTATTTTTTTCACTGTCGTATATTTTCCGTATTTAATTAACTGGTGTCTTGCTTGATTACTTTCTTCTAAATTCAGCCATTGCACAAAATTTTAGAGGAAGTATTTCAAAGTGTAAGGTAAAAAAAGAGAAAAAATGTTTATAATAAACAGAAAATTAAAGTTATTTTCATCCAGTGGTATAAAAATTATCATGGTTTATTCGTTGCTACCGCCACTCATGAAATATTTATTTTCATTCCACTCGATGAAAATAAATCCTGTGTTTATAGGAAAAAAACTGGAATATTCTCTATATATTCTCATACAAAATAAAAGTAGAAATTCATAAAAACAAATATAACAAAATTAAATAAAAAATATGGTCTGACGTTATTATTTTGACGTCACGTCAGTTACGTGCTATCATTCTAGTTAAGCTACATTGTATAAGTTAATACATAAAATATGTTGTGTTTTTTTTGTTTGTTTTTTTCCCTAAAGTAAAATGCGTTTCAAAGACATGTATCCGTCTTGCTGTCGTGTTTATTAAAAAGTGTACACCAGCAGTACCAAACAAAAATTGAATAAATGTCGCTGTTCACTTCCTACTTATTATCACACCATAATAATAATAATAATAATAATAATAATAATAATAATAATATAATACTAGTAATAATCATAATATAAATATTAATAACAATAATAATAATAAATAATAATAATAATAATAATAATAATAATAATACAATAATAATAATAAAAATATAACAATAATAATAATAATAATAATAATAATAAATAATGATAATAATAATAAAATAATAATAATAACAATAAAATCTTTACTTATAGAAGGTAACATACAAAGTTTACACAGTAAGAAGTATACTTATTTTCAGTATGGCCTTCTGACTTAACAACAGAAGAATAAAATAGACCTATAAAATTTTTTTAATCTTTTGTACAAACAAATAATTAGTAAAGGTAAGATATTTTCATTCATAATAGTTGTCGGAGAAAAATATCTATAACAAAATATGCATTTTTATTTCATTTATTACTCATAATGTAAAATTGCAATTTATCTACGGGAACAAGCATTATAGAGAGAATTAACTTAGCCATCCTAAAATTTATAGTGACACTGTTAACAATTGGTACTCATCGTTATAAGTACATGTTAGTGTTCATCCTTTCAGTTCTATATAAAATATAGAAACTGCGACCGGAGATAGCTACTTATTTCTGTAGAACATCTACGGATCGACGCACATTTTAGTTTACTTTCTGCAAATCACATGGGAATAAAACCATAGTTTTCCTTCAAATCACATGGAAATTGAGGAATAATTGGTATGTTTTGTTCAAATCACATGGAAATGCATAGCACACGGCATTTCTAGTACAATTTAGATTTCATTTGTTTTGAAGTTCCGCGCCACTGATTTCCTTTTCAACATCCATTCGTACTGCAGCAAGTGTCTTTGGTTTAACAACTGGTAGTCTGGAGATCCAGTTATTCTGCAAAACCATAAACAGTTTATTTAAAACAAAAATACAGATTTTAAGAGCAATGTAGCGATGGTATAGCGTTATAGCGTTATTCCTCAACAATACAATAGAGGGCAATAGAAAGGAAACTAACGGAAGAAATAGTTAACAAAAAAATCCTATTGGTAAATTGCACGCTCGTCTGTTAGGAATTTATGTTCGCTATGTGTTTTGTTTTAAAAAGACGAGAATGGAAACTACTTGACAAGAATAATAACTAATTATTATGAGACCATTGCACAGAGTACGTTTCCACCGCGTTTTAGCCAAAGAAATGTATTTTAAACCGGAAGTAGTTCACTGTAAAGAGGGCAATAAGCACTTTATTGGTACCAGGCAAATGACTGAGACCTATTTAAGCCATCAATGCGTACAAAGGGCCCGTAGACACTGGTGCCCTTTCTCGTCGTCACTGTCTACCTTGTAGGACCACTCCCCTCGCTTTAGTCAGGATCGCATAAAACGAGATGAGCTTAGCTTCACTAGCGCATTTCGTGGTGATATATTGACCTCTAGGTTTTATATGGTAAAGTTCCCGCTTATGTTATGTACGTGGCTTCTCCTTAAAGACGTGAACGTAATTCTCTATATTCGTTTCAACTAAAAGTGACGACAATAGTTAAAATATTGCTTTCATACTTACTGCCCTCAAATCTATAACGTTCAGCAGACGATATTTTATGTTCCCGGGTTGTCTCTTATCTTTTGCTATTTTCGCCATCTGCTGGAAGTACTGATCATTTCTTCGCTGCAATAAAAAAATCAAAGCACAGAAGGTGCTGAATTTGTTTGGGTCTCAGAATGTAAGAAAGGTGCAGGTTGTGAGATTATATGTATAGTGCCACCAATGCTTTCCAGCGTTTTAATTGTAGTAAATTGGCTATAAGGCTAATTGCAACACTGATATTCAATCCAATGTTTATTTGACTTTAACAATTTGAAAAAAAAGAGTTACCTTTACTGGGATTTGAACTCCAGACCTCTCGCTTCCTAAGCGAGCCCGAAAACCCTTCAGCCACGGTGAATTTATATGTGAACGGGCTGAAGAAAACCATATTATTCTAAATTAGGGCTTGTAACGACTTTAACTGTTGTTTAACACAGATGTAAATAATCCTGGAGCTTACTATAAGCATTTATATTTATAAAAAATCAAAGTGCTGCAAGTTCTGTGGTATTTTCTGATCTTTGCAATCTAAATCGTACTGTATATCTGTATGCATTTTCCTGTATAGGTTTATTTTTATGTATTATAATTCATTTTGCAAGGCACCAGAGTTTGATACATACGGAATTCTGCATTACTAGAGTTGCATCAAAAAATTATTTATGTTCATTTTTTACGACAGTCACACTTTATCCTTGCATATCATGGCTACTTCCTTAACAAAAACACTTAAAAAAGAATTTATCAGAAAAAATTTTTTTCTCGACTGGGATGCGAACTCGAGACCTCTCACTCACTAAGCGAGCGCGTTACCACTGTACCACGGAGAAGTTTTACACAGATAGTCTGAATAATATCAAGTCATTCTAAATTGAGAACTTCCATTGCATTTCGGGTTTGTAATCCTTATTAATTTCGAGGTATTTTGTTCAGGGAAAACCTGTTGTTTAAAATTACAGTAAATATTTTAGCGAAAATCCTCTCGCCCAAACAGTCCGACATGTAGAATCTATATATTCCACTACTCGGTTTGTGTAGTATTCGGTTATAAATAGTATTTTCATTGATAAAATCATATTCATCCGCGTAATTTGTGATTGTGCATTTATTGACAATTCTATAAGCCAACGCTATTGTTTAACTTTAAATGCGTTGTAATTTGTTGGATACTTGTAACAAAATAAAATATTTCTTTCTTTTAAATCGCTAGTTTTAAGCTGTTTTGAGAACTACTTGTTGTTAGGTTTGTTGTAAACTTCTGTGTCAGAGATTGAATGTCCGCTTTGTATTTAGTTATTTTCGATCAGAAAATACAATAAAACAATATTAGAAACCTTCGACCATTCGGGAATTACTGTGCTTGAAAATTGATGCGCCTGTCTTTGACCATCTTTACGCAGTGATCTCCCCTGAATTTTTCGGCTTTAGTGTACATACAAAAGGGAAGTAACCGCTTCAAAAAAGTGGACTACTTTCGGCATTTGCAATTAAGAACATTATACTCTGAAATTTCGCTACCATTATTTGTTTGGTCTGACGACCCAAACAAATAACAACACCTGAATAAACATTTTTGAATAAATTATAACAGAACGCTTAACTGGTCTATATCAAACTCAAAAGTAGTTAATTAAAGACCCATTCAGCCTCAGAATATGATTTTTGTTTTCAAAACCTTAAATTGTTCTGATTCAGTTTCCAAACAGTCACCCATTGACCAAATAGCTAAAATATTCCCTCCTTTATCATTCTGGCATGTATAATATCTATATAAATAATTTGTACTATCTATATCAAATATTAGTGTCATACAGTGATTGATTTAACAATGGAATTAATCATTCAGACTTGGCAAATGTTACCAAATCATGCAATTTTAAGAATTCACAAATGGATTTAACAAATATTTTGGGATCACACAGTAAACACAAAGGAAAAGTGGAAAATCATTTGATCGTGTGAAAAGTTTTAAAAGATGAATGCAAGTACTATTTGTTTTATATGCAGGCTGGCTGGTTAAATTTTTATTAGAATATATATTTATTGTATGGTACATTGTCAATTACACATGGCCATGGAAATTAAAATTAAACTAGGATCAAGTCTGGTGAAGGCTACATGGAACATGGAAAAATGGACAGTGATCACAAAGTAATCCGCAGATTATATATTGCACAAAGAATATGCAGGCAAAAGTACATTAATTATGTTTGCCCATGTGGAAACTGCAGAGAATGAAATAAATCACTCAACGTCAATTAAATTGGAAAAGCTGAATATCATAGGGGTACTGGTTACACTATGTGAATGATCAAACAGACAAAAATGACACGAGTTTTCATTTCCTATTTAGTCCGTGACTTACCTGTACTTTGCAAACTACGTACATCAGCTCATTTTCTGAGTATTTCCTGTTGAATTGAAGAGTAAGCGGCAATTTTGTTTGTTTGCTTTTTGGTTTTGTTTCTTTTTTGTTTCTTTTTTTTGTAAAGGAAGGTAACACATTGCATCACGGGACTAAATTAGTTGACGAAACGTTAAAATACCATGCTATTTTCAGGACAAATAATTTCATATTCAGCTCTTCTTTTCTAGGCGATGAGCACCTAACTTGTTTTTCTAATTCTATTATCAAAATAGTTTTAAACACATGTCTGCTCTTTCTAAAGAAGAAAAAATATATTCATTTCTAAGGCTTTAATGCCTTTAAGTATATTCAATGGCCTATGGTCTTTTGCGTTTCATTTTTATATGTAGAAGATAATATTCGTATCAAAAACTTCGTCTCTTTCAGTATCAATTTGCATGGTAAAATTTTCTAATTGTACTATTTTGAAGTAAACGAGGTCAAATCAAGTCCATTATATGTAAACGAGGACAAATCAAGTCCAATTCATGTAAACGAGGACAAATCAAGTCCAATATATGTAAATGAGGACAAACCAAGTCCAATTCATGTAAACGAGGACAAATCAAGTCCAATTCATGTAAACGAGGACAAATCAAGTCCAATTCATGTAAACGAGGACAAATCAAGTCCAATATATGTAAATGAGGACAAATCAAGTCCAATATATGTAAACAAAGACAAATGAAGTTCAATACATGTAAACGAGGACAAATCAAGTCCAATATATGTAAAAGAAAATTTCCTCTCACCTTTGCTTTACTAACATCCAACTTTTCCCCTACTATTGGCCAAATCACACAAAGACATTGCAGCGAAACTGGGTCCTTCCATTTTAATAACTTGAAAATCATGTCGTGAATAACATTTTCTATAACGATGCCTTTATTGTATAGGTCACCTATAAATCTTCAAAATACAAACAAATGATACGATATGAATTTTGACTGCTTGCAGTTTTCTACTTAATTTGGCAAAAGGAAAAATGGACAATCTAAAATATTTTATTTCTATGCTTGGAAGAAGTCTTCCAAAGTCTTAACATATACCTAAGGCGACAATACAATTTGCCTTTCCCTGCACCATATAATCAGTCAAATATATCTTAGGCAACAATAATACTGCCTTTTCGACACCATATAATCAGAGCAATATCACGCTTACTCAATATCTTCAACACCATATCATTCAGTACACCATCACCGTCAGATCAAATGTTTCCATTGCATATGTTAACTTTGAAAAATCATGGTAAAGTGTTCAATTTATTTTCTAGTGATTTCAATAACTCGATGTTATAAAATATTTTCCAAAATGAAAGTTCGACCAGATTCCTAAAGTGCGTATATTTTTCTCAGTTGTTGTGTTAAAGGTGTGCGTTAAAATGGATAAGCGTTATAACTCCTACTACGGACTAGGCAGAAATCAGCCACCATATGTTGCTCAACAAACACGTTCATGAATAATGGTTGAAATAAATTCTTATCAAGTTAACGAGATATATATTCCAAGAATTGGTCCGTTACATTATAGATCGTAATGGAGAGAGAACTTTCTATTGCTCGGCATGTTACAACAGTAAAGGACAAAAACTATACCATAGACAAGAATGATCAGATTGTATTTCCCTATTCTAGCCTACAGACTTATTTAACTTCATTTTTTTTTATTTGTTTTGTATGACTGGGTAAAAGTTTATAAATATATTTACCTGTAAGCACCAAATAATTTTGAGTGGTACTCGCTAACAGTAGCCTCATCAGCCTAAAACAATTGTGTTATAACAACATAGAATGAACAATTCAAGGAAACATTCACGTGCTTACTAAGTATTAATTAGGAGCAACAATTAAGGGCCTACAACTGTGTCAATCACGTTTATTTAAGTGCAGAAAATAAGGAATTGTCATATTATTGGCGACTTTCAAGCTTAATTGGTCGAGAAGGACCTCAGGTGCCATTCTTTGCTTTGTTCGTGTACGACCGGGCACCGGGCCTAACCACAGGCGTTCTGTAAGCTGCATGATAGCGTGTCATACATGAAGACTAAAGCGGTGAGGGTCGAGGAATTTGGAGTCAGCGGTCATACCAACGTTTCCAAACGTATAGATTTCTTTATGATAAAGTAAGATAAGATGGCAATACCACCTAAAAAATAATTTTACTTTTCTAAAATCTCTACATTGAATACTAACTAATAAGTAACAATTATTAAGGGACACTTTCTGACTGAATGAAAGGATTTCAATTGATAAATACGTACATCTTTCAACTTTTCCAGCTCAGTCCTTGATTCACGAATGAATCTTTGGCATCTTGTTAAAAGTAAAGCTCGAAAGGTAACCATTTTACCCTCTTGTTGTTCCGATCTCACTTTGATCTGAAAATATGTTTTAATATATTGTTCTAAATGTAATTACGATGGCAAGCAGTCAGATGAGGAGGTAACTTACGAATCTTTAAAAGAATATGGATTCGCTTGTTAACTTCGCAAGATCGCTGTTAAAATTGTACCATTTGTTACAAACAACATTTCATGTCCGGTGATATATAAATGATTCGCAGCTGAATTACATAGATTTTATTAGTAATTTGTTTGGTGTTTTTTTCCTCAATGAGGACCTGTTATTTTTATTTTAAAAATTTACTTAATATTTTACTTAATATTTTACCAATCTTAAAGCCAAACAAGGGCATTAAAATGATACAAAATTATTTTCAGTCGATACGCGTTTATTTCCCTTGATCACATTGAAATGAAACAGAAATGAGATGACGGGAAAAACAAACAATTTTATTTCTAAACGACGTCTTATCTGCAAGATTATTTCAATGTAAAGATTTAATTACGTTGCCAGAAATAAAACAAAAACAACAAATCAAGTGTGCACATATTTAGAGAGAAAATAACGTTGTCAAATAAGTACATGTATTATCTATATACATACTTTCATGCAGTGACACATGTTAGTGTATACAGAACTGTAAGTAGGTTCCATAATCACCTGAAATAACAACATGCATAAGATTTGCCATTAAAGTTTATGAACATAGTTTGCCTGTTGTTTTTTTTCTCACCATTATGTAAAATCATGATGATTTAGTTTATCATTATTCACGTTTCAGTTTGTAACGTCGCTTTTCATTGTATAAAAGTGACGTTTATATAAGTTATATAACTAATGGCTTTTATATACATGTATATGCAAACGATTGTTTATATAGGGCCATATAACATGTCAAGAAAATATATGACTAATAATGTACTCGTACTAACATAATTGATTAATAATTTATAAATGATTGATAAAAAGACATTGTATTATGCAATTATGACTTCAATTAAACAAATAAACTGTAAGCATTAAATTCCAATTGAAGCCATTAGACCAAAACTCCTTTAAGGAACACTTTTCCCGAAATTAAGACCATACTACTATTAAGACATACTTTTTGAATAATCAGCAAGTGGTCTTAGTAAGGCAATCGTATCACCTTGGACATCTCCCAACCACGGAGAATAATACGGACATTGATTTTCGGTCCAGCCATTTCGAAGTTAAATCTCGGACATGCGAAAACAAACAAATTTGGTAAAATCCATGCAAACTTCCTGAAATGTGTGTACACGTAAGACAGACCTTCCAGCACCGCCTTAAATGCAAAGACTTGGGAAGATTTGTGACCTTCCAGCCATGTTTACAAAATAAAATAAAATTAATGAATAAAAAAAACAACAAAAACTCAAAAGTATCTCACCTTTTCAAAGATAAGATTAACGACTTCTGTCAGTTTGGGTTCTGTATCTATATTCAAACGTTTGGCACGGCAAATAAGGGTTTGGCATTTCTCTGGTGTCATCTTATTCAAAATGCCCCTGAGTTTCATATATAATTCCTGAAATTACGCAAAATGTCAGTTATTATATATTTTATTCGATGTTCGATTGATCCGCTATAATTTATTTGGATTGTGCTTCAAACGTTTATTATTGGTGTCACATGCTGCACTGAGCCGGGTTCACATTGTCATCTCTTTATTTAAAGCAGTGCAATGACCTAGTGGTTCTGATAAAGTGCCCCCAACCCTCGTGTCTGTAAGAAATGGACTGAGTGGTATTACACGTCTTCCTGCATGAGCAATAAAATGTGTGGGTATATCTAAAACTTAATAACTGTGTTGATGTGGGATTCCAAACACTTTACATATACACGTATATTGTTTAACTGGATCTATTAATAATTTGCCCTTATCTATGTTGTTTGTCACTTTATTTTTCATCTGGTCTTTAAAATACTTATATACTGTCAAAAAGATCTTAACCAATTTACCAGATTAAAAAACCCCACTAGCTCTGTTGTATCCGGATTTGTTGTATTTTTATTAGAAGCCTGGTTAATGCACAGACGCTTGGGTCTCAGATCATGTTCCCCAACGTGATACGCCCCTGTAAACAATTTATCAAAAATATTTTAATATTTAAACACGAATGGGACATCTGCTACAACGATACAACTGGTTTTCAAACTGAAAAAAAAAAGCTTTTACCATCGAGACTTGATGGTATAAGGTAATATTTTCAGATATGTTTTAATTGTTTAAAAACCAGTTATATCGTTGTAGCAGTGTCCCATTCGTAATTAAATATTAAAATATTTTTGATGGAGTGTTTACAGGGGCGTATCACGTTGGGGACAAGATCTGACCCCCAAGCGTCTGTGGGATACTAGTAATGTATAATTTTTTATTCAACTTAACTTCGACACTGCATTCCCATGGTCCAAGACATCTGGGTTTCCATGCATTTTCAGCTTTGTGAAGCATAACAATCTGACCATGCTCTTGACCTTTGACACCGTCCATGTATATAAACTTCAAGCACAATAAGTAGTAACTTCAAATGGTCTTACAGAACCGCTCTCATAAAACAAAATATAAAACAGGTAAAAGTGTTTATTTACCAAAATGTCAGTATTTTTTCATGAATTAGACATAAAAGGTTATTTATAAAACGATTGGACTTAAAATAATCATAAATACCTTGTTTTTTATGATTCTGTAGATGATATAATTTTGTAGATAATATTTCCAGACATAAAATATTAATATAAATTACACGAAGTTTATACACGTGTACATTCGATTAAATATTTTTTCTTAAAATGGTCAGGCCAGATAACGCACGATGAGTCATTCATAAAGTTTACATAGCTTGCGAAAGATAAACAAGATCCCACATAAACAAGATTCCACATAAACAAGATCCCAATAACAACAAATATGAGTTTTAATCTTGTCAAACGTAAAATGAGATTACCCCCATCTAAGTTTAAACAGACAAAAAATAAAATACTTTACAGTTTTCCGTGTTTTTTTTGTGTTTTTTTGTTGTTGTTTGTTTTTAGTAGCTCAGTTTTTTTATTAGTTTGGGTTGTCAGACCAAACAAATAATGGTAGCGAAAATACAAAAACAAATTGGTTTATAATCTCACAACCTTCACCTTTCTGACATTCTGAGACCCAAACAAATTCAGCGCCATCTGTGCTTTGATTACATTTGATCAATGACAATTATAATACTGATAACTTGAAATACATGTATATAACTAATTATGCTATATAAGTATAATGTTACCTATCCAACTTCCGTTTTCAACGCACCAGCCCGCTGTCAATATATCAAACAAGAATTTTTAAAATACTTTTATATGCACGCTAAAAGGCACACAAAGCCTCAGAAATGAATATTTGAGCCGCGTCACGACAAAACCAACATAATGGGTTTGCGAACAGCATGGATCCAGACCAGCCTGCGCATCCGCGCAGTCTGATCAGGATCCATGCTGTTCGCTATCAGTTTCTCTACTTGTTATAGAGTTTGTAAGCAAACAGCATGGATCCTGATCAGACTGCGCGGATGCGCAGGCTGGTCTGGATCCATGCTTGTCGCAAACCCATTATGTTGGTTTCGTCGTGACGCGGCTCATATTTGTGTGTTACAGTGGTGTTATCATAGGTTAAAAACGTGCTCATCACCCGAGAAAAATACCGTCGAACTTGAAATTATTTGTGATAAAGATAGCAAAAAAGTGTAAATAAAATGGTATTGTGAGATTTCAAAATACTAAATCAACATGATATTAAAAGTAAAAAAAAAATCGAATAAAAAGTATTTGCATTTTAGTTTGGGCTAAATGGGCCTTTAAAATGTAACAAATGAAACCAATTAATGTAGAAAAAAACGCTATTAACGACTTGCAGAAATAATCATCCCCCACATACCATAAAATTTTGTGCAATATGCAGTCATTTATTACTATGATAATTATTATTATCATTATTGTTGATGTTCTCACTACTAATAAAGAAAAATAACTCTTGCATAACAGTGTTCTTAAAAGTCATTGCTGTTATCTCCCTTTACTTCCGGACACTGATCAAGGAAATAAAAAAGTTATAAATCGATTTCCCAATATGCGCCCCTCTTATAGCCTATCCTTGCAAGTTTCATAATGCACTGAAGGTCATGCGCGTTGTATCAAGGAAGGCAATGGTATTGGAAAAATCCTCAAAGTCACGAAACATTGTTCTAAATTACATCAGTTCTGGGAAGGTTTGAATATATAATCAAACAAGAATTGTTTTTATTCTAACGATTTCAATCGTTTAAACGTATCGATACATAATTCGGAGAAAAGAATAAAAATATGCTATCGGAAGGAAAGAAAAAGATTTATATAACACGACGGGTTCCACAGCCCGGGATCGACCTGCTCTCGGATTATGATGTCAAAATATGGGAGAGCGATGAGGCCATTCCACGTGAAGAACTTATTAAAAACATTGCCGGGGTAGATGCTCTGTTTTGTATGTTGACAGATATAATTGACAAAGATGTTCTCGATGCGGCAGGTTTGTTTTATTTTTTATTTCAAATTCCATTCACTTATGTTTTCGTAGTAAAAGATTCCTGACACGATTAATAGCTACTTAATGACCTTATTAAGAAAAGATTTGTTTATTTTGTATATATTTCCTAGAACTACGTGTAATTGTTTTCTTTAGTAATAGAAATATGGTTGTTTTCCTGTAAGTTAAATAGTTGAGGGAAACCAAAATCAGATGTCATTTGGCGACACATTCTTGGCACGTGCGGCCACCCTATGAATATAGCGCTGCTTTGAGATATTTTTACTTCTTGGCAAAGACCACCATAAACTTCAAGCCCATAACGTTTAATATATTTGACTGAAAATGGCACCTGTGACTTTCCACACGTGGTGATAATTATTCTAAATTTATCGTTACTCAATTATAAATATCATTCGCCCTTGAAGACATGTATATAAGAAGTAAGAATTAATACGCAGTATCAAATTATACAGTAATTCAAACAAAACAATATACAAGGATTATGTGTATACTTTATATATCATATTTTCACTTTAAATCGAGTTTGAGGCAGTTTTTGTTTACTTTTATACTTCGAAACAATTTAATTACACTTCCGTTTTCACTGTTCTCGTATCTTCATTTGACCCTCACCAAGTAAATGGACTTGTCCATCTTTCAATTATGGACACAACCATTCATCGACTTTAGGGAAATCTTTTAAAAAAAACTTGTATATAACAGACTGAATAGCGAACAATGCAAACCATGATCATGTAAAGAATCATTTTTGCCACCAGTATGCTAAGTCTCGAAAAAGAGAAGTGATAATTCTTAATGGTTTGTTTAAAAACAACAACAACAACAATAAGAAGAACAACAGCAACGAAAAGTATAGATGGTGAAGTGATGTTTTGTATATAATACCTGATATGAGTTTACCGTGTTTAAAAGCATGTTATAATGATATTTCTACGCATTATTTACAAACGCAAATGTTGCCTTTATTGACAATATCTGCATTTTAATTGCATTAGATTTTACACGCTTGGCAACACATTTATATCTGCACAAAATACATTCTTAAATCACATAGAATATACCTTGAACCTGGAGGCGAGTTAAGGGCATAGATTTCAGCATTTAAAAGGCTCGTCTTGTTCTAAATATGCTTTTATTTTTATTTCTCAAGAGCAATTTATTGTTGATGCCCTATTACAATTTCATAAAAGGTACACATTGTCCAATTTCCTGAACCATCTTTTGCTTCTGTTGATTTCTGGCAGTAGGTACAGTCGCAGTAATTTGGTATTTTGTATGGAAATCAAAATGCTCTTTTCTACTATAATGCTACTTTTTCTACTATAATAATATCACAATCACCGCTACCTTCTTCAGGTAATAATCATCTAACTTGTCTAAAACCATTAAACGTTGTTTAAACATATTTAGTTAAGCTCAATTGCAACTTAATTATAATATATTTATCACTTTCGAGTCCGCTTTCCGGAAGCGGCCAGTACTGTTGTCATATGGTCGTTACCCGATAAGGGCTCGAACCCTTGATTCATAAGTTGAGAGGCAGACACCTTAACCACTAGGCCATCGCTCCTATTAAACGTTTTAAAACTTATTATTGCCATTTGTAAAGAAGGAAAATTTAAATCGTTTCTGCGGCATGATGTGCCTTTAATGTATTTCATCTAAAAACACATTGTAGCTCGTATTGTGCATGAGCTACTGATCGTAAAAGGCCAAACTACCTTGAATATTATGTTACATTTTAAATTATTTCATTATCTTCCCTCTATTACTTCATCGAATAATCAAATTGATAGCAAGAAAATAAATTATGATAAATAATATTCATATAAGGACTCATGGAACGGGGCCGCATATTATGGTACATATTCCAGATCTTGTATCGGCTTTTATAAATTGTTGGTTCGACCTTTGGATATATTGTTATATAATCTGGGCCGATAAATCTACTTTTTTTTAAAAAAAGTCTGTCAAATTTTACAGTATATAAGTCATGTTGTTATATCGTCAGATTTGGCCATTTTTTAAACTAAGATGACGTTAAATGATATAATATTCTCATAGTCCGTACAAACGGTTAAAATGAAAAATACTTTACAGAAACATTTGTAAATCAAAGCACAGAAGGCGCTGAATTTGTTTGGATCTCAGAATGTCAGAAAGGTGAAGGTTGTGACATTTTAAACCAATTTGTTTTTGTATAGTGCCACCAATGCTTTCCAGCGTTTAAATTGACCCAAACAAATAAAAAAAACCGTCACAGGTTCGGAAATGAGCTAGCAACTGTTTCATAACATTTCATTCAGGGCTTTTGCTTTAATTTTTTCATAAAATATAATAATGCAGGTCCAGGACTGTCCGTCGTAGCCACGATGTCCGTAGGTTTTGAGCATATAGATGTAAATGAATGTAAGCAACGTAAAATCCGTGTGTGTAACACGCCGAACGTCTCCACGGACAGTGTGGCAGAATTGACGATATCATTGTTGCTCTTGACAACCAGAAGACTTCTAGAAGGTGAGTGATATATGATATATAGGATACTTCATTGTTTTGTGTGAACTGATATCAAATATATCTCACTGAGAAGTGAGTATGTCCTAGCATCTTGAACACACCGCATTTTCCATTGATGTAATGCATAAGTTAATACATTATTTTGTAATAATGTTTGTTATACAATTAGTGCTATGAAATACACCTCACTTGTAAATGAATTACTTTCGTTCAAAAGGATTAAAGTATATAGATGCTAGTTTCTTCATTTTATAAATCATTCAGATAAATTTTTCGGTATTGTTAAATTAGAAAAAGATAAAGTTCTTTTTGATGCATTTCGACATATATGTCGCTGCAATATGTACCACATAACCCGAAGAGTGACATCAAATATTTCATATTAAAAACATGCATAGACATTAAAATATTAATATTCAATATTGCAATCATTCAACATGATATTTCAGGAGTAGCTGCTGTAAAGAATGGTGAATGGGGTAAATGGAAGCCTATGTGGTTGTGCGGTATAGAGCTGTCAGAAAAGACTGTAGGCATACTGGGGCTTGGTCGTATAGGGTATGGGGTGGCGAGAAGATTAAAGCCATTCGGGGTAAAAAATATTCTATACCACGATGTTTCTCGCGTTGGATATGCTGATGACGTGGGTGCAAAATTTGTTGACTTTGAGAATCTTATAACAGAAAGCGACATAATTTGTATATGCTGTAATTTGACGCCACAAACTAAACACAGGTTTAACACATTAACTTTCCAAAAAATGAAAAAGTCTGCAGTTCTTATTAACAGTGGGCGCGGTGGCGTTATCAACCATGATGATTTGTACGATGCGCTTACTTCCGGTGAAATATTCGCTGCGGGACTTGACGTCACAGAACCGGAACCACTTCCGGCAGATCACAAGCTAGTTACCGTTTCAAACTGCATTATTCTTCCGCATATGGGCAGTAATACGTGGGAGTCTCGGAATTGCATGTCAGAAACTGTTGCCCAAAATATAATTGCGGTATTCAATGGTGAAAGTGCAGTCGGGGATGTTTACCAATTATAATGCCACCGTGACCAGGTTGAAAGAGAAAAAAAAAAGTTCTTTAAATGAAAACAAAAAATCCATGCCTCTGTAGATCTACTACATTATTTTAAGAAAAGAAAATAGTTATATGATTTAGAGTAATGGGGACATACATATTCTAATATTATGGGGATACTTTGTCACATAGACTGAAGGTATTTTTCTTACGATATCGTTGTGTAACCTTTTAAGTTTTAACAAATTATAAAGAAGAAAAAAAAAAGGTATTTACTTGAATATATATGTTACTGAAATCGGCAGTTCTTGAATTAAGCTATTCTACAATAGATCATTACATCTATTTTACCGTTAACAGCTCTAGAAAAAAGTAGAACGACAAGGACACTATATAGAAATAGTGGCTAAATGCCATAGTTGCAAATAAGTAACGTCAAGTTTTCCGTTGTTTTTGATTCTGTTGGATCATCAAGGGAGACAACCTTTGAGAACCTACCGAGATTTATAGTACGTAATGTACTACCGTGTATCTGTCACAGTTCTGTTACAGTTGGCGTTTTTTTTTAAAAGATGTACATACATGTATATTAAAAAAAAACAATATTTTCACCATAAGAAAAATAATTTTAACAATTATGGAGCCGCTTTCGCAGATGGAAACTGTCTAAAATATCAGTAAACGCCGCCATGTTGTGTTTTAGCAGGGTATACAAAATGAAGTATTAGGCAATGCGCGATCAACGGAACCTGAAATACTCGAAATTAACCGAAATTATACTGTTATGTTAATTAAATTATATACCGTTTAAAATATAATTCATGTTATGTATGAAAATGACAACAACAAAAAACATTCAAAATATTATTTTACATTTTTGTGAAATAATGAACGCTATGGCCAAATCTATGTTGAAATACATAAAGATGTAAAAACATATCTAGATAAAAAAAATTTAAAAAAAAATCAAATAATCGTTTGTTTTTTAAGCTGAACTTGTAAGTTGAGTTCAAATTCAGAAAAAAATCTGTGATGAACGAAATCTGAAAGGTGCTTGATATCGTAAACTTGTTTTTTTCTCGTAAAAAGTAGTACAAATATATACATGTATGTAAATCATATTTAAGTGATCATTCGTATTCAATATAGTAATAGTGTTACCAAACTCTCTTTTTAAAGCTGACATTTATCTTGTTTAATATTTTAACGAATTATTCTCCTGAAAAAAAAACCGATATACTTTTACCATTGTTAATATCAAATTTGCATAATGTCAAGGTAAAATAATGTACCCGGATATTTTCGTTTAAACCTTTTAAATATCGTGTGTCAAAAAAAAATCCTAAAATAAAATTTCGGTTACGTACATTAGATTATTTATGACACAAAATTTGGCAGATATTCAAAAGTTTCAAGTATTATTAGCTTTTTACGACAATCATAATTTTCGCTAACTGAGTCACTAAAGGTAGGCTAATAAAATCATAATTATTTAAGGCCAACCACGGCTTTCTTTTTCCTTTCTGTTTTTCTTTCTACCTTAGTTTCCGAAAAAAAGTTTAATAGTCGTTTATCACATACACGCATCGCTTTTGTGACTACGTAAAAATGGTATTGCACTGACGTGCACATATTTTGACGTGACGTCGTTGCGTTATGTAAAAAATAAAAACTAAAGTCGCGCTAAACAACAAGCGCGTCAATGAGAAATGGTTCTTTTTTTAATGCATACAATCTTTATATTTGGTATGTAATAAAAAGAATATTATATTTGTGTAGGTTTATTACTGAATTTATTGTACTCGTTGAATAAAATAATAATATCTCGACAGAGGCTGGCATAATATATTTTATTCAACTCGTTCAATAAATTCAGTCCTGAATCTACAATCAGTCAATATCCTCGAGATCTATATATTATACATGATTTCTATTATTTAAATGACGGTTTATATGTACATGCATATTCCTTGAAAACAAAGATATGAGCCGTGTCAAGACAAAACCAACATAGTGCGTTTGCGACCAGCATGGATCCAGACCAGCCTGCGCATCCGCGCAGTCTGATCAGGATCCATGCTGTTCGCTATCAGTTCCTTTACTTGTAATAGAGTTGGTTAGCGAACAGCATGGATCCTGATCAGACTGTGCGGATGCGCAGGCTGGTCTGGATCCATGCTGGTCGCAAACGCACTATGTTGGTTTTGTCGTGACACGGCTCATATTTATTTGCCTTATTTTGTATGCTTCAGTAAATATAAAACAATTCAGAGCTACTGATTTTCATGACATTAAACATGTAATTTTCATAGCCTGCTGAAGGCATTTTGATCTATCCATGCGACCAGTGCAGACCCAGAACTGACGACACATCCGTCTAAAATTATTTCGGCGGAATTTGTCATTATGATGGTACATATACTAACAAAAAATCTACACGTTCATTTTAGCGAATTCTACCTGCATTCCATGTTTGTACACCTGTGTTTGTTGCCATGACTCCGCTTTAATTTCACTATTATTGAAACTCGGATAAATTATCCGTGTGTGGGTTGATGAAAAAGAAAAAGATTTCGGCAAAAAATGAAATGTTAACATATATTTAAACAATTTTATCGGTCAAATTCAAAGAAAAAAACAACAAAAAACAAACACAAAAAATACAGATAAATACAGAAAAAAATAAACCTTTAAAATCAGCTTATTATTAACGCTATGTATGGCAAGAAATTACGTAATTAAATCTGAACTTTAGTCAGATTGTAATTAACCATCCATAAAATGTGTCAAAAAATTCAAAAATAAAGTCCGGCTATCTGGTGTACCGGATATATCAAATATCATTTTTCGGTGGTAATAAAATGTATACATACATTTTGTAATTCGTTTAAATGTTTGATATTCGGTTAATCGAACCGGATTCTTGTCTGTAATATGAACGATAAATGAGCCGTGTCACGACAAAACCAACATAATGTTTTGCGACCAGCATGGATCCAGACCAGCATGCGCATCCGCGCAGTCTGATCAGGATCCATGCTGTTCGCTATCAGTTTCTCTACTTGTTATAGGGTTAGTAAGCGAACAGCATGGATCCTGATCAGACTGCGCTGATGCGCAGGCTGGTCTGGATCCATGCTGGTCGCAAACCCATTATGTTGGTTTTGTCGTGACACGGCTCAAATGGTTAATACGCTCTAGATAAAGCCTGCATAATTTACCGAATTTTGAAAGTTAAAAAGTTCATCTGTATACATAATGCATCAATATTATTTTGAAAAATTCGATGCGTCATTTGCATTGGTAAGGTTGAAAATAAAGTTTGTCATCATATAGAGCTTTTTAACACAAGGGAACTGCATAACTGTTCACTAATTGGGGAAGATATCGTGTCAGCGGCCGGATAGCTCAGTTGGTAAAGCCGCGTCACGGTATTCCGAGGGTCCCACGTTCGAGCATGCAATCTGAAAGAAAAATCTATGGTCAAATTCAATTAGTACTATGTGAACGAGGAATACTTGTATCACCTAAACTAATCTTTATTATCCGAAAGATTTTTTTCTGCCAAAGGCCATCTAAATGATATTATTGTTAATAGCCTAAATGTTCCGATTGCAGTTCTACCCGTACACCGCCCGATTTAAGCCAATCAAAACAGAGAATTGTATACCACATGATAACAAACTGGACGGCTAAAGACCTCAAAAGAGGCCGTCTACAGGACACGCTATCCGCCATGTTTTTGTCGGGTTACTGAAATACAATCTTAAATGCACCAAGCTCGAAACCACTGGAGTAAATTCTCTTAAAAGAAGAAACATTAGCTCTGTTTTTCAGAAAGGAGTTTATTTCACATCTCACGAAAAAAAAGTTTTCAAATACCCGACTGAACGGCGATTCCTAGCATTTTTATACCCCCACCACAAAATGTGGGGGGGGGGCTATAATGGATTCGCTTTAACGCGTCGGCCGGTCCGTCCGTCTGTATTTTCGTGTCCGCTCTATATAGATCCTATACCAATTGAAGGATTTTCTTCAAATTTGGCTCAAATGTTCACCTCAACAAGGGGATGTGCAGAACCCATGTTGCCCATGTGTCAGCTCAAGGTCAAGGTCACAATTGAAGGTCAAATATCAAACACAATCAAATAATAGACAGTATGTCGTGTCCGCTCTGTAAGTCCTACACTAATTGAAAGAATTTCTTCAAACTTGGCTCAAATGTTCACCTCAACAAGGGGATGTGCAGAACCCATGTTGCCCATGTGTCAGCTCAAGGTCAAGGTCACAATTGAAGGTCAAATATCAAACACAATCAAATAATAGACAGTATGTCTTGTCCGCTCTGTAAGTCCCACACTAATTGAAAGAATTTCTTCAAACTTGGCTCAAATGGTCACCTCAACAAGGGGATGTGCAGAACCCATGTTGCCCATGTGTCAGCTCAAGGTCAAGGTCACAATTGAAGGTCAAACATCAAACACAATCAAATAATAGACAGTATGTCGTGTCCGCTCTGTAAGTCCTACACTAATTGAAAGAATTTCTTCAAACTTGGCTCAAATGTTCACCTCAACAAGGGGATGTGCAGAACCCATGTTGCCCATGTGTCAGCTCAAGGTCAAGGTCACAATTGAAGGTCAAATATCAAACAATCAAATATTACACAGTATGTCGTGTCCGCTCTGTAAGTCCTACACTAATTGAAAGATTTTCTTTAAACTTGGCTCAAATGGTCACCTCAACAAGGGGATGTGCAGAACCCATGTTGCCAATATGTCAGCTCAAGGTCAAGGTCACACTTGAATGTCAAATATCAAACAATCAAATAATAGACAATATTTCGTGTCCGCTCTGTAAGTCCTACACTAATAGAAGGATTTTCTTCAAACTTGGCTCAAATGTTCACCTCAACAAGGGGATGTGCACAACCTATGTTGCCCATGTGTCAGCTCAAGGTCAAGGTCACAATTAAAGTTCAAATATCAAACAATCAAATATTACACAGTATGTCGTGTCCGCTCTGTAAGTCAAAATATTACACAGTATGTCGTGTCCGCTCTGAAAGTCCTACACTAATTGAACGATTTTCTTCAATCTTGGCTCAAATGTTTACCTCAACAAGGGGATGTGCAGAACCTATGTCACCCTTTTGCCGGCTTAAGGTCAAGGTCACACTTAAGGTAAAAAATTGACTTAGGAAATATTCTTAAATTTTAACATGTATTTGAATATTTCTGAAACTAGTAAAGGTATTTGCTTGAAACTTAAAAAATATATATGAAGTGTCACAATTAAGATATGTTGGTCAAGTTTCATAACTCTGTATTGCATTTTAACAAAGTTATGCCCCTTTTTAAGTCTTCAAATTTACATACAATCAAATATTAGACAATATGTCGTGTCCGCTCTATAAATCCTATACTAATGGAAGAATTTTCTTCAAACTTTACTCAAATGTTCACCCCAACAAGGTTATTTGCAGAATACATGTCATCTTTGTGCCGGCTAAAGGTCAAGGTCACACTTGAAGGTCAAAAATTGACTTAGAAAATGTTCTTAAATTTTAACATGTAGTTGAATATTTCTGATACTAGCACAGGTATTTGCTTGAAACTTAAACGATATATGAGGTGTCACAAATAAGATATGCAGGTCAAGTTTCATAACTCTGTATTATATTTTAACAAAGTTATGCCCATTTTTAAGTCTTTAAATTTACATACAATCAATACTAGAAAATATGTCGTGTCCGCTCTATAAATTCTATACTAATGGAAGGATTTTCTTCAAACTTTACTCAAATGTTCACCCCAACTGGGCAATGTGCAGAACCCATCTTACCCTTGTGCCAGCTTAAGGTCAAGGCCACACTTAAAGGTCAAAAATTGACTTATAAAATGGTTAGTACATTGGGAAAATGAAAGGTTATTTGTAACTGTTTCGAACATGATTTGATAATATATATATTTATACTATTACCTGTACAATTAGTCTTTTTTTTCACCAGAGATAATTTCTCAAAGTTATTCCATTAACCACCTTTCCAAGTTCTCTTCTGTCAAGGACATTGGTGGGGGTATGAATCGCATTCAGCGATAGTTCTAGTTTTGAAATGCTTGTTTACTTGCAGTAAACGTGAATTATATTGGAGTGACCTCGACGAGTATACTTGTAGAAATTGACTGGTGAAACATTCACATTTTGAAGTCCGGTCAGCGAAACATAGTCTCTGTCAATGAACTCTATATTGTGTCAATGGTCCGAACTTAGGTGTTTGAAAGATAGGTATATGTCTGTTCGTTACGCATTATAAATATTGAATGCCAAACATAAGTCCATTGCCTATGAACCTGCCGACTTTTATCAATAATTTTCGCATTGATATCCTATAAACTCCAGTTAAAGGTCAGGTAATACTAAAACAGAGGACTGAATAATCGTCGAAACATGTTCGAATTGGGCAAATGTGTATTACTTAGATTAAGGCAGTAAATTTACATAATATGTACAAGGCATATTTTGTGACTCCGTGTTCCTACCGTAGGCCGTAACACTTAATTAACGTCAATCACGGTGTCATTTGACGTTAGTGCTCTCAATAATTATACTGGTATAAGGAGTTGTTAAGTTTAAGATGCCACTTGATATCATACTGCAAACACTTGTGGACCATATTTACATTACATGTATATTGTCAATATTATGGTACTGACCTATTTTGTAATGCTCTAGTCATAATCGACCTGATAATTTTGCTATTTCGTTAGCTCTATGAATATATGTTGCGCGTAAAACAAATGCTACAATTCATGACGTACATATATAAACCACTGGGACCTTTGAAGTCGAAAACAGTATAAACATTGAAAAGCATTAATCTTTGTTTCTACTAAAACATCATTAACTGCGCTAATATTGTCATAGTTTTTAATTAGAATTTCAGGAAATAAACATGTTAATGTTTTATGCAGAGTTAAAAAAACGCTCAAAATGCGTAAACAGATTTATATATAGTTTCCTGATAAAAATGTTTACTTCTATGCACAATACGTCATTTGTAAAGAATCCTTGCACAATAATATAATAGCGACCTTGAATATGCACTTAACATTATTATAGAACATTGAACCAACAATATAATATGCGCGTTAACTTTTCTGTTTTTTCCTTTTTGTACTTGGCCTTGATATGTGATAAGGTCACAAATTATAAATAAATTAGATCCTAATGTAAGACAAGGTAACAGTACGCTGGCGCGTAGATATCGGTAGGCTTCTCTCCGATAATGCTTTGTTCCGTGTGAATCTTGCGAACGTTCCATATACAATCACGTTCTTTACATAGTGTTTTGAATCTCATATCTGGAGAGATTAATAGTAAAAAAAGGTGTCAGATATAATTGCTAGTAGATATAATTGCTAGTTTTAGCAGGATGAATGATGATGACGACACGCAAGCTCTACCCACTTTTTTGGAAGTTTATCAACATAATTTTTTTGATATGAATGTGGACAAAAATGAGAACACATATTGGACAGAGATACGGACATAAGAGCTGATAGTCTGTGTCATCCAGACGTTTCATGGGCAACAAACGTCTGGAGGATAAGACTGAACGATTAGGGAATAACAACTAAAGGAGCACAGACGTTCGCCTGTCCTCAACATGATACGCCCCTGTAAACACTCTAAAATCTTTTAACATTTAAACATGAATGGAACATCTGTTACTGGATAAAACTGGTTTTCAAACGATTTTCACATAAATAAAAAGTACTTTAACCAAACTTTTTGAAACTTTAAATTATCTCGTTTCTTAATTTCATTGGCTGTCCTAATGTTTACTATAAAGAAATATTTTTATGTGTTAAAATCAATATTACAGTGAATAGAATGACGCTAAATATGCAGTTATTCCCCTTGAAATATCTATTTTACGTCAATTTTAAACAAAATGTATTAGTAAATGCAGTAAGCCTGTATTATTATATTAAACTACTAAGTATTTTAGATAGAAAGTAATTTGTAAGCTATTTCCAGGAACGCTTTTATTCATGTTATCTTCATGATCATGAAAGTTTAATTTAAAGGGAGGTAATTTACAAACTAACAATGATAAGCTTTTCGCTGATAGTAGAATATTTTAAAACTGAAAAGAAAATGCTCCGGATTCAATTTCCTTGGAATGGGGAGGTTTTTAATTGCAGTATCTTTATTCTCAAAATTTTAATCCAGATTCGTTTTCTTAAAAATAATTGTTAAATATAACTGTAAAAGGGAGGTACTAACTAAAGTGTCGGTTCGAAATGGGATACATTCTAATCGATGTTCTAACAATTTGAAAATTGAAAAATGCCATAAAAAGAGGGCTTGAAAGTTAACATATTTGGATGGCAGTATTTTCTTTGTAAAAACAGATGTCATTAAGTATCAATGTTACAGCATTATAGGTCTTCAATTGGCACATTTTCTATAAGTATTTGAAAACATAAATGTATCATTTGGATCCCCCCCCCATTAAATCCTGCTTAAAAAATGTTGATAAAGTTTTAGGTGATTTCGAACATTTATCTGATCAATAATAATATTTTGTCCTAGAACAAGTTATTATCTGCTAAATAAATACATATCGGACTTGCCAACAACTTTCATGTATAAAACTTTCGTTGTTTGTTATCATGTCTAATACGTAATACTATCAAAGTAATTATACAATGTATTTCAGACTTTCCATTATAGACTAATTCACTTTAATCACCATAATTGAATTTCAGTTCACATGAATTTCAAAATAATAACGTACAGCTCTAAAGCATTACAACGCTACCTTTTAACTTACGTATAAATCGGTTTACATTGCACACCTACCTTTAAATTTATCCGTAAATCGGTTATACGTATATAAACCCTAGTCGCGAGTTGTTTTGCTCAAAATTGATCGTTAGAACGTGAGATAAAGTGCCCGGGGAATGTTTTCATATTATGACTATACTTTAACGTTTCATCAAAACACCAAGCTTGAGGTAGTTAAACTTGAAGTTATATATGAACTAATGAAATTAAGTTGAAATTTTCCGACGGATTTATACTAAAACAGTTGACTTAGTAATTAACCATGTTGTCGGTGATATCCACGACGAAATCGTGCCGACCGAAGGTTTATATAACCCGACAAATACCACAGAAAGGATTGGACCTGTTACTGGGAAGATGTAACGTGTCGTACTGGGACAGCCACGACCCCGCCACCAAAACCGAACTGCTCGTCAACATTCCAGGCTGTGACGTGCTCATATGTATGCCGACGGATAAAATCGACCGGGATATTCTTAATGCAGCAGGTGAGATGATATTTAAGTTTTTTGGTGGTTTTATTTTCAGTCTGACTAAAAACCGACCCTTATGATTCTTCTTCCAAGGTTGGTTCATTTGTAGGACATAATGTATTTAGCAGTTACGATAAAATACAGACCGAACTCTGTATACTTTATATAGGCAAAGTATATTCTTACATACAGGAGAATCAAATTAAAACTACTGAATATATTATGATAATTGCATAGTTACATGATTTACCTGACCGACTTTTCAGTTTAAGATGTTTATGATTGATTCTGATAGATTGAAAGAAAGTAAGTTCAAGCTGTCAGTAAGGCGAGGTCAGTTAGTATAACGTTTTAAAGGGCAGTGTGTTATATAAAAGCCAGACGGTGCACTGTTTTGACGCGACGTTATCTTATCACAAATTTGTTCAGACTCGCTTATCTGTTGATTTAAACGTTATTTAAAGTGCAAGCTTACTCATTTTTATTCAACTTTGTTTTTCCGGGCATGTTTAAAAATGTGAAAATTTCATATATTTCTATCTTTCGTAGACTCTAGTTTGTTACATGAAATATTTCATCATCATTTCTTACATATACACGAGAGGTCAAGCAATAACACGAGAGGTCAAGCTATAGTTCATACATAAACCATGGTATATCGTGATATTATAAGCGCACGTCATAAATACTTTACAATACAATTGTAAATAGATAATAACAAAGAAACGGTATTAAAATAAACCGCGGAGACCTATCAGGCGTTAAAACAAGTGTTTCAAAGATAAGTCAATATCTTTAACAAAGACCGACTAACGCTACCATAAATTATATCTCCTAAATTTCCCATTTTTTGTTCAATTAAACTACACGCACGTGCTTGTTTTTTTTAATCTGTCCTTGAAAAGACCGTTTATAATATATTTATAATATAATTCTATCACATCTATATAAATCATTATTGTTATTTTCGTCGTTATCTTAATCATTGTCTCAGTGGCGCCATACCCTCTCATGGAATCTGGCGGGTACAGTTCTTCAAGGGCTGTAGGAGGAAGAACTTTCGTGTCATAAAGGACAGACATAAAACAACATTAAAATAAGATGCCCTACCGATCTATCGGTCCGGGACACGAAAGACTTTACGTAACCCCCTACATAATCTTTATAAAATATGGCTATTGTAAGCCATTTACGTAAAAATGATACATATTAACTGGTGTAACGAATTTCTCAAGTTATAACTCTCTCCTCTAATAGATATAAATTCACAATAAATTCGAAAGTAAAATTGGAACACGTAATGTTTTGTGAATTAAGACTGTACAACATTAAAAAGGTTACTTCCTTAATATCATTTCATAATGATATAAAGTTCATTGTGAAGAACGAGATCGCTTCCTCTTTCGACTTACATATTGAACAACAATCGGAATATTTCCTCGGTTATTCATAACCATTATCCGAAGATTGGCGGAAATGTCCGAAAAGTTCGATTGCTGTAATACCCATGTAAAATACTATTTAATGTCGACCAAAAAAATCAAAAATAGGAATAAAGGAATTACAGCACGCTTTATGAATCGTGTTTAAACATTGTTTACGCCTTTGTTACCTGGTATTGAAAGAACTAGGAAGGAACGTGGGTGACTTTAAAAACATATGTTTTGTCTGGTAATTAGCCAAATATCTATAGGCAAGTCAATGCCACGTTCATGTGAACATATATAAGTAAACTCTTACATTATTTGATATGTCGTTCAAAAAAAATGTTCCGTTTACTTTTGAAATAAAAATCGATTAGTCTCCCCATATATACATATATGTACAAAATTGTATATTAAGAATGTCAATGATCCACTTACAGACTATAAAAGCTCTTTAAAGTGTATACATATAACCACAACTTACTTATAATTCACACTTGAAAGCATTTAAGTTTTAAACCTAATAACTGAACAAGTATAGTACACCGCAAAAAAACAACAACAACAAAACAAAACAAATGTACTTAACGTATGTGAACGGGGTCTGATCAGCTGATCGCAGGTATTTGCTTATTCACGAATGACGTATGAAGATATAGAAATAATACCTTTATATTTCAAAGTTAAGCAGACAAAGAAGCTGTTTAGCTGGCATTAACATTGATTACGGACGATATTAACTGGCCTGTTTTCGAGATGAGGGTAGAACATTGCACTCTTGTATCTCTAGAAATCGTCATACGTGTGATTGCCAAAATGTCAGTGAAAAACAACCATTGTTTATAGAATATACAGAAAAAGAAACGAAATTTGTGTACCATTTGATGTATGTCTGAATCTAATTTTCAGATCATTCCGTCACTTAGAATAAACAATTTTATTGTGCAACATAAAAACAAACAAAAAAACATAAGCGTTGCTTTTCACTCCCGTTGTGCTTAGAAGGGCACTTACATGTACTTATATTTCTTTATTATCCTTGTAATTTTTTCCATTTCAAGTGTTTCTCTTGATCTATATAAAACATTTCATATATAAGGCTTGAACTCCTTTAAAGACCCCGATTTTTTAAGAGGACCATTTGCTTATAATGTAGATAAAGGTCGTGACTCGATCAATTTAAATTGATGTATTCGTAAATCATTATCATGAATTGAATTTTGGTAGATCGATGTGACTGATAGTGTATGCATTATTTAAAATTAATAATTATCAAACTATAGCCTTACTAATAAATTCTGCCTACTGAATGTCCTTGGTACGACCGTGTATATAGTTAAAGACGTCATTCATCTGAACAGAGTCCAATAATAAAACTTGTTGCATTACGTTTACGTGATTAATTAACTTGTTATTGTTTAAAACGTAGTTATCTGTACTTTTGACAGGTCCGTCCTTGAAGATCGTAGCGACAATGTCCGAGGATTCCGATCACATAGAAACATCCGAATGTTCACGACGTAACATCAGGGTCCTGACACTTCCGAAGATCACATTCGACACAGTGGCTCAAATGGCAATAGCTTTATTGAGAGTTATAACAGCCGACTGGACTTCAGGTGAGAAAGTGGTGAAATAAAACTAAAATATGGATACATAAAACGTGCTCTCATAACACGTGCTCATAACACGTGCTCATAACACGTGCTGAAATTATGATTTCTGAAGTCAACAAATTTCTACCCACTAAAAGACTACTCAATACATGTCATCACAGTAAAGTATATATTTTTAAGCATTTTTTTAAATGAACAAAAAATGTCATTTTATATTCAAGAAACATTTTTCGTCCATTGCGGTAATTCTTAACCGGACAAAGTGTTATAAGTTCCAAATGCCTAAAACATTAAATTTGAATTTGTTATAATATTATCAACTTGGGTACCTATGCAAAAGATAATTAAGAAATATGCTAAGAACTGAATTGAAAAGCTATTCTTAGCCCGATTTTGACAATCAAAATAATTATTCTGGGGGAAATGGAGTAAGTGAATTATCTGAAATTTTGCATACAAGTTAATTGTCAATAGAAAATTAATCTCGAAAAATTGTTACCATTCCCGTCATGTGAAAAAACCTCAGTGGAGTCTCTTTAAGATGTACATGTATTATGTTGCATGATAAGCAGTACATGTCCGCATATTTAATATAGCAAATGTAAAAAGTATCACTCAAAAAGAACATTTCAACGTTACATACGAATTTATACCTTGCTATGTGACGAATTATGTACTATATTTAGAATGATTTAATAACAGCTCTCTTAATCAAACAGATATACGCTTATTTTCAGGTTCTAATAGCAACTTAAATCTGATTATACAGTCTAAAGATGTTATTCAGAACATAAAGAATGACGCCACCTATTGTCTGGAACTTAGCAACAGGACAGTAGGTATCATAGGCATGGGACCTCTTGGACTGTCGGTCGGCAAGATGCTCAAAAGTCTGGGAGTATCAGCCTTGATTTACAATGACATTAAATCAGTTGCTATGGCAACAGATATTGACGCTAGTTTTGTAGAGAAAGACATATTATTAGAAACAAGTGATATTATCTTTGTGTGTTCAAATCTTGGACTGTCGTCTGGCAAAAATGGGTGCTTGTTTAACAAAGCGGCATTCCATAAAATGAAGTCGTCTGCAATATTAATCGACGTCACAAAAGGCTTGCTTGCCAACTTCACGGACATGTATAATGCGTTACGTGACGGAGAACTAGAAGCAGTGGGATTGGACGTCAGAGAGTATGACGTCATACCTAATAGACATCCGCTCGCAAGTCTTGAGAACTGTTATTTTCTGCCATTCAGAGAGTGTTATAAATGGGATGGGCGCCGGAAGTGCTCTGCTGAGCTCGCCACCTCTATCCTGTCGGCACTTCAAGAAATTGAAATCAGCAAGAAAAAGCAGGAACCTGTTATATGCAGCCCCGGAGAATCCCTGGTTCCGAAAATGAGCATTCCCGTACATATTTGAAAAACTTCCCCAATGATACAGTGATATATGGAGCATGTTTTATATATTTCCGGTTCAGGGCATGTCTGACATAAATGGCGCATGCGTACACGTTTGAGAAATGGCGCAAATTTTAGAAATGGCGCGAACAGTTGTGATACTCGTAGTAGTTGTAAATATTCAATTGATGAAACCTTTCCAAAATAGCATAATTTCGGCTTGACTTTCTGAAGCCATCTTTTAATTTTATAGGTTAGATTGGTGCTGTGCATATCATTAATTTTGCTCCTTCATTTACTCATTTAAAACCTAGCTCAGTTTGAGCTGTATACATGTACAATATTATGGACATTTTATATATTAGTCCAAGCTAGGTTATTATATAAATAGCTACCAAAGCTGTGCTTTTAACCTTTATCACCTGTAAACCCATTGTGAAATTACTGAATAATATCTGGATGTCCTGTTTCAACAATTTTGCTTATTCAGCAAAAAAAATTGCTTATTTAGCAAATAAGTATATTACTTTTTTAACATGTCTTTGAAAATCCTTTAATTTTCATAAAGGGCTCTGTATGATATTATACATGAAAAGTATATACAGGTACAATGTACATGTATGTATACATTAATGAGAAAATTATGAGCATTTTTTGAAAATTGATTGTAACTTCTTTTTTGTCCTACATGTCGGCCTCAATGGTCAAGTTCGACTGTCCCTCACCGCTTCAGGTTCGAATACTACACATAACTTCATTCTTCTATGTGAGGAAGCGGTCCAGTTCCTTGTTGTGCCAGTAATAATCCCGAGGTCTCAGTCTATCACTTGAGCTGGAAACCAGACATAATTATGACACATAGAGTGTCGGTGCCACTTGAAATATAACAATATCCCGTTAAACTTCAAAACTGATCTCATCTTGCATTTTATATGAATGTTCATTGTTAACATTGTTATATTTCACGTTTCGAAATTTTGTTGTTTTTTGTTGATAACTGTTAATGAATTTACATGGATGTGTAATTTCGAAATTATATGTACATGTATATAGAATTTAATAATGGTGAATATTTTATACCTGTGAATTTTTTATGTTAATTTGTGTACTTGTTATGTTCTCGTGTGAATTTGCTATGTCCTTCCATGTAATCGATATGTTCACATGTGTTATAATCGCATTTCCATAAATTATATTGTTGAACATACATTGTATATAATTCTGTTTTAGTATTTCATAGGACATTGTATTTCACACATATAAAATCAGGATATACAATATCTAAATATAATTATGAAACTGTTATAATAAAAGAATAAAACTACTGCAGATTTTTCTTCTTTTCAAAACAAAGAATGGACATTATAGTATAATACTTTTTTTTCTAAATTGGTACTATATAAAAGACAAATGCTTACAGTAAAACCTGCTCATGAAAACAGTCTTGTAAAATAGTCCTTTAGTTGACAGCTCTAATTGCTCTGTTGTGGGTTCCGAAAAAAAATCCGGCGTATAATGTTGTACACCTGGTCGTCAGTCCGTCCATCCATCCGTCTGTTAGCATTACTCATGCCCCTTTGGTTAATGTTGGCCCCGTCCCTGGGGCATTTAGTTGATTTAGTCTGTATGAGAAACCCATTTCAATTTTATTTTGTGAAACTACAATGTCAAGAGTTGCAACATAACCTTGTTGATAGTTATTATACCACAGGGTCAAAATTGACCCTCCTTGAGGTCATTTGTTTATAGGAAAACGAAAAACACATTTAAGTCTGATAGTGTGAAACTACAAAGCCAAGAGCTTAAGATTTCTACAAAATTTATATTAATCGTGACCGTTAGTTCAAAAATTGGCCCTGTCCCGGGAGTCACTTGCTTTAACTAGACTAAGGTATAGGAAAACATATTTTATCTTTTTGTGGATAAATACTATGCCTCTATACTAGTATTTGGCATAAAGCATCCTCTATAAAAGTGCCCTGAATCACGCACTTCACGGGGGAGGAAGTGTTACACGAGGGATGGAGTTCTTATGATAACTTGTCAAGGAGTTCTTGTGATAACTGTCACGGAGTTCGTCGGAAAACTTTTGTATATACTGCAAAAACACTCGTCAAAAATGGTATTTTTCATCTTTAAGAAGTGAGTTTTAGTTGCTAAATTAAGCTTGCCTTGCATATTGCATTATGTGTCAAAAACTAATTCATAGTCCATTTTTCATCGCCTCTGGCGTAAAATGTGGTAATTTTGAGTAAAATTTCCAAATTAAATGTATTTGCTAATTCGCAAGTATCAACCTGTTTATTTCAAGTCTTCATCCTTGCCATACATAATTACCTAATTATAATGCAAAATTGCAAGCATGAAGCCCCGGCTAACAACTTTATACCCGATTTTTCAAATGTCCCGGAGTTCTTGTGATACCTCAAAATATGCCCTGGAGTTCTTATGTTAACTTTTGTTACTGCCAATGTGTTTCTTGCGCTAAATCACGGCACGTTATGGTATGCAAAAATATAAGTTGCGTTTATATACATTTACATTAAAACAAGATATTAAAAAAGTTCATAAACACATAAAATTTCATATTGATCATTATGTTCTTTTATACGATAATGCAGCAAGCCTTTAGAAAGATGGACAATTTTATGAAAATGTTAAGAGGGTTCTAAATATTCAAAAACAATTGCTTGTGGATAATTATTGAAAACAAATTAACTTTCTTAATTTTCTATTTTGATACTTGGAAGAATGCAGAATTAATCAAAATAATTTTATCATTATGATTGTACAACTTATCCAATTTTGTACAACAAAAAGATCAATTTCAATTCAGCCACTTTAAAGTATATACTTTAATTCATGTCTAATATGTTAATAAAGTTTAACAGTGACAAAACTTGTGTAACATCGAATAATATTTTGATGCTATGTAAATTCTTAGGCTATTAGAAACACCGGCACAAGACGGCAACATAGTCTTCCAAATTGAGAATACCTGGAGTAAAATAAAGCAAGACTTTTAAGTAAGTTCAGTGCATCTTTTTTTCTTCAACACCTTAAAGCTTCACGCCTCCAGATGAGCAAAACTATTTCGATAAAATCAAACCTGAGACAAATGTACTAAGATTTAAGGATAAGTATAACAATTCAAAATCCTAGTAATAATTTACATCTTATGTGCGATTATTGACCGATTTTTCAGTATTTATAACTCTATTTCTACCGCGTTACTAACGCAGTAAAGGCTATTTCTGCAAATTTTGACCTTCATAGTATGGGAAATAAGTGCCATTGATAATGTGTAAATTGCATTCTTTTCGTTAGTTCACAATATCATACTGTTAAATACATTTTCAAATTTTCATGAAATCTGGAGGCGTGCTGCTTTAAAGTTCATAAATTTTCCGTCTTCATTTGTTTATTAATGAACCTGCATTGTTCACACCCTATGACACATACAATTTCAATATCAAGGATTATTGTTTTGTTACGATTCTCCGAAAAGACGCTGAACGTCACCATGTCCGCGAGACTTTCTTATCAAAGGGAGAGTACTTCATTATAGTGCATATTTAAGCAGTGTATTAGTTCATTCCCTTTAATTTCTGTTATAAATCCTGTCGCGAGCCTCCTTCGATCGATAATTTAAAAAAAGAACACATTAAGGAAGAAAACTTGTGTGCACATAACATAAGCACAGCGCGTGATAATCTTCATGTTCCTTCTATTTAAAACTATTTTAATTTTATTATTCATTCAATCAATCGGAAATAGTTGTTCACCTTGACATTTGTTGTCCTTGCTGGAATTGATATTGATTTTATGTCAGCGTGTCTAGTCTTCTGTGCAGGAAAGTTTCTCATATGAACATAAGGAAATGGCGAAACCTAAAGTGTTTGTGACTCGCAGGGTTCCTCAAGAAGGAATTGATATATTAAAAGAAACATGTGACGTTGACGTTTGGGATAGTGATGACGTAGTGCCGCGTGAGACGTTACTTGAACGCGTTAAAGGCGTTAACGGCTTGTTTTGTACAATCAATGACAAAATTAACGAAGAGGTATTGAATGCTGCAGGTACAATATTTTGCATAATTTCTAATTTATTTAATAGTTACATGTATATGTTATTTATGTATAGTAATCTTTCCGGTACACTAAATAGCTTGTTATTGTTATTTATACATATTGTTATTTATACATCCGTGTTTAATGCACGGATGTGTATAAATCGCTTGTAGTTTAAAACATACATTTACAATAATTTAATATTCTTTTTCTAAATTAAATAATATTGTTTCAAGTGGTACAAATTTCAATTATGAATCGGATATGCGGAGTTTGAATCTGCAGTTGGATGGATAAGGTCATGTGCACGAGCTTGACTGGGCTGGGTTCAAATACCGAGAGTGAAGGGTCTGTATTCTATATTAGGAGAATCTTTACGCAGATAATTTGCAAAAGATCGATGGTTTTACTTGGATATCCGCTCGTGCCGGAAATAAAACATATACCTCTAGCAACATCCGGTTAGCAAACACAATAAAAATACATGTACTTGCTGTTTCATTTTGAAAATAAAACGACTAAATGGCAGTGATATTTCACCATATATACCAGAGACCTGTATAGACCTCTTCACAATTATGGAAATTTTAAAATCATGCATTATTTTACTTCCCAGATTAGTAATTTAATTAGCTATAACTCGTCCCTGAGTCCAATTCTTAGGGCCTCTTCCTAAATAAGTGAGAAAAAAACATTGAATGGTATCATGATATGCACTAATCTACTTGAAGAATGTGAGAGAACACTTCACTTTGTTCACTTATTAACTCAGAACTGTTTATCTTTACTAAAAATTTATAAACATTGTCCTTATTCATATCTTACAGGGACGAGTCTAAAAGTTGTCGGAACCATGTCGGTAGGCAATGACCACGTCGATGTTTTGGAGTGCAAACGTCGTCAGGTGTTTGTTGCGACAACCCCGGATGTCGCCTCCGACAGCGCTGCCGAACTGAGTGTTGCTTTGTTGCTAATGACAACACGGCGATTAGCAGAAGGTATGTAGGTAAATGTTAGGAACAAGAGTGTCTGACTTGATAATGGAGTATTATATGAATATAAATGTCCATTTATCTTTTATCTTAATGTATTAGACAAGAATTACTTTTCTTAACGTTTTTAGAGAATGAAAAGAAAAATTTGTCGGATTAAACAATAACAGATCTTTGTTAATTTGCTCAATTGAATGACTACAGTAGTCTTGTATTCCTCATATAACCAACTTATAATACTGCACGTTTGTTACGTCGTTTTTCACTGGACGATCGTAATGTTTATATTTATAATATAGACGGGTTGCTGCAAATTAAAGAATGAAAGCTGACATATGGCTTTGTATAAATGGTTGATTGCAATAAATCCATCGCCTTGCTATCATAGACAAGGCAAAGGAAATGCTTAGCGAAGAGACTTTGAAATTGATTCAGGTTGTTACGGAACATTAGATTAAAGTGAATTTTCGGTACTGAATTACATGTACTTAAAATCTTTCATTGACTCTAATAAATGTTTGTATTTATTCAGGTTTATTTGCCATCAAATCTGGAGAGTCGGGTCCATGGAAACCATTGTGGTGTCTAGGTACTGTATCCTTGGGGAAAACACTCGGAATTTTCGGATTTGGCCGTGTTGGATTCGGAATTGCCAGACGAATGAAACCATTCGGAGTATCTCGGATCATATACACTGACGTCATGGAAGCCACTTACGCTTCTGGGGTCGCGGAAAGAGTTCCTTTCGACGAACTCTTACGAGAGTCAGATATTTTGTGCATATGCTGTGCTGTTACTTCACAAACGATTGGAATATTCAATAAAAGCGCATTCGAGAAAATGAAACAGAGTGCTGTTCTTATAAATACCTCGCGTGGTTCTGTCGTGAACCAGACTGACTTGTATGACGCACTTTCCAGCAATCTGATTGGTGCAGCCGGTCTTGACGTCACGGAACCGGAACCACTTCCTGTAGATCATCCGTTAATGACGCTGAAGAATTGCGTCATTTTACCACATATGGGAACTAACACGGAGGAGGCTCGAAGAGCAATGAGCATAAATACCGCAAAAAATATCGCCGCCATGTTGGAATAGCCAAAATGTTACTTTTTATATATACTGCACATCGCACATGATGTGTGATTTAAGTTAATTCTGTCAATTTAATTACGCAATGAGACATTATTCAAAAAGGGAAATGCATGTGTATGGTAATATTATTTATTTTCTGAATATGCAATAATTGCAAAATACTATTACAGATGGGAATAAAAATAATTTTAGATCCGCCCAGGAAGACTTGTCAGGATATTTTTTCCCTCAACCACCACGAGCCAGAGAGTTAACTTGCTTTCTTTGTAACATGCTATAAACAAATATTTTATGATAATGAATTATTATTTTTATTTGCTTCAATTATATATATGAATATTTACAATATATAATTAAAATACGTGTATTAGATCTAGTTGAAAAAATATATTGGGAATAAATATTTGATAAAATTTATTTTTTAAATATATATTTGCAACTGACATAACCATGACTAGTTTGACTCTAGCCTATTGCTTGAAATGAACAATTTTAAATTGATCATACATGTATATTACAAAGAAATATAATTGAATATAACACACTTCAGTCACAAATAAATTGAAAGCAAACGGAAATACGACAACAAACAAGCACAGATACATATACGAGTATAGTTCATGTTAAGAAATGTAAAAAGGTATAGCCATGTACACATGCATTTATATACGAAATATAATCTAGTTCCATGGTACATGTTATATAGCCTCAGAAAGTATGATGCAATTACATGCAGAAAGATACGAGTTGAAAGTTGTTTTTTGTATCTTTTTGTATTTTCAGCGTTAAATATCACTATTTCAACATATAACATATGTATAATTGAAAGATTTATGTCTATGTATCAGTGTATCACATTATGATAATAATCATGAGATCCATATGTTAGTTAAACAAGCGCATCTATGTCCTTTGAGAGAGTCTTAAAGAATTAACATCCGGGGATGCTGGTTTGTACAGGAGCTGGCTCGCATTTGGAATTATACACACCACATTGGTATCTTCCATTTTCATCAGCTTTCTCTAAGCAAATAAAGCAGAACTTCTGGCCACATCTACAGACCATTTGTTTACACGCCTCTTTGTGTTCGATAAGTAGACCACAGGAGGGGCATGCACGTATTTCTGGGCACAGCACTTCTACAACCTTCTTCTTGTTGCAGTTTTTTATCACCCTTAGTCTTGGATCTTCGCCAGTGCATCCGAAATTCCCACAATCTTTGAACTCGCCGGTCAACCATGTTTTCAAACAGAACCAGCAAAACTCGTACCTGCCTCCTGTTTCTGTTTTACACACCAAGCACCGAACTCTTTGGTCGGATTTGTTTTTGCGCTCGCAAAAACCTTTACAAAGAGGGCAACTCTGTATACCTACAGCTTTTCTGAGATAATTTTCCGCCATTTTTTTCTCAAACTCTTTCACTTCATCTGCTGTAAGAACCGCTAATCGTGTTACTGTAAACAATTCCCAACTTGCATCGCAGTACGGATCTCCAGGTTTCGCTTTGTACGGACATAAGAATTCATATTTTCCCGCAGACAACAGACTTCTACAGTAAGCTGTCAGTGATTCGGGACCTGAAAAACAAATATTTAAATTTTTACGTGTGTCATACGCATGGTGTCCTTTAGGACCATCGCGTCACACGCATAACTTGAAACAACGAAAAAACGAAATTACGGCGGTGAAAAGTCAAAACGATGGTGATGTTGAAGGTACGATGATGAAAAGTCGGATGTACATAGGTGAAAAATCAAAGTAATGAAACGCGACGCACAAAAGCGTACCAAATCAGCCACCTTACTTATCCACCCTACCTAGCTTATGACATATTTACACTGAACAACATTATTAGTATATCTCATAAACGTCAATACATACATAAATATATGAGTGTAGGACAAAAGCCCTCCCGGACAAAAGCCCTCCCGTCAAAAAGTGACAAGGCTGACAAAAGCCCTCCCGTGAAAATGACAAGGCGGACAAAAGCCCTCCCGTGAAAATGACAGGGCGGACAAAAGCCCTCCCGTAAAAATGACTTGGCGGACAAAAACCCTCACGTGAAAATAATAGGGCGGACAAAAGCCTTCCCGCAGCAAATACATATATGCACGTTGAATAATTTATATATTCTTTTCAACGCTCTAAACATATTAAAATTGTAATCATGAATATTTTTGTTTTTCATTGGCATAAGCGTGTTTGTATGAGCTTGAGCACATTCATGAGAGGCATCTGAATAATAAGTGCTAAAAACTAAAAGGGCACATTTATTCACGTAAATATGAAGGATTACTCCTATGTGAAGTTAAGAGTAATAAATGATGAAAAGAAGTTAAAATTATCTAACTTAAAGTTAAAGACATTTATAATGTGCCTTGTAATGAGTCAATTACTTTTAAAAGTGTTTTTGTTTGTGTAAAAAGTTACCTCGTTAAATATTTCAAGAAGGTATATTCAGAATAAAAGGTACTTAGGCCAATTGAAAACAACAAGAAATATATGTAACAATTCTAATATGTTGAGTGCATTGAAAAAAACACAGGTATTCAATATACATATTTATTTTTGTTACGGGAGGGCTTTTGTCCGCCTTGTTAATTTCACGGGAGGGCTTTTGTCCGCCCAGTCATTTTCATGGGAGGGCTTTTGTCCGCCCTGTTATTTTCACGGGAGGGCTTTTGTCCGCCCTGTCATTTTCACGGGAGGGCTTTTGTCCGCCTTGTCATTTTTTGACGGGAGGGCTTTGTCCGGGAGGGATATAGTCCGTTTCCCTAAATATATATATAGTTATGGTAACTAAGTTTAACAAACCCATGACTGAGGAATCTGTGGGACAGTTTGTTATAAGACAAGGATTTAACATCATATGTCACAGTGATTTTGACTTAATGGCCTCAAAATCAATTCATTATGTACAGGCCATGGGCAATTACAAGTTTAAGAAACGTTGGGTAAATCCCTCTCAAATTATTGATTGAAAAAAAAAGATTTTAAACAGTGTCACTATATATGACCATACCCTTTCACCAAATAACCTTAAATCATTCACTGGCAATGGACAATGTCCTTCCGCAGGCATTCATGGGCTTATTATATCTCAAGTTGTTGATCAAACAAGGATTTACTGGCCAAATGGCTTTAAGTCCCTACCAAGTGATAAAAGTATGGCTTTTGCTATCTCAAGGATAAGATAACAGGGCGTGTGTTCATACAAGACATACATATAGACCACCCATCACAGTATGCCTCAACTTTCTTAGTGGAGGCATGATTAAACAACACAGAGTGTATTTCACTCAGTTTCAAACTTATATCTCACGGATATATTTCAATATCTAAATGAAAAATATAAGATAAAACATACTTATGGCATGTCCACAGGGCATTTCAGCTCTTTGTCCTCCCCTTTCGTCGTCTAGGGTAAACATGTCAGGTTTGTCAGTAAGCTGAACGTCCGGACCGTACATTTTAGGCTCCACCACTGACGGGGGGTCGTCTGAACCTCCTGGTAGACGCATAACTACAAAAAGTGTCGCTTCATTACGAAGGTTGAAGTCTTTTAATGTCAGTTTCTGTCCGCTAGGGCCCTCAGGTCGGAGATCCTTGCCTGTTAAATATGAATGTTCATACAATTATTTGGCTGTTCATAATTGAACAGATATAGTCTCTCTTTTGCAAACGGTATATATTTGAACAAAACTGGAGAAAACCCTCTTACCAGCATAGTGAATGCGGACATCGTCTTCTCCAACTCCATCTATGCCGTCTGCAACTTTTTTACGAAGCTCTTTGATGGTGGCATCCTATAATAGACAAAATCACATAGCAGTTTGGTATACATGTGAAATTGAAACTGTCAGAATATAAACAATTACCAAATTATAACCATATTAAACAAAACCTGCTGGTTTGACAGAAACTGTAGATATATATCAAGAACAAACCTAAATTGCCATAAAGTCAAAATTGTCAATATATTATCTGATTTAACCAAAGCTGCCAAAATACAACAAGGTTTTAAAGCGGCACTGCGGCATTCAATATTTTGACAAAAGAGAGACCAGTAAGAACGTGAACTTTGCAAATATGTAATCAAATTCAATCTGAAACTGTAAATACATGTATATATTTGAATTTAAATAACACTATTAAAATATAAAATCTACATTAATCAGAAACTGCAAAAAATATAACCAAAGCAAGGCAACATATTACACGATTTACGCAAACCTGCCAAACTATTACCAGATGAAACCGGAACTGCTTTGATTTTCTTTTTAGACCGGGCGGTCAAGGATAACCTACGAAAGTGCAAGCACTTATTTCCAGCTAGTAGGGTCCTTACCTCAGCAGACACTAGAGACAGCTTTGAGATACAAGGAAATCCGGGAACCAGTCCCTAGCTCTTATTGAATAGTTTACATGCTCAGTGTATAGCAATGATACATGCAATGGTTACCTGAGTTTCTTAGCAGTATACCTGTAGGTTGGTATAAAACACTAAAAATGTTTCTGAAAAATCCCAGGGGTGTTACCCAGGATCGAACGCAGGACCTCAGGAGTGACATTCAGTGGTCAAACCAACTGAACTATCGTGCCACCTTTTAAATATATTCGGATTAAACCGGAACTGCAAACATATAACAACGTTTAAACCGAAACTGGCAAAACAACCCGGTTAAACCGAAACTACCAAATATAATCTGGTTAAACCGAAACTGCCAAATATAATCTGGTTAAACCGAAACTGCCAAATATAATCTGGCTAGACCGAAACTACCAAATATAATCTGGTTAAACCGAAACTACCAAATATAATCTGGTTAAACCGAAACTGCCAAATATAATCTGGCTAAACTGAAACTGCCTAATATGATCTGGCTTAACCGAAACTGCCAAATATCGAAACTAAAAGCAAATAACCTTGTTAAACTGAAACTAAAACATATAACCTTGTTTACCTGAAATTAAAAGCATATAACCTTGTTTAAACCGAAACTAAAAGCATATAACAAGGTTAAACCAAACCGAAACAAAAGCATATAACCTCGTTTAAACCGAAACTAAAAGCATATAACCAGACTAAACATAAATTAAAAGCAAATAACCAGATTAAACCGAAAGTAAAAGCATATAACCAGGTTAAGCCGAAACTAAAAGCAAATAACCAGGTTAAACCGAAACTTAAAGTAAATAAGTAGATTAAACCGAGTATAACCGGGTTAAACCGAAACTAAAAGCAAATAACCAGGTTAAACCGAAACTAAAAAGGATGTAACCAGGTTAACCGAAACTCAAAGCATATAACCAGGTAAAAATCGAAACTAAAAGCATATAATCATGATTAAAACTAAACCGAAACTAAAAGCATATAACCTTGTTAAACCGAAACTAGAGCCACTTTACCAGGTTTAACAGAAATTAAAAGCAAATAACTAGATTAAACCGAAACTAAAAGCATATAAACCAGGTTTAACCGAAACTTACAGCAAATAACCAGATTAAAACAGAAACTAAAAGCATATATCCAGCTTAAACCGAAACTAATACAGAGCGGTTTTGTCGGTACTTATTTAATAATAGCATACGCATGAGAAAGTATTTACCTCGTCAATTTCTAGCGTAGTGTTTTTGTTCTCGCCACTCACGACAAACAAAGTAAATGTCTTCCCAGGCATTTTTACCAGTGTCTGAATTAAAAATTAAAACACTTCTTTTTACTAATCAGCATGTTAAATTGTTTATTTAAGTAGTCACTATCATAACAACCACCACCATCATCATCACCATTATTATTATTATTTATTATTATTATTATTATTATTATTATTATAAAACATTATAACTATTTAATTATTATTTATGTATTTTTATTTTAAATATTATTTACGTACCTACGGTAAGCTACAGCTGCAAACACCTATCAACTGCGCACTGATTAATAAGTTCAGTATATATACACTTTCATAGGGCTACATGTCATGTGATTGGTTTTCCACATGGTTTTTCCATTATTTCATTGAAGTCAATGGTTACAGATAATGCAATACATGCATGGGATTTCTAATGCGCATTTTACAAAAAGGGTAGTATATTATTAGATTTGCAAAACATACATATGTTCAAACAAACTCAATTTAAATCTACAACTGTAAGATTCTTTCTATTCTTAATGCTAACATTTGTAACGAAACATTAAACTTTAAGTTAGTTTCCCTACAGTACCATTCCATGCCATACATCATAGCCATGTTCTTGTTGTCATGGTGATGACAGTCAAAAGCTGTCCAATAGAAGTCAACTGGGGATTCCCCTTGATTAGATGATAAGTGATATTCTGTGACTGGTTTACTTATAGATCATTTACAACGTCACTTATTTGTAACTGAACTATTTCGCATTTTGAAAATTAGATAACTGTAGCCAAAATAATTTTTTTTAAAAGTCTTAACGGTGTGTAGTGCAGTTCAAGTGTAACAAGTTTCCATTTAAACATCTATACATCGATATAAATTGCATAAATTACTTGCTTGTTTGGGAAAGTACATTGTGTATTCCCAAAACGTGTTGAAAATTGTGATTATTTCTCGATGTCTTTCAATTTTATGCTTTAGTATTAAAAAGTTGGTGGTGGTTTGATTATTTGCGCTGTGGGTTTGTTTTTTCTTTTTTTTTTGGGGGGGGGGGGGGGGGGGTGTTGAGACGGAGGGGTGCGGGTTATGTCTTAAATCGTCGGTTGAAGGCTCTGGTTGTACATGTATTAGACTATTACAACTTTAGCTGTTTGCTAAAATAAGTCATATAAGCAGGATACATGCAGCATTTTCGGACGGTTTACAGCGCCTATGTACAGGGTGAAGAGTTTCGCCCGGGACCAACTGGGAACCCATGTTTGTGTGTTGTTATTGTTATCGTTGTTTCGTCTTTATTGTTCTCGATGCGAGCAGGTGCTTCATAAAATATCAATTACATTATGTTTCGTCCAAATTAAAACGCACGTGTCAACACGAAAATATTAAAACTAACATGAATTAAGACTTGCATAAATTATTTATAGACTAAGTCTCGAAAAGACGAAGAAACCTGTTGAGAAAGTTAAAGTGACATTTATTTATGCTCATTTTTTCATTGTCAAGTTGAGCTGAATTGACTATATATTTCAAAAGATTAACCGTTATAATGGTATTTGACCAATATACAAAAATGTAGTTAATAACTGGAAAATGATCAGGACAAAATATAAATCTGCCTTAAATGAAAAAGACAGTCCCATTCTTTTTATTTATTAAACGTTAAAAGTAAATTATTCCGATGAATATTTACTGAAATTTCATTGACCATGTGAGTTTTTCATCGTATTTATAAGCATGTATTAAAATAATATAATTGAACGGAATTATGGCAAATAAAAACTTGTTTTGACTTTCAGCTGTTAACTCGCTATATATCTTTATATGGACATAATGTCACTTTAACAAAAGTTTTCGGCTGGTGCTCTATAAATCAGGAAGTAGAATAAATAAAACATATATAGCGAACTCTGGGTTTTTAAATAAATTTTTATGACGTAAAATAAAAAGTAAATTCCCATGACATAAAATAAAAATAACACATCCGTCATCGATAATTTAAATTAGTGATATTATGTTTCTATAAATAGGAATGGTATTATGTATCAACATACAATAAACACGTTTTCACTAAGCAAAATTGTTTTTGTGCAAGGTTGCAAAGTGCATTATCGGATGATTATATATTTTTATGTTCGAAGATGATCAATGCAAGTTATTGAATGTATAAATAACACTTTTTCAAAAGGCATTTAGAACTTTATATTAATAGACTGTACTATAATTTGGACATAAATACAATAAAAATTACAAAAGTTTACCGTCTTGTTTAAAAAATATTGACAATTGAAGTATAACTTTTGTTTCAGGTTTATACAACAACAGCAACAAAGAATATGTTTTCATTATCTGTAGAAATCTTTGCTATTTTCATATTTTTCTAAGTTGAAAAGTACTAATAAAGAACCATAGTTTAAAAAAACAACAAAAAAAAAACAACAACAACAAAAAACTACAAATAAAACCAATGACAAATGTCTAGAAAAATAGTTTTTAGTTTATTGAGACAGGTACTTGTAATTTTAGGTACTTAATTATCGCGGTCGACTATGTGATAGTAAATATGAACTTTACCTGACAAAATTGTGAATTATGAAAATGCCTGACAAACTTTAAATACGTTTTAGCAATGAACAATGCATGGCAAATTAAAAGTGACATTATGCTCATTATACTATGATGGAAGTCTACCGCCGCTCGGACCAAGACAACCCCTACTCCTTAACTCACGACTGATTCTACCCAGGCAACCACTGCAGACCAAGATCAGCACATCTGAACCGTCTGATCAAGGTCGGCACTGGTCGCTACTCGCTTTTACATACATAAACATATTTTGATATATTCCCCTAAAAATGATGAATGGTTTTGTCCAGATTGTAAGACGAACAAGTCCATGGAATATTTAGCACGGTGAGGGTATGTGTTTCAAATTCTTAATTAAACCATATTTTACACATTAGCAAAACCTAATATGGCTTTGAGATATTTCTAAATTTCGAGAATTCTTCAAGTACATGTATATCTTTTTTAGTTTTTTTTTGTTTGCTTTTTTACCTAAACACAAATATTTATTGACCTGATGGTTTGTTTTGTATCACTTAACTTTGTGCAGTATCAAGGTTCTGTAAATGAAGAAACAAGGGACAGAACTATATTAAAATTCGTCCATAAAATTAATATGCCTTCATTACTTCCCCTTACATTATTTCTGACAACAAACTATTTATTTTTTTCTTCACTTCCTCAATTAAACACTGATTTTCATCCCAAAACATAAAAGAAAACTTATCAAGTGTTATATATACATGTATATTTAAGTCAGAATGTTCGCATATACAGAATTACTTATATACAGAATTACGGTACTTACATATTTATATGTGTAAACACAACAGATTTAGTTATTAAGACATAAGAACATAATATATTGTAAGGATTATACAAACATTGTGATTTATGTATATATGAGTAGTTATTGTTAAATTGTTTCACATTTGCATCATGATCGATATTTACTAGAAAAAAGACAAAATAATGTAAATGTTTGTATTCAGTTTAGTTAAGTTCAAGTTTACACTTTTTAAAATTATTTAAATACATGTATTTTAATGTGGTTAAGTGGTAACATAGCTTGAGGAATGTCGGTGGGTCTACTTAGGTGCCCATTTGTGTCTGAAATAATGTACAGAGGGGCACCTGAGGTCTTCCTCCAACAGTAAGGTAGTAAGCTGAAAAAGACTTTTATGATCTGTACAGTGTCGGTGAAAAATAAATAAATAAAAATAAAATGTTTGTTTAAAAGAAACACAATGCTGGCTACACATACATGTAGTAAGATCATCTTTTATTTTAAAACATTTAGCACTTTTCATGTATTCAAGCGTATTGATATTAAAGAAAAATACAAAAATACATGTATATAAAACATCAAACTACACAACTTTATTTCTTAAATGTACAATGTGTTTTTGTTTTTTTCTTGACTATTAACTTTGAGATGATCACTCTAATGTAGAGAGTAGTACATCTATGAAGTTAAAATGGTCAAAGTTAGTTTGTATCCTGGGATAAGATGGGGGAAGAATCCAACATTTGTGGAGTTGAAATAATAGATTTAGCTCCTCTTGAAAGGCAAAATGAGACTAGAATTAAGATTTCCATCATGCCACCTGAATTTCTGTTACCTTTCATGGGAAAGATGTTACAGCTTAAATATCTTTTTTTTTTTTTTTTGGGAATGGGGGGGGTAAAGGTCAAAGAACAAAGCAATTACTGGTAAGGTCAAAAGGTGAATAGTGGAGAAAGTGATGAGTATTTCCTCACAAGAAAACAAATTTCTCTACAAGAACTGAAAACCCTAGGTAGCACTTAGGGACAAAAAATATAGAACAGTCCTTACACTTAAGATGAATCTGGCCCAATTAAATTCCGATTGTTATCAATTAATGAAACAATAAAAGTCTAATGACTTACTGAAATTAATAAATATGAAAATGAAAATTTTGAAGTTTGAAAAAAACCTGGCCTATCTCATATTACAGATAATTCAAAAATAATAAGAAAATGCCCCATACTAAGGTCTCTCATACAAATGCACCAACTTCAGTTACACATCTTTTACATGAACTGTGAAATTTACATTAATAATCTATATTACAATTATTTTAACTGTGAGTTTTACATAAGAAATGGCTTCATGAAAATGGCCTATAGCCACGCGACAGCCCTTTTACATATAGAAAACTGTTGTGTTTTTTTTTTTTTACAGTAGACCAAATCCCCAGTTATATATACATTTTACATGAACTTTAATCTGTTTACATTAAAAAACAGCTCCATCCACTAACTTTAAGTCAAGAACATTAACTGTGAATCCACCTTTACATTGCAATAATGGTTTTATCACAAAAACTTAAACTGCCAGTCACATATAATTTACATGAACTCGACAAACTCACATTAACAATGGCTTTATCACAATAGTCTTTAACTCCCGTCACATACCTTTTACATGAACTATGAAATGTTAACATTGATGCAATGTTATAACCAAAATACACTGAATATGTTTGCAACATCATGATAAAAAAAGCTAATTAAAACGAAATAAGATAAAAGTGAGAATGGAGATATATTGTATATTTATCAAACTTATTTTTAACTTTGAGGAAATTATTTTATCAATTCATATTTTTTTCTCAAATATACAACAGCACAATTTTATTGCATACCATTTTCTTTTCTAATATTTTCACTGTTAAAAATTTAAGGCAAAAGTCAAAATCAGCAATGTTATTATTTAATTGTCATGGAAACAAAATCATCTAGGTTCAGAATCTGCCGCCACTCCAGGGAAAAATAGGAACTTCTTTGTAAATGAGGCTGTAAATAACGAAGCTTGCACTACATCACGAGGCCCTTCCTGGTTTAAAGCTGTCCGCCCACGTGCCACTAGACTATTCACCTGTAGGATCAAAAAAAAAATCATGTTAAAGAAATGAAACAAAGTATTCCCCCATAAATGCAAACCTAACTATTAATTTTAAAAGCCACTGCCAACTCCCTAACTTAATAGCCACTGCCTACTCCCTAACTTAACAGCCGCTCCCTACTCTCTAACTTAATAGCCACTGCCTACTCCCTAACTTAATAGCCACTGCCTACTCCCTAACTTAATAGCAGCTCCCTACTCCCTAACTTAATAGCCACTGCCTACTCCCTAACTTAATAGCCACTGCCTACTCCCTAACTTAATAGCCACTGCCAACTCCCTAACTTAATAGCCACTGTCTATTCCCTAATTTAATAGCCACTCCCTAACTTAATAGCAACTGCCTACTCCCTAACTTAATAGCCAGTCCGTAACTTAATAGCCACTGCCTACTCCCTAATTTAATAGCCACTCCCTAACTTAATAGCAACTGCCAACTCCCTAACTTAATAGCCACTGCCTACTCCTAAACTTAATAGCCACTGTCTAACGTTATGGCCACTGCCTAACTCAATAGCCACTCCCTAACTTAATAGCCACTCCCTACTCCCTAATTTAAGAGCCACTGCCTACTCCCTAACTTAATAGCCACTCCTTAACTTAATAGCCACTGCCTACTCCCTAACTTAATAGCCACTGCCTACTCCCTAACTTAATAGCTGCTCCCTACTCCCTAACTTAATAGCCACTGCCTACTCCCTAACTTAATAGCTACTACCTACTCCCTTATTTAATAGCCACTCCCTAACTTAATAGCCATTCCCTACTCCCTAACTTTATAGCCATTCCCTACTCCCTGACTTAATAGCCACTCCCTACTTCCTAACTTATTATAGCCACTCTCTTATCCTTAACTTAATAGCCACTCTCTAACTTAACAGCGACTGCCTAAGTTTCACCTTTTAGTAACTTTTTTTTTTATGTTGTAAGTAAAAACAACACTATATATGTCATTCTAGCTTTAGTTGCAGAAGGACAAATAATGCATGTCACTTTCCCCACTTTGCATTACCTCTGGCACAAGAGGCGACCTGTGATAAATGACCTAGATAGCATCCACAGTACCACACATGCAGAAAAATCCTAAATGGATTGACTGAAGAGAAGTGAGTGACATCAAAAATTTAATTTAAACATCTTTGTTAAAAAAAAAACACAAAAAAAACAACATTTTTTTACACATGTTTTAAAATTGGACGGTTTTTTTTTCATTTTTAAGATTTCCATCGACTTACCAAAGTAAGTAAAGAAAATATGTCTTCTTTACATGCATATTTCTGGAATACATATATCACAGCCTGAATGAACCATGACCCATACTGAGTATTCCTGAGGGATACATAACCTGAAATAGCAGAAATAATTGTGAAATGTATAACACATCTTAAATAATCCATGACCAATATCAGGTATTTCTGAGGGACACATACTATGAAATATAATTAGCTATACAAATTGAAAGGCTAAGGTTATAAGGTTATATTTATGTCAGCAAGGCTATATTCTCCCATATATACTACATATTCTCCAGTATATCCTATCAGAAATATGAGAACAAATTTATAATTGAGCAAATTGCTACTGATGGCAAGTTCATAACAAAACCCAGTACTTCTAGACTGTTTTTAAAGAAGTGCCGAAAAAAGCGAACATTAAAGGAACTCCACTGAGGTTTAAAAGCCTAAAAACATAACATTTGAATTTCTTACATAGATGAGTTAGGCCACTTTAAACAGAATTATATGCAAAGATAGTTAAGAAATATACTTTGAAATAAATTGAAAATCGTATTTTAAGGCTTTTCTTAGCCCGATTTGAGTGAAAAGGGTTTAAACGCTTTTCATTTTGGGGCATTTTTTACAATTTGAAAAATTATTCTGGAAAAACGAGGTGCGCAAATGATCTGAAATTTTGCACAAAGATAAGTGGTCTAAATCTACATCAAATGGTACATTTATCTGCAAAAAAATATATTCAGTCCCATCATGTCAAAAAACCTCAGTGGAGTCCCTTTAATTTATTCACACACATAAGTGACCGTCTTCGAGAAGGCATTCTTAAGAAGGCATTCTTAAATAAAATATCTTAATAAAATCTGCAGAAGCCCTTAGACATATTAAATCCTTCCTTCTGCTGTCTTGGGCTATTATGTTTGTACATAATTATGCTAAAATAAGTGAATTAACCCTCTAATATTAGAGGTACATGATTTAATGTTAACAATTACCTGGATGTGTCGCACAAGCAATTAACATGTCTGTTTTTGTAGGTACAGTATTAGGGTTTAGTGTATCATTAAATGTTTCTTTAGCAGCATCTGTTTGATCACCTATATGAGTTCTCTCCAGCAGGTTTGACAAATCTTGACCACCATCGATAACATTAGAGCCAGGCCTGTCTGCTCTCTCTGAAAATGAATAATAACATTAAAAGGGCTTGATTAATCTTTATAAGATATACAAAATAAATACTCTTCTTGTTTAAATATCAGCTCAATTGTGAAATAAAGCTTGTTTGATGATTCAAACCTCTGTTGATTCAATTTCCTGGAACTACCAAGTACTGGCCTCACATGTTCCAGAAACATTATACACTTATTGTAACATTTTGTTTTTCACCTACCAAAATAAAATACACTAAAAGTAAGTTCTTTTTTTAATTTTGCCTTGCATATTTAGGGGTTTTGCTTATAGATTACAGCAAACCTGTCCATGTGCAGCATGTTTGTTTGTTTGATTGGGTTTTTCATCACACAGATGCAGTATAAGTCATATGGCAACATTCCAGCTTTACTGGTGCAGGAAGACCTCGGGCACCCTTCCATGCATTATTTCAGGCACTAACGGGCACCTGAGAAGAACAACCGACATTCTGTAAGCTAGCTGAATAGCTTCCTCACATGCAGGAATCCAAAGTCCCTCTCAGGATTCGAACAAACAGCGGTGAGGGGCAAGTGGGTCCATAAATGCATTATATTGCAACTTCCCAGCATTTCTGCAGTGGAGAAAGATTTCCAGTGTATACACATGTATTGCATTATTTAAGGTTCAAGTGGGCAAGAAATATGGATTGGACCTTCTATAATAAGCCATTAATCTTCAACATATGTAAAAGAATGCAGAATTCGCAAAAAAACATGTACCACGAAATCTTGGGTTTTCTTTGAAAATTTGAATTGTGAATTGAAATGACCTATTTAGTCAAACAGTGTTATTTTCAATACTGTACATTTTATATTATTTAATACTCTCAACATTGATCAACATTTCTATAAAGTTTCATGACTCCAAGTCAAATACTTTTTAGACTATGAACAACAAAAGTTGACAATTGCAAATTTAATCAAATTAAGGGCAATAACTCTACAAATACGGAATAAATGCACAAAAAAGCTTCACATGCTGAAAAGTTTGTTGACTCTAGCTTAAGCACTTTTAGAGCTACATGTTACTTTTTTAACACAACATGAGAAAGCACACCAACAGACAGGGCAAATCTAAATGTCCCCTAAAAGTGGGGGCATAAAAATTGGACGGCAGAATTTTGTGCAGTCTGAGAGCAGACAGACAGTAGACTTGGGCACTTGGCACTTGACAGCAGACTATTGTGCATGCTGACAGCAGACCTGTGCAGTCTGATCTCTTTACTATTAGTATAAGACCATGAATTTTTTATACTTTAATAGTATAATAAAGCCCTATCAATTACAGAGGACTGTTCCTAATTCAAAACATATATAACATAATAACAAGTTCACCTTTAATAATCCCTTAAAATTGCCAAGGTATCATATTTATTAATTTTTCAATTTTTTTTTTAAAATTTTGGGTGGCATGTCAAGTTTCCAGAGTGTTATAAGGAATTGTATTCTTTTCTTAGGTGTCTTTCATGATTTCAAATATGGCACCTACCTCCTTGGCAAGCCTGTATAAAGAATAACTTTGGCTTTGCCTGTAAATGTTTGCAATGATCACCATCAAAGTATTTTGTAACATTTTCAAGCGAGATGGTTTTGCCGTCCACCCCATAAATACCGTCCTTAGTCCCGTGGCTACATATCACACATACAAAACATTCAGCCTGGCTATGATCTGAGTGGGAGGCCTCTCGTAACAACTCACTGTGTATGTCCTAAAATAAAATACCAAAAAAATGTAAAAACTTGAAAAGAAGAACCAATTACATGTATTTGAATAAACAGTTCTGTTTCTCTACCAATTTACCAGCTACTTAGAACAGCATAACCTAGCATAACTAAAGATTCATGCTTGTTTTCAAGAATTTTTTTGAAAATGTATTCAAAAGTAAAATATTGTTTAGTGAACAATGAAAGTAATTTACACATTATAACTGGCATTTATAGTATGAGTAAATTACCAAAAAAAAGTCAAAATATGTAATAATAGCCATTACTGCATAAGTCACATAGTACAAATATGGTGGTTTTTTTATTGGGTTTTACGTAACATCGACATAGTATAGGTCATTTGGCAACATTCCAGCTTTACTGGTGCAGGAAGACCTCAGGTGCCCTTCCGTGAATTATTTCAGACACAAATGGGCACCTGAGTAGAACCACTGATGTTCCGTAAGCTAGCTGGATAGCTTCCTCACATGAAAGAATCCAAAGTCCCTGTCGGGATTCGAAACCCACAGAGGTGAACAAATATGGTGATAAATACTGCAAAATCTGTCATTATTTGCCCATTACACACAAATTAATACCTGAATCTTTTTACTTGTGTTGTGTTAAAATCTTTGTAAATTTTTCTTATCTTTATTTTTCTTAAAATAATTTGGTTTATCTGGAGGAACGCAGCTTTAAGCATCTAAACTTGTTATCTAAAATGGTATCCAAAAGCCACAAACAACCAAACAGCAGTTTAAACTCGCTATCCTAAGAGCACTCTTTATGTTAGCACTTCGGTCGAGACAAATGTTGTTTAGCGGAATTAGCACCCTTGTGTTCAAATATTTAGTGCAAGTAACTAATATTTATCGTATCATTATATTAATGTAAATATACTTTAATGATCACAAAAGGTGATTCATACCCCAACCTTCCACCTTAACTTTTTGAAAGAAAAGTGGTCTGAAAGAGGAATAGAAAAAGTTAGATAAACATTTAGAAGAAATTAGCCAAATTTGAATCTTACCAGTATAACTATGACCATATACGTAACATTTATGTAAGCCAGCCCGCATAGCTCAATTGGTTAGATAGGGAGACTTGTAATCAAGACATTGTGGGTTCGATTCCCGGGCTGGTCAACTAACATTGCTAATCAGTCTTTCAGATGAGACTTTAAATCGAGGTCCCTTACATGAGTGCTTAAACACTTAGCACATTAAAGAACCTGGAGTAGCTTCTACAATTAGGGCATCTTTCTGTATCTTGCACTTTCCTCCAAAATATAAAATGACTAATACTCTTCTGGAGGACTCGCCCATATGGGCAACCAGTGGTGAGTATAAAAAACTCAAATACACACACACACATTTATGTATAAAAAATATTTTTCTATTTTCAGTAAAAAGTGCTAGGTACACATGGACATCATTACAATCTGACCAGAATCTATACTGTTAGTTGACCTCTTTATAATTTTTATCTTGATATCCCAAAAATTGTCAATCCACAATTCAAAAAATGGGGAACTATACTTGTGTAAGAAATAGAGCAGTTAAAGTGTTAATAAAGCCTTTATATAATACACATGCATACCTGAGCTGATAATTCAGTACGGGTAATCACGTCAAAATGTAATTGTGTAAACAATTTTTTCAAGTCTTCGGCATCTTTCACAGTCCCGTGTCTAGTCGGAAGTATACACCTCATGACACCTTCTTTGTCCTTTTCTAATGGTCCATAAAACGTCTGGTTGGACAAAATTAAACATCGGCCCCGACAGGACTTTTTCATAGAATACACCTAAAAACAACATAAAAATCATGATCATTGAAAGAAAGATCAATTACTGTTAGACCCAAACTTCCATGGTACTCTGGATATCTTAAGCAATTAAAACAGTACAAAAGATCAATAGAGAAAATATACTTAAAGGACAGGTCAGATCTCACAAAAATAGTGTACAATAATGTAAGAAACTCCTATACTGCGGCAATAGCATCAGCAAAGGATGGGTTCTATCAGAGTAGAATTGGAGAGGCTGAAGGGAATGTGAAGAAGTTATATAGCGTGACTTCAGACTTGCTTGGGCGTTCGAAGGATAACCCACTTCCACCTCACACCAGTGAGACGGCACTTGCAAACGATTTCTTGCGTTACTTTAGTGACAAAATCCTTAAACTTCGTGATGATCTGGATAACATAAACACAGAAACATCATCTTCAGTGATTGATAGTATTATGGCATCTGATGTACCATCAAGTGAAAATATCATGAACAAATTTATACCACTAAATGAAAAAGACATAATCAAACTTGTGAGTGAATCAAAAACAACAACATGTGAGTTGGACGTTATGCCAACACCAAAGCTGAAAGAAAATCTTCATTTGATTGCACCTGTTGTGACAGAAATCGTGAATCGGTCATTGTCTTCTGGTGTTTTTCCAGAGACGTGGAAGAGCGCTGTTTATTAAGCCCCTTTTGAAAAAGAAAGGCCTTCCCTTAGAATTGAAAAAACTATCGGCCTGTATCAAACCTGTCATTCTTGTCGAAAATTCTTGAAAAAGCTGCAATGAACCAAATTTCAAGCCACATTGAGTCCAACAATTTGTTACCATCTTACCAAAGTGCATACCGTAAATTTCACAGTGTTGAGTCTGCTATGATGAAAATGTACAGTGATCTGCTAGAAACAGCTGATAGCCGCCATGTGACAATAGTTGTAATGATTGATTTAAGCGCCGCCTTCGATACTATCGATATACCAATATTACTTGAAATCCTACAGAAAGACTTTGCCATACAGGGTATTCCATTAAAGTGGATCGAATCTTATTTAACCAACAGAGATATGAAAGTAGTCATTGAACAGTCTTCATCGGATACTGAGCCACTGAGGTTCGGGGTTCCCCAGGGTTCTTGTGCTGGACCGGTGATATTTACTCTCTATATAGCTGCCCTTAACAAAATAGTCCAGAAATATCCGGCGGATTTGTATGGATATGCAGACGATCATAAAGTGGCATTTAAAATTAGAGCTGGTGACCATCACAGCGAAGAAATCGTTCGCCAAAAATTAACTGACTGTCTTAATGATATTGTGTCATGGATGACTAGATTTAAGTTAAAAATGAACAATAGCAAAACAGAAATCATCATTTATGGTACAAGACATCAGCTGAAGAAATTGAACATTTCAAGTGTCAATGTTGGTGGGGTCGAAGTCAACTGTGTTGACAATGTGAGAGACCTTGGAGTACAGATGACCAGCACTTTAAGTTTTGACATCCATATTCAAAAGAAGTGTCAGATTGCACACATGCAGTTAAGAAATTTGAAAGCAATCAGAAAACATCTCACTCAGAAATCTGCAGAAATCCTTGTTCACGGTTTGATTCATTCACATTTAGACTTTTGCAATGGATTATTCGCTGATATTCCAGCCTATCAACTTGATAAATTACAACGTGTGCAAAATTATGCTGCTAGAATTGTCACTGGAGCTGCTTACTATCAATCCAGTGCTGAAATTCTTAAATCACTCCACTGGCTTCCAATTCGAGCAAGAATCATGTACAAAGTTATTGTGACTGTGTTTCGTGTTGCAAATGGCACCGCTCCATTGTATCTTCGTAAATTGTTCACTAAATGCCAGAGTCAGTACAGGAAAAGACTGAGATCCTCATCATCTAGCCACATTCGGTTTGATATACCATCAACAAATTCAAAACTTGCTGATAGATCCTTGGCCATTGTGGGACCTAAATGGTGGAATTCATTGCCAGACTATCTGAAGGACATTACCAATGAAAATCAGTTTAAGGCCAAACTTAAAACATACTTGTTTGGACTGTTTTTCAACTAGAGTTGTAGATTGGCTGTGCCATCGAGACTGGGTTTGGGAGTGTCTTGATCAAGCATATGTGTATATAGTCTTAATAATGTACAGCGCAATCGAATATTTAATACATTTTTGCGCTATATAAATGTCTTGTATTTGTATTTGTATTTGTATATTTTGATAACTAACATACTGATTATGACATATAGCAAATATGATAAAAAGATAAAAACCAACCCAGTTTATCAAAACATGTTTCGCTTTCATCAGTTGATATGATAAATAACAAAGGAAATGACAAATAACAATATAATCAACAACAACATTTAAATTTAAACCAAATTGTGCACAAATTTACAGTAAATCAAAGCCTTGAAATATAGTTAATATAAAAATTCCAAGAGATAAATTTATATGAGATCATCAAGCAATAAATGAACATTTTTTCTTCCACTATTCTATTTTTATGTCACAGTTATTCTTTCACTATTTTTTTTTTACATCCCAGGATTTGAAAAAGAAGAATCTTGTTCTGGCTTGTAGTGAAATTGTGACCCTTAGAAACTAGTGAGTGACCCACAGCTACACCACTTAAGCTGCCCTGTCACCTCTTATTTTACTTCTGAGTCAAAATAATTGGACATCACACCTGGCTTGGTTCTAAGATAATTTTGTTTTGGATTAGAATCTCGCTTCTGTAAAAAGAAAATCAGTATCTCCACCTAAAGTATAATTAGTTGATTTCTTAATAAGTTATCAGGTCATACCCTGCATTGAAATGATTTTGTCCTCCTAGCCCATTTTGCCCAATAGGGATGGGAATTCTATTCTCAATTTGATATATAATCTAGGTACTTCTTGCTCAATACTCAGGCAAGGCATAATTTCTCAGTGAGGTTATATTTCAGACATTTAGACTAATGGTTATTTGTATCTTACCAATGATTCAGAAATCATGTGGGACTAGTCGCAAGTCACTTGTGGAGAAATTGTTATCTTCTGGTTAGTTATCCAGAAAGCTAATTAGGTGGTGTGACTAGTGATAAGGTTGAGATATGGCTAAAAAAAAGTGTTAAAATAAACATTTAACACCAGAAAAACAAAAATTCAATCTTCCTAGCAAAGTGAATAAGCCTAGTATAAAAACCATTTACAAGTACTATTTTGTGCATGGGTAAATGGCAATGTCTACGACTCTCCACTCTTGAAGCAAGATTCTGAGACTGATGCAGACCAAAAATATCTCAGAATCTATTAGTCCTATAAATATGACGTTGCTTTTTTACTTCTTGACCGACATATTGAAACTATTACATCAGGGATTTTTTCCAGGATTTTGGGAACACGACCCATACCCATGGAATTGGGAAATTTTAGCTGTGTTTTGTTAAAAATTGGGAAAAAGTGCATGACTGAAATTTTGCAGTGATTAAATGGATGCAAACAATTACTGTCTAGGATGGCATCTTCATCCATTTAAGCACTATTACAGTGAAGAAGCCCTTATTTACAAAGATTTTAGAATTTTTATTCAATATTTTTATTTTTTAACTTTCAATTGGGAATTTTTCGCTGTGGATTGGGAAAATAATATACTTTTTTCAATTGGGAATATGACCCAATAACGGCTATCAAATAAGCCAAAAAAAGTCCCTGTACATTAAACAAGCCTCTAACGTCTGATATATTGGACTTAGCCTAATTAATTTGGCGTTAACAGTTTGACCCATTTTACTAACTTTTTTCATGCTGTCAAACAATTGAAAAAAGACATCGTCCGCCCAAATTATCTCGATGATTGTCTCTTTGACAAGTCTAATAAGCTTTACTTGACTAAGAATAGATCTCTCTTCAACACATCAAAATATTTTGACTTAGTACAAAATGTGTTTTGCCTTTTTATCATCTTTATGATAACTTAAAATAAATCAAAGCTTATGTCACGGTTCAGAACTGTACACTATTTAGGTCGGATAGCTCAGTAGGTAGAGTTGGGTATGGTATTCCAAGGGACCCAGTCAGACTGCACATTTTTCTCACCCTGTGACATTTGGTACAGGTCAGAGTTTAATTCACATTGTAATTCTGTGAAATTCGAGGACAAATTTCAATATAGCAGGGGAGTATGTCACGGTTCAGAACTGTTCACTACTGCAGTATAGTATATAGGGGAGAAGATGTGTAATTGGCCGGATAGCTTAGTCGGTAGAGACGCAGTACGGTATTCCGAGGGTCCCGGGTTTGAGTCCCGGTCAGGCTGCACATTTTTCTCATCCTGTGACACTTATCAGCTCAATGTTTCAGTTCTTACTTCTATTACTTGTTATGTGGTAAATATATGTTGAACTTAATTGCCATGGTCTACGGCAGTATTTCATTTTGTATGTACCATTATAGTAAAATTTGGTAAGTTGTGGATATGTGGTATTCTTAAGTTGAGGAATCATTTGTGATATTTATTATAACGCTAAAGGATAAATACCTGTCATTCGTCAAATTTTGATCAGGAAGACTGAAGAAAACGAAACAAGTTAATCCATCGAACAACTCTTTTAACAATTAATTTACTGAATTAAGGGATTAAAACATAAAAAAAGTATTTATTTTGCTTACTGCTTTCATGTGTCATCCAATCAAAATAGTTCTTTAGGGGAATAACCCCGATCGAAACTAATGGGAAAACCCTACCAAGCTCGCTGAAACCAGGAAGTAATAATTTACTGCTTCACCGTTTTGCAGAGTTATGCCCCTTCAAAACCGGCCGGGTTATTTTTTTTGAAGGATTTCATCTAAAACACATCGAGGAATACTAGCATAAAGACTAAAATGGAATTTATTTTATGTTTATTTATAGTAGCAACCATATTAGCAGCACTAGGCTCAGTCAAATATTTTCTAAGGTAAAAAAATTGGTTTTGTCATGCATTTTCGCGACAATTTGCTTATCATTTTTGTAGGACAGAATGAGATGCTAATAAAATTTATTTTATATTTATGCTTAAAGAGATAATTTGATCCATATGACCTATTTAAAAATATAGAAATTAGTTTAAATATAGTATAGATGTGATTTGTATTATTTCATACTGTGATCACCGGCTAAATCTGTTGATGTATATTGCAATTGTTGTAAAGTTTAACAGAACTAATAATCACTTATGCACTGTGTAGAGATGCAACGATTCATTCTGATTTATCGGTTTTGTGGTTGCCAATTTTGATTACTGATACCAACTGTGACAATTTCTGTTTTTGCCCCTCACTTACTAGTTTACCGCTGTGTAACATACCTAATTTAACTTGTGTAGTCGCTGGTGTTGTATATTTGGTAGGCAAATCAAATAGCTTCATATGTCAATGTAGAAAAAAAAAAGAAATCTTTAAAATCCTTCAACAAAACTTAAATAAAAGGTGTAAGAACATAAGATATGTTTTAAGGGCATGTCATGTCCAAAGGGGATTTATTTTATAAGTAAAACTAACTTGATGCAACCAGGTACGTATATTAACGGTATCCGCAACAAGGTTTTAGACCGAGATTGCTGTCGTGTCGGTCGTGCGCATGCGCACATGCTACCAAAAAATTTAATCGATGGCGGACGGAGCAATTTTTGTTGATGAAAAATCTGTAAATTAAGTGTTAATTAACGAGCATCGGCACAAAATACTCAAGAAATAATGACAGGTAAGTCTTATGTTTTTGTTATGTACCTGTATTTTTAATAGATAACGCTTCCAAATGGCGTAAATCGGGTGTGGAAATTTCCAGTCTGTATGAACGAGATCGACAAAATGGCGGATATTTGTTAAAAACGGGTGAACATGTATAAAATCTGCAGAGTTATCAGGCTTAACCTACTTGTAGAAAACTGATTAAACTTGCACAAATCGGTTTAGAATATATTAAAGTAAGTTATGTAGGTACTTTTAAGGCTCCCTCATTATCTGATCTGTTGTTTTTGTGGCGTGAAATTTGAAGGAAATTAGTAAATTTTTGCGGTGCAAAAATAAATTCACGACCTATTTTGGCCCAAACATCAGAGGTATCTAAAGACCTTGAAAATACAAATGAAAGCTTTAAAGTTAGTTACTACATTATTGTGAATGGGGTGTGGTATTATTTATAATTTTCAACTGAATATTTTTGATGCTATGGTCTTTTGAAAATGGATGAAATTTCCCCCAGTTTTTTTCTTCATTTACTCAGAGTTATATTCAACTTCTTTTTTGTTAGTTATTCCAGGTACGTATATTAACATTAGTACATGGTTATTCTGTTGATAAAACAAAGTATTTATATAAAATGTCATTTCATCTATTTCAGATCGTAACAAATGTGCTTCAAGGGTTTTCAAGTGGTAGATCAGCACGACAATTTCCACTGAATGCTGATACAGCCCAAAAGTTCAAAGATTTCAGCTTGTGCCAGGAGAGTCCCAGAAGTGTCAAATAAATTTCGGGAATAAAGTGACACTAAAATGAAAACACTATAAAACAGTCATTTTTATAGCCAGTGCGATGCTATTGAAGTTTTATGTAAATCCAGTTATAAAATAAAAGGCAAAACTAATGTGTTTTCATTTTTATTTCTTTTTTTTTACTACCAGGTACCCGATACTACTATTTCCAATACCTTTATGTCTATTCTCTCGAAAAAATGTACGTTCATTCAAGAGAACCTGAAAGATACTGACATATGTAGTGGTTGAAACAGTTTGCTCAATATAATTGTATAAAAAGCAAGAATATGCTTTAAATAAAAACAATTAACTGGATATTAGTAATAATCTAGCCTTACCCACTAAAAAGCAGTTTCAAAACAGGACCGACTGATAGAAAAAAGTGTGAAAACTATCACAATTGAACAATTAAATAGATGCACATTAATAACCGTGATTAAAATCAATTACTGAATCTGCAGCAAACATCAATTATGACGGTACAATGTACTTATTTTTCACAATACTTTCATAACAAAAAATGTTTAGGCCGTTTTTCAGAAAAATATACGTACGTACCTGAGAAAACGAACATTTTTTTAAGAGCTCTTTTCTGGTGCAGTTTGAAAATTATATAATCATACTTTTATTCAATTTTAAAAATAGATAGATAGATAACTTCATTCTTTAAAACAATGTTCAAATAAAAAAATATAAAGGGCTTAATAAGTTAAATATATGGTAAAAGTTGCGTTCGAAATATGCAAGATGATTTTGGTCATGTGATTCTTCACAATATCTTATCCGCATTTATTTAAGATACGCAACAGAAATTGAAAAATAAAAAAATAATTAAAACTACAGTTTATAAGCTTTTTATAGATAATTTTTCACAAATTTCGGCAAAAAAATGACGAAACAATAATATCTTGTTACTACATGTACATATAAAATTTCTTTCGTGTGCAGTCGCGATTTGGCTGGTAGTAAAAGTTGCGTTTTTTACTCGTTACAATTCCGGAAATAATTTAGCTTTGTAAATGATAATTACACGGTTAAAAAGATCAAATTCTCAGCTTTCTTTTGATAGGTATTTTGCTAAATTCGGACCATAAATTACGAAAAAATCTTATATTTGTTTGAAGAGGGCATCATTATTTTACTGAAGTTTTGACATAATCGGGAGACAAAAAAAAAAACTCTGTGTTTAACTCGTCGTAATTTTCTTCATACTAAACGCACTGATTTATAAAATATATATTTGAAAAAATCTATCTTTCAGCTTTCTAGAATATGTTACTTTTAAAAAATTGAACAGAAAATAACATGTTGACGGTAATTTAAATAACCAAGGTCAAATATCACACTGCTTAATGATATGTAATCGTCGATAAAATCAATAACGATCGGCAGTCTGGATGGATTATCTGCCACGGCAGCATAATTTACCGTTATTGATTTACTGTATAGAGTTGCGGATACCGTTAATATAGTTATTACGTACCTGATGCAACACATGAATAGAAAGCACTGATGTTGATGTGTTTAAAATGTCTTAATTAAGTTTTAAAAAAGTCAAATTTGTAGCTGTACAAGTCATGTTACTGTGATAGTTTGTTTGATTAAAATTGTTTTCCAAATAGACCTCTTTTTTATTTTAATAAACACCAATAGTAATAAGTCAAATTTAATAATCTGATTTTTAGCTCACCTGAGCATGCTCAGGGTGAGCTTTTAGGATCGATGATTGTCCGTCGTCCGTCCGTTCACATTTTGTTGTTAACACTCTAGCGGTCGCATTTTTGCCTCAATCATCATCAAACTTGGTCAGGATGCTTATCTAGTTGATAGCTCGGATGAGTTCGAACATGAGTTCGAACATGGGTCATCTCGGATGAAAAACTAGGTCACAAGAGCTAAAAATAGAAAAACCTTGTTAACACTCTAGAGGTCACATTTTTGCCTCAATCATCATCAAACTTGGTCAGGATGTTTGTCTAGGTGATAGCTCGGATGAACATGGGTCATCTCAGATGAAAAAGTAGGTCACCGGAGCTAAAAATAGAAAAACCTTGTTAACACTCTAGCGGTTACATTTTTGCCTCAATCATCATCAAACTTGGTCAGGATGCTTGTCTAGGTGATAGCTCGGATGAGTTCGAACATGGGTCATCTCGGATGAAAAACTAGGTCACCGGAGCTAAAAATAGAAAAACCTTGTTAACACTCTAGCGGTCACATTTTTGCCTCAATCATCATCAAACTTTGTCAGGATGCTTGTCTAGGTGATAGCTCGGATGAGTTCGAACATGGGTCATCTCGGATGAAAAACTAGGTCACAGGAGCTAAAAATAGAAAAACCTTGTTAACACTCTAGTGGTCACATTTTTGACTCAATCATCATCAAACTTGGTCAGGATGCTTGTCTAGGTAATTGCTCGGATGAGTTCGAACATGGGTCATCTCGGATGAAAAACTAGGTCACAAGAGCTAAAAATAGAAAAATCTTGTTAACACTATAGCGGTCACAATTTTGCCTCAATCATCATTAAACTTGGTCAGGATGTTTGACTAGGTGATAGCTTGGATGAGTTCGAACATGAGTCATCTCGGATGAAAAAGTAGGTCACCGGAGCTAACAATAGAAAAACCTTGTTAACACTCTAGAGGTCACAATTTTGCGTCAATCATCATCAAACTTGGTCAGGATGCTTATCTAGGTGATAGCTTGGATGAGTTCGAACATAGGTAATCCTGGATGAAAAACTAGGTCACCTGAGCTAAAAATAGAAAAACCTTGTTAACACTCTAGAGGTCACAATTTTGCCTCAGTCATCATCAAACTTGGTCAGGGTGTTTGTCTAGGTGATAGCTTGGATGAGTTCGAACATGGGTCATCTCGGATGAAAAAGTAGGTCACTGGAGCTAAAAATAGAAAAACCTTGTTAACACTCTAGTGGTCACATTTTTGCGTCAATCATCATCAAACTTGGTCAGGATGCTTATCTAGGTGATAGCTTGGATATGTTCGAACATAGGTAATCCTGGATGAAAAAGTAGGTCACCGGAGCTAAAAATAGAAAAACCTTGTTAACACTCTAGTTGCTACTGTTTTGATCCAAGTATCCTGGAAATTGGTCTGAAAGTTTGTTTTGATGATTTCTAAGTCAAGTTCCAACATGGGTCATCTTGGATGAAAAACTAGGTCACACCGCCCAAATATGGAAAAACCTTGTTAACATTCTAGTGGTCACATTTTCGACTCAATTATCATCAAACTTGGTCAGGATGCTTGTCTAGGTAATTGCTCGGATGAGTTCGAAATCGCATGTGAAACTAGGTCACCGGAGCTAAAAATAGAAAAATCTTGTTAACACTCTAGTTGCTACTGTTTTGATCCAAGTATCTTGGAAATTGGTCTGAAAGTTTGTTTTGATGATTTCTAGGTCAAGTTTGAATATGGGTCACCTGGGTAAAAAACTAGGTCACACTGCTCAAATATGGATAATCCTTGTTAACACTGTAATGGTCACATTTTTGACTCACCTGTCATGAGACTTGGTCAGAATGCTTGTCTAGGTAATTGTTTGGATGGGTTTGATGGGTCAGGTGAGCGATCTAGGGCCATCATGGCCCTCTTGTTACCATTGTTCTTCCAAGTAAAAGTTTATGATTCAAAGAAATCTGAATAAAAACTTGTATAGCAATAATAACATTGATAATCTGAACAAAAACTTTGATATAATTAAAAAAATAACATTACACACAAAAGTGAAGCTGATTTGAAAAAAATTGTAGTTTACATTGTAAATAATTTGATTTTCATAACTGAGGTACGATTGTGATAAAACCTGTTTTGTAAATTATAGAACTTATATTGCAGACATAAATACCCTGTTGGTGTAACTTGTTGGTTCTGTGGAGAAAAATCAAAAGTTCCCTATGACAACAGGAACTGTTGGGACTGTACTAGTTGTGAACAATATAATGGATTTGATAAGGTGAGATAATGGTAGCAAAAATTTTATTTTAACTCGATATTTTGCTAAATTGGAGTTTCAAATTCAAGTATTGTAGGTACATAGACTAATTTTCATAAAAGTCAATTTTATTCATTGACATGTAGGTATTTTGATAAGGGTAGAAACTTATCGTTCAGAGCCCTGATATTGTTATACATTTGTAAAATTATTATTTTTGGTTACTGTAAATTGTGAAATAAAGAAACTCTTTTGAATGCTTGTTGTTAATATTATAAGCCATTTAATAACTAATTTTAGGATGGTGGTTACAATAAGCCAATCCCAGCACAGTATGATGACAGATTAAACCGGCCAATCAGATGTGAGGAGGAGGAGTTTATTGTGGGCGGGAACATTCTGTGTAGGAGGTGTACACAGAATCAGGAAATCAAGATAAAACAGTTCGCTAATTTTACACCGTTTAATGAGGTATTGAGGATTCTAACAAAGTTTACATTATATTTAATTGATCAAAGACTAAACAATTTTGAATGTTGTTAAACATGTAATAATTAATTCTGCATCACTGAGCATATGCTTGTGTCAGAAATAACATGTATATTTTGTTTACCGAATTAATCCTCTTTTTGAATCTACATGTAATAAATCAAGTGGCATATGGCGAATTTCCAAATTTACTGGTGAAAGAAGACCACAGGTGCCCTTCCATGCATTATTTCAGGCATAAACAGGCACCTGACTAGAACTAGCAATGTTCTGTAAGCTAGCTGGATAGTTTCCTCTCGAAAGACTCCAAATCCCTGGCGGGAATCCAGCCAACAGAATTGAGGACAAGTGGTTTGAAGTCGATGATCTTAACCACACTTTAAAAAGTACATTTAATTCATTAATTTTTTAAGAATGTAAATGATTTATTTAAGTAATTTTTGATATGATTACTTTAACTTGGAATGAATAGTTGCTATATTGGGGGTACACATTATGGGGCACATTTGCATAAGGCTCTAAATAAGGCTATTTAGTATTTTACCTGATAGGGGACTGGGGCCATGGCTCTCAGTTTGGGGAATTTTTGCATTGTTTTGAAGAAACCATTTCACCAGGGATGCCCTGGTCACGTAAAGGGGTCCCTGGTCACATAAACAATTATAATTATGCTCATTAATGTCTGGTCATTGCAGAAAAACTATGATGAGGAGTTTGATGCATTTAAACGTCATACAGAGAGGGTACTGTCTTTATGTCCCGTGTGTGAGGTCAAAGTTCAAGAGGTTATAAGGAGCCAGGATGAAGAGTTGATGAGACGTCGGTCTCACCTAGAGGACTCCAGTAGCTTCATGAATGATGTAGAAACAGAACAGACCTACCTGGTATGTAGATTGTGTCTCATAAAGGTTTATAATAATAAGATACATATATTTTGGAGCAGTTTGGTGCTACAGTGGTAATATGCTTGTCTGGTACTCCAGGCATTGCAGGTATGATTCCACGCTCCACCATTAACAATACTAATAGTCATTCTGGTGAGTCTTTAAAAATCGAAATCTATGTATTGGTGTTCTTCACAGGGCATGTTCAAGAACCAGGGTCGCCTCATAATGTTCATGTTGAACAATAATTTTATAAAGATTTCTCAAATATTGTTAAAATTTAACACATCTTGGAAATGTTTATCCTAGTAATCATGAACATTTTACTTTTGATGGAGCGTGCTTCTGCAAAAATTAACATCATTTGTTATGTATGGTTTTTATATGCATTCAAATATAGTTTTGCTACAATGGAATATAGAAAATATCAATTTTTGAAACATTGAAAAGTTTATTAAGCACAATATTAAAATGTTTCAACAATGAAATATTGAAAATCTATATTAATTTTTAGGATATATTAAATTTTTTTCCAATTTTGGGACATTGAAATTTTTTATTGTGACTAAAGTAATGATATACAAGTATATTTTTACATAGGAAAGGAAGCATTTTTGTAAGAAATGACAAGCTTCTGTTTATCAATTAAAAAGTAACTTATATAGATAATGTCTCATTGATGAAATGCAATATTTCCGCTGATGGAACACATTATTTTTTAAAAAAAGTGCAATATTTCATGAAGAAAACATAAATTAAATCTTTCCTTCATTTTTCTAACAGCACTCGAGTTACTCTGAGACTTATTACACTAAGTCTTTAGTGTCCAGTATAGTGTTGCATGCAGTATCACTGGTGTGTAGCGTTCTTCTTGTTACCAAGGAGATAAATTTAGACGGGAACCAGGCCTGGCAAAAACAACTTCTGTTCCTACATCCTGTATTACTCTGGTTAGACGTCAACACAGTGTTTCTGGCCATGCTTGGATTGATTTCATTCTTTGCAGCAAAATTATTTTTAGGAAAATACAGGTAATACCTTGATGTTAGTAGATAAAACAGATTTATTAAACAAGTTCTTTCAACTTAAATTTTCATTTATTTCAAGAATATTGATAACACCCAATACACTATGCATGTATTGAAATACAATAAAAATGTGTACTAAATTTATTCAAATAGTTTGGTAATTCAATAGAATGAATATGGCCAGAACATAAGTAGCGAAAATTTTAGTCAGTGTAAGTGAGGCCTGTTAGTAATTTTGCATTAATCACTAGCATGATATAGAGACAATTTTTGAAACCAGTGTATAGCAACCAACAAGTAGCAACCAATATATATCAACCAATATTTTAGCAACCAGATCATTCATTATTTTAGCTATTTAGAGGGTACTTAGGTGACTGCACAATATAAGAACAGATAATAGATAAGCCTTTTTCTTGATTTGCCTTTCATTATAGGAAACATAGTTATTGGGAGGTTTTAAACCCATGACAGCCAAACACTTGATGGTGAACATATGTGTTAAGTAATATTCAAATCATTTCATGAATCTCGAAGCATGCAGCTTTAATGGAAGTTTAGCTTGAAGCAAGAAATTTACTTGTTTTTGTTAGGTGATTAAAGATTAAAAATTCATACACGAACGTTTCTGTTTGATTTCAGACTTTATAAAATGGATGTTATAAGCTGCATCATCTGGATACTTGTAGCAGTATCACAGACAGGTTTTCTACAATTTGACAAGACTGGTTCAGTTTTTCATATCAGTAGTCTGGTTCTCAATTGTGTTACGTCTGCTGTGAGTGTGGCTATTTATAGAAGACGGAGAGATAGACCAGATATCAGCATGATAAAGTGAGTAAAATTCTAAATTAAAGTTCTAAGTTCCAAGTTTTCTACAGTGTCTCAAGTTTTCCACTCATGTCCCAAAATTTTGTTTCCCTGTGTTCTGTCCAAAGATTTAGTTTTCCACCCGTGCCTGTAGATTTAGTTTTCCACCCGTGCCTGTAGATTTAGTTTTCCACCCCCATTTAAGATTAAGCCTTCTGCACCATATCAGCATTTTAAGTTTGAGCCAATAAATTACAACTGTATAAAGGCTTACTTAAAAAGCATCCATTATGTCACAATGACTCTATAATTTTAAGCTTTGTTTGGAAAAATTAAAAAAGATATTTTTGTTTCTCAGTTATGTTTTTATTCAAAAACTGTTAGATCCTTGTCAAAATAAAAATGTTGAGTAAATCCTTCACCCAACAAAAAAAACAAAATAAAACAACAGTAAAAAGCAACCATCATCATAAGCATGTCTATCCATTGTTTACATTTCAGAATGCAAATGGACAACAATTTTTCAGACTCTATAGACCACACACCAGTTTATTCCTCTTATAGCCAGGTTATTGACCCGAGGTCAAGGCCATTAGGTCAGACAACAGTGTTTGAGCCAAGGTCATATGATCAAGAGTCAAAGGTCAAGGTAAAAAAGTCACATGATCAAGGGCCAGACGGAGAATCTAGATCACAAGTTACCAGTACAACTGGTCCCGAAACATCCGAATCTAAGTACTCAAAGGCAGGCAGTATAGAAAATTCTGCAGACATTGAGGGGTCAGGACAAGCACAAAAGGGATTTTTGGGCAGCAATGACTTCAGTCACATGCTGGGTGGGGGAAATAATGACATAGATCAAACAGCAACTGTGCTCAATGCATTCAGCCTTGGAAAACCGTCTGTGAGAAGAAGTGACTCAGGTATGACACATGGAAGTGTTTTACTTATATTTTTTGTGCCCCAACTATAGTGGGGCATTTAGATTTACCCTTGTCCGTCCTTCCGTCCGTCCGTCCATTCTCTTTTTGTGTCACGCATAGCTCAAAAAGTAATTGACCCAGAGTCATGAAACCTTACAGGAATGTTGATCAGCATGTGTAGTTGTGCACCTGGGTATTTTCGTATGGATATTATTAGTATTTTTAGAGTTATTTCCCTTGACTTAGTAAAAATTTGCAATCTTCAACTTGTGTCACACGTAACTCAAAAAATATTTGACCTAGAGTCATGAAACCTTACAGGAATGTTGATCAGCATGTGTAGTTGTGCACCTGGGTATTTTTTTGTGTGGATATATTTAGTATTTTAGAGTTATTGCCCTTGAGTTAGTAAAAATTTCCAATTTTCAACTTGTGTCACATGTAACTCAAAACGTATTTGACCTAGAGTCATGAAACCTTACAGGAATGTTGATCAGCATGTGCAGTTGTGCACCTGGGTATTTTCATGTGGATATTTTTAGTATTTTTAGAGTTATTTCCCTTGACTTAGTAAAAATTTGCAATTTTCAACTTGTGTCGCACATAACTAAAAAAGTATTTGACCTAGAGTCATAAAACCTTACAGGAATGTTGCTCAGCATGTTTAATTGTGCACCTGGGAATTTTCTTATGGATATTTTTAGTATTTTTAGAGTTATTGCCCTTGACAAAGTAAAAATTTACAATATTCAACTTGTGTTGCTTGTAACTCAAAAAGTATTTGACCTGTAGGCCTGAAAGTTTACAAGAATGTTGGTCAGCATGTGTCCTTATGCGCTTTGGAGTTTTCTTGTGGATTTATTCAGTATTTGTAGTATCTGCCTTTTACTTAATAAAAGATTTTTAGTTTTCAACTTGGGCATATGTCGCCAAAAAAAAAAAATTGACCTAGAGACACAAATCGGTAGAGTGTGGGTTTACCCGTGTCCTATGGACATATTTCTAGTTTCTTCTGATTCTTAAGGATGATTGATTCTGGTATCTTTAATGTTGAAGTTGAATGATACTGCTAAAGCCAGTGCTATGGTGTGCCTTTTGGAGTTTTAAAAATCTTCTCTATTCAATGAATAAAATGAAACTCCCACCATCCTTACTTTTTTTGACAAAAACCTGGAACAAAACATTGGTTTTTGGTTGTTAAATATTGATTACTTTGTTCTTAAGGGAACAATTTTATCTGCTGACCACTTTCTAATTACACAAAAGACTGGTGTGAATATTTGAGAAGATTTCATCTTTGCCAATTCACAATATTTAATTTTGTTAATTCTTGTTTTCAACATACGGTATTCTCAATTTCAACTTCAAGAATTCAATTTTGCGTATTCATGTTTTGGATTGAAGGATTTTAACTTAACAAATTCATGATTTTAACATGAAGTTGAAATCGTGAACTTGCAAAGCTCATAACTTGATTTTAAATCATGAATTCATGAAGTTGAAATCATGAATTCTGTATGTTGAAATCGACAATTCATGACGAAATTGACAATTCATGACGTTAAACTTGTGAATACGTGAATATAAACCAGAGAGAATTCAAGAAGTTTAAATTTCACCACTGGTCTTTCATACCACTATGATCATTGTAGTTGTTGTCCACATCAAGCAAACACTTTAATGTAGCTTGTTTCACAAACAATTTGACAGGTATCAATACAGAACTTAATAATTATGATAAGATATAGTGGTTAGACAAGGGGCACAATTCTGAAAGCTTTCTTTCAGGAGTAATGCCCTTTTTAACTTTTTGTCAAAATTGCTTGCTAGAAATGATATCAAAACTTGGAATACTTTGTCATGACATGGTTCAGTTTAAAGACAAGAGACATTTGTCTGAAAGAAATATTTTCATAGTTATGGCCCTTTTTAACTTAGAATATTTTATATGACAATTTGTTATTTATAGAAAAGCACAGCTTACGGTGCTCTTGTTGTTCACCAAATTTAAGCTCAATATTTACATATATATGTATATACGTATGTTAGCAATATTGGCAGAATTTAAAGGAAGGTTTTATAGGTAAACTGAAAGTAAAAAACCTGATTCTGATATATGAATATTTTCTTTTAGGGTTTTCATCAATGCTGTCACAGGAAAACTATGCCTCAAATCTTAGTAAGCACTCTGTGTCTGAGAACTTGCGGTCAAGGAAACAAGGGAGATCTCTTTTGTCACCAGCCACATTTAAACATGAATCTACTCCAAACAAGCACAGTGAGTAAAATATTGCTATTTAATTGTTCATTAGTAAGTTTCCTGTTGAAGGTTTTTATCATCAGTTCTCTTTTAAAGTTGCTGTCAAATATACAATTTTATCACCAATTTTATTTTTCATCGAACTTTAGATCAGGCTTGTGTCTTTAGTTTTTCTATTTTACATGTGACTTGGGATTTACCCTTTACTTTGTTTTTACAGTTGAAGACACTTCTAAGATAATACTTACCACAATATCTTAAATGGACTTGTCCATCTTTCAATCTACACAAGACCTTATACCATTTATAGGGGAAATTTTCAGAATATTTACAGACTGAATAGTGAACAGTGCAGACCATGATAAAACAGCACAGAATTGTGGACTGATCTTGGTCTGCACTGGTTGCATAGGTAGATACATTTGCCACCAGCGTGTTAAAGGTTTATACCTAATTTTACTATTTTGGATATCTGATAATTGTCTAGCAGTGTGCCTTTAAAAACAGCTTTGTTTTTATTTATTACATGTATATATTAAAAATGATAGTGATTTCCTTTAAGCCGTTGTCCACCAATAGACCATTCTTGATTTGTTAGAGCTTTAAAGCTCTACAGTTAAATGTTTTCTTGTTCAATGAATTATTCACCATTTATAGGATCAACCCCAATACCCACGCATGGACTGTTCAGCATCCCAGCTACAGATACGCCATCTACATTGTTCATAGACAGACCGTCTTCTCCCATACGCCAGTCTGCTTTCACTCCAACACAGCAACTCTTCAGTACCGACAGACATTCATTTACACCGGAAAGACCAGCTTCCCCCGTCACCACATCATTTGGTGAAAGACCTTTTCCTAGTGTGCCTTTACATAGTGATAGACATTCCCAGTTCTCAAGCTCAAGTCCGAGCCTTAAAAGTTTTCACAATGAAGCTGCATGCCGTTTCCGTCCTATTGCTAGGCAACCAAGGTCACATTCTAAGATTCTAGAGGACACAGACTCTGAGGATGATTGTTTTTCTGGAATAACTACAAAGTCTAAAACAAGTCGTGTTGACTATACTGATTCTAGGGAAACTGATAAAAAACAAGGTATGGTGGTTGTCAATGAATATTTCACTATTTGTTAAAAACAGCTCTCCTCGTCCAAATGAGATTTAGGTCAAAATTATAAACAGTGCTACTATGAATTACTTTAAAGGCACATTATGCCCCAGAAATGAATAAATTTTTTCCTTCTTTTAAAAGGGCATACAAATGTTATGATATTTGAATAATGAGAAAGTACAACTGAATATAAAATTATTTGTCATAAAAGTAGCAAAATGTAAATTAAGACTTTTTTTTCGAAATTTTAAACCACTTTATCTGTACATATTGCCAAAAAAGCAACTGAAGCCAAAGATGGTTCAGGTAGTAATAAGCTTATGAGTAATCTTGGAAACTATGATAGGACACAAAAAATTAAAAGCTTTCAAGAAAAATAAAAGCATTTCTGGGACATAATGGGACTTTAATATAACAATACTAGTTACAATTCACAATGAATCTTTTGAGTGTTTCCGTGTTAAAAATTTATGTCCACTTTCAGCTTGACTATTCGAAGTATAAGGAGAGATTTTGTACTCACATCAGTGTCACTGTCACACTTTGGTCAAGTTTTTGTGTGCAAATTGGTATCTCAAAAGCTACTGAAGGGAATGGGTTTAAACATCACACACTTGTTCTCTGTGATAACCTTTGATAATGGACACAGGTCTCATAACTCTTGAGTTACCTTTAATACAGAGTTATGCCCCTTTTCTTACTGTCTAGCACTGAGTATAGTCAAGCCTGTCTTAAAGCTGGCTCTTTTTGTTTTATATTTTTATGGTCTTATTGGGTTTTTAGATTTTTATGTGATTTTAATACTGACTTTAATGCCAGTATTATAATGTTATCATAAATGAATTGTTATCACTAAACATGAAGAATTGAAAAAAATGATGAAAGGAAACTTTTTTCATAAATTAACTTTAGTTAAATGAAGTTCAGAAGAAAGAAAAAAAGACAAATAGAATCTAAAATATCAAAATTGATTTTGTTGATGACATAATATAAATAATCCATGTTCTAATGAATTTGTATACTAAAAATGGACTTGCGTTGCTCTTTGAATTTGAAATGGTCTTATATATGATTTTACAATCTCACAGAATTAATATATTCATGTTTATATTTTTCAGTAGCCTGGTGGGTTCCTGGTTTGATTGGGTTTGCTCTAGGAGGTAGTCTTGTTGGAAATATTGTTCAGATTTTGATGTCCAGAAGCACACAATGACCGGCTGAAGTGACAGATATTTATGTCAGGGAATAATGAGAAAACTTAATCAAATAAGTGCAGCAACGTAAATTATGTTCCAAAGAACTTACTGATTATTTAATCAAGCTGGTCAAGTAGCAAGAATATGTTTCAGGGAATAATCAGGTTATTTATTTCTCTGGTGCAGCAACTGGAATATGTTCCATTAAACAATCAGATTATTTAATCAAGCTGGTCAAGTAACAAGAATATGTTTCAGGGAATAATCAGGTTATTTATTTCTCTGGTGCAGCAACTGGAATATGTTCCATTAAACAATCAGATTATTTAATCAAGCTGGTCAAGTAACAAGAATATGTTTCAGGGAATAATCAGGTTTTTTATTTCTCTGGTACAGCAACTAGAATATGTTCCATCAAACAATCAGATTATTTAATTAAGCTGTTCATGGAAACAATCAAATTGTTTTATCCTAGGAATTTATTCCAGAGAATAAGATTATATTGATTGAGCTGTTCAAGTGAAGGGAACTATAATCTATAAGAATATAGACTTCAAAAATAGAGGAAAATGGAGAACTACAACTTGTTTAATGCTGCTTTAAGCATCATGAATTAATTCCAGAAAACAAATAGATGAATTTATCAAGACGACTGTTTTCTTTTTATGGAGATTATTTGAGCACACTGTTCAAAACAGTGTACATAAAATAAGTGAACTTGGTTTATTGCATATATGGCAAGGTCATCGTTAGACTTATTTGATTATGATACTTGATAAATTAAAAGACAAATTTGTAAGTATAAGGTAATATGATATACTGTAGAATACTATTCAAACAAGTTTAAAAGTAAAATTTATTTAAGGATCTTGGCAGAAGATAGTTAAAGATACGTAACATGGTTATTTTAAATATTTGAATGCTTAGCCACAAGTCTGAACATGTCATTCACAAAATTTTCATCTTGATTCTCTAAGAACAAATAAGTTTAAAATTGAAGTTAGTCAGCATATAAAGACTGCAGCAGGGTTTGTATCATATATGCCAACATATTATTTCTTGAATTTTGAGAAACAAAACTCAATTTTTTCAGTCAAAGAAAGGTGGATTACCTATGTGTACAACTTGAGAAAATTTTGCAAGATATGTTTTGATACTACAACTATAAGATCTAGGTAGTTCAGTACAAATTGGTTGCATGACACATTGCAGACAATTGAATTATAAATTAAATATGTTTTGTTACAGTTACCTAACATGAATTGGGATTTAAACATTGTTTTCATTTGACAGTATTGGTGTCACACTGTATAACATGGCAAGATATACAGAGTTTCCTCCATTGAGAAGGATGAACAATTCATGTATTTAGTTTATCTGATAATGAAAATATAATATTAAGGAAATAGATATCAATTTTGAGCTCACTGTCATAGAATAATGCATGGTTCCAGTTCAAATGCACAGGAATGTAATAATTATAATGAAAGGCCAAAGGTCATTTTATGTTCAGTAGGGAAAAATGCATGTTGTGTTAGAATATACTATAATGCAAGAAAAAAAATTACATCTATTTCCATTCTAACATGCTGATAAATAAAAAATTGATTAAAATATTTTGAACTACATTGAGCTTAGAATATATTTTTCTGTCGTCAGAAATTAATTATAAGCTCAATGTAGTTCAAAATATTTTAATGATTTTTTTTACACAGAAACACTTTTTTTATGAAACAGCACAAATGTGTAGTCGAAAGAAGAATGACATGTTTGGTTTATACAGAATTTACTAAGTTTAATTGTGTAGGAAGCTATAAGCTTATAGACACACTTTTGAATCCGTTCTTGGAACCAACCAGTACTGAGCAATGAATGTAAAGTTTCTTGCTCAAGGAAACTACGATTTGCCCTTGATGTGGTTTGAACCCATGCAGCTACAGATCATTAGATTACTAGTCAGCTGTTAATCACCCGGCCATGCCGCCACATATGACATGTTTGAAAAAATACACTATAAGATTATAAGGATTTAGTGTATTGTTTTAAAAATTGTTTTAAAGAAACCATAGAGAAAATTACCAATTATATTTCAAATAATATTGCTTTTACTGCCATGTTATAGATCTATCTACAGGAATTTTCCAAAAAAGATATGCCTAACTAGACATGTTATTATGAATTAATTGTACTTCTATCACAGTCTTGTACATTGTATTTACAATCTGCTTTGCAAAGAATGCAAATAAAACATTATTTTGAGCATTGATAAATAAAATATTTTTATAATAAAAGATTTCTGTAGCTTATTATTTTCTCTGACCATTTGAATGTGAGTAGCAATGAAGACTGGCTTATTCATGTAAGTATGGTCTTGCAAAATAGTCCAAATTAAAGGTTTTGCAAAATTTTGGCCACACTATCAGATTGTACAAGTTTGCTTTCAAACTTTAAAGGGACTCCACTGAGGTTTGTTGACATGACAGACTGTCAAGCAAGGTTACACTGGCTCTACCAAGCTTATCAAAAAATGCTGATAGAAATAAAACAAAGATAAATCAACAAATACAGTACAAATTGAATCTTTAATAATTTTCTTCAAATTAATACATATTAACAATCAACTATATAAACAACCTAACATGATATTTGAGCACACCAAAAATGTAAACGCTGTAATGCTGTAACAAAAAGTGCACACTTAAATAAAAAGAAGAAAAATCACACTAGTACAATGAGCTTACAGTTTTGATAAATGTTGTACACTATTTTTGATCTATGTACATGTAAAACATCCATATAGTAGAATTACAATGAAAAAAACAACAACCTTTTAGTGAAATTGGGATATCAAAGTGATCCTCCTCCAACATTGCAAAAGTGAAAATTTTGCAGGCTTGGTTTGATCGAGCCTGTTCATGGACACAAGTAGTGCATGCATGCTATTAAGCTTTAAAAATTCAAAAGGGGGGTATCTAAAAATCATGACCAATCTCAATACCAAATATGAAGACTGTGGGTTAAAGGAATTTTAAGTTATCTGGACGGACAAGCTTTTTTAGTCAAGGCCCATGAGACCTTGACCTTTGACCCAGTGACCTCAAAATCAATAGGGGTCATCTTCTAATCACAACCAATCTCAATACCAAATTTGATGACTGCGGGTGAAAGAAATCTTAAGTTATCTGGCGGACAAGCTTTGTTTAGTCAAGGCTCCTGTGACCTTGACTTTTGACATGGTGACCTCAAAATCATAAGGGGTCATCAGATAATCATGCCTAATCTCCATGCCAAATATGAAGAAAATATTTCTGTGTAAAAAAATCATTAAAATATTTTGAACTACATTGAGCTTAGAATATATTTTTCTGTCGTCAGAAATTTATTCTAAGCTCAATGTAGTTCAAAATATTTTAATGATTTTTTTACACAGAAATATTTTTTTTATGAAACAGCACAAATGTGAAGTTGAAAGTAGAATGTCGTGTTTGGTTTATACAGAATTTATTATAGTTTGATTGTGTAGGAAGCTATAAGCTTATAGACACACTTTTGAATCCGTTCCTGGAACCAACCAGTACTGAGCAATGAGTGTAAAGTTTCTTGCTCAAAGAAACAAAGATTTGCCCTTGATGTGGTTTGAACCCATGCAGCTACAGATCATTAGATTACTAGTCAGCTGTTAATCACCCGGCCATGGCGCCACATATGACATGTTTGAAAAAATACACTATAAGATTATAAGGATTTAGTGTATTGTTTTAAATATTGTTTTAAAGAAACCATAGAGAAAATTACCCATTATATTTCAAATAATATTGCTTTTACTGCCATGTTATAGATCTATCTACAGGAATTTCCAAAAAAGATATGCCTAACTAGACATGTTATTATGAATTAATTGTACTTCTATCACAGTCTTGTACATTGTATTTATGATCTGCTTTGCAAAGAATGCAAATAAAACATTATTTTGAGCATTGATAAATAAAATATTTTTATAAAAGATTTCTGTAGCTTATTATTTTCTCTGACCATTTGAATGTGAGTAGCAATGGTCTTGGCTTATTCATGTAAGTATGGTCTTGCAAAATAGTCCAAATTAGAGGTTTTGAAAAATTTTGGCCACACAATCAGATTTTACAAGTTTGCTTTCAAACTTTAAAGGGACTCCACTGAGGTTTGTTGACATGACAGACTGGATTTTTTTATTCAACTCCATTTTTCCAGAATGATTATTCTAATTGTGAAAAATGTTCCAAAATTGTAAAGCATTTTAACATTTTCACTCAAATTGGGCTTAAATAGCAGAAAAAAAAAGATTTTTAATTTATTCTGAGTAAATTTCTTAATTGTCTTTTGCATATCTTTCTGTTAAAGTGCCCCAGTTGATCTATGTATATAAGAATTTAAAATTCAAATTTTTGTTTTTAGGCTTTTGGACCTCAATGGAGTTCCTTTAATGTTTAGTGCTCACAACTGTTTGCTTTTAAAACCCATAAGAATATCAGTAAACAGCTTTTAAAGCAGGCAATTATAGTAACTTTGAATTGCAAGCATTAAAAAAGATCATATACATGTATATGCCTTCATATTATCAGTGATTCCATTTTGTAGATTACTCCGATAGATTCTTCAGAATTGTAAATACAGGTTATGTCAGTTTGAACTACAAAAAACTTATATAAACAAGAGGGCCATAATGGCCCTGAAGTCGCTCACCTGTATATAGGCCCCTGCAGAGTGGGGCCAGTTTAAACCCCAGGGCTTTTATTCGAACAAACTTGGTAGACACCCGTTAGAAGATGTTTCATGCTAAACATCTAAGGTCTAGCTCGTTGGGTTTTTTAAAAGAAGATTTTTTAAGTTTTTACTATATGCATATAGGGAAAATCAATGACCCCCTGGGGCGGGGCCAATTTTGACCCCAGGGCTTTTATTTGAACAAACTTGGTAGACACCCATTAGAACATGTTTCATGCTAAATATCTTAGCTCTACCTCTTTGGGTTCTTTAAAGAAGATTTTTTAAGTTTTTACTATATACATATAGGGAAAATCAATGACCCCCTGGGGCGGGGCCAATTTTGACCCCAGGGCTTTTATTTGAAGAAACTTGGTAGACACCCACTAGAAGATGTTTCATGCCAAATATCTATGCTCTAGCTCTTTGGGTTTCTTAGAAGAAGATATTTAAAGTTTTTTCTTTTGGTTGCCATGGCAACCAGAGTTCTGCATGGAATTAAATTCTTTGAACAACTTTTAAAGGTGACCACCAAAGGAACATTCCTGTGAAGTTTGGATGAAATTGGCCTAGTGGTTTATGACAAGATGTCATTTAAAGTTAAAGTTTACGGACGCCGGACGAAAAGGGATCACAAAAGCTCACCCTGTTACAAAGTGACAGGTGAGCTAAAAATTGACACAGTTAAAGTCAATTGTTGTAATTATAAATGTAGGAGTTAACCTTTACCCTCCTACAGCAAGAAGTGGTTAATCTTTGCCACCAGTACATAGAGCCACGCTAGCCTGCCATCTGATCAACCTATATTCTGTGGGATAACTTTAAACTGTTTATTTTGATGTTCATAAAATTACAAAGGAAAGTTCTAAAAATGGAAGCTGGAAAAGTACACTTTATTCTTTTGATAAAGTTATTCTGGATATACGTATATCTGCTTTTACTGACAATTCAGCTACCACATCAGAGGTCAAGCAATTTGAGTTACACTGGCTCTACCAAGCTTATCAAAAAATGCTGATAGAAATAACAGTACAAATTGAATCTTTAATAATTTTCTTCAAATTGATACATGTTAACAATCAACTATATAAACAACCTAATACATAATTGAGCACACCAAAAATGAAAACGCTGTAATGCTGTAGCAAAAAGTGCACACTTGAATAAAAAGAAGAAAAATCATACTAGTACAATGAGCTTTATACAGTTTTGATAAATGTTGTACACTATTTTTGATCTATGTACATGTAAAACATCCATATAGTAGAATTACAATGAAAAAAACAACAACCTTTTAGTGAAATTGGGATATCAAAGTGATCCTCCTCCAACATTGCAAAAGTGAAAATTTTGCAGGCTTGGTTTGATCGAGCCTGTTCATGGACACAAGTAGTGCATGCATGCTATTAAGCTTTAAAAATTCAAAAGGGGGGTATCTAAAAATCATGACCAATCTCAATACCAAATTTGATGACTGCAGGTGAAAGAAATCTTAAGTTATCTGGCGGACAAGCTTTGTTTAGTCAAGGCTCCTGTGACCTTGACTTTTGACATGGTGACCTCAAAATCATAAGGGGTCATCAGATAATCATGCCTAATCTCCATGCCAAATATGAAGACTTTGGGTCGAAGTATTCTTAACACAATGGGTGAACAAGCTTTTTTAAGTCAAGGCCCTTGTAACCTTTGACCTGGTGATCTCAAAATCAATAGGCGTCATATACTAATCATGACCAATCTCAATTCTAAATATGAAGACTGTGGGTCAAAGTTACCTTAAATTATTCGGTGGTCAAGGAAAAACTGATGGCTGGGCAAGCAGATACCAGTTTACCCCCCTTATAACTTTGTTGTGCCAGGGTATAAAAATGGACTTTAGTGGAGCTCCTTTAAATTCTATATCACTATATACATGTTGACCTATACATTGAATTATTATTACAATAACTATATTATATTATTATAAATATACTTTATATTTTTAATCAAGGGTAACAACTGTGAACTACATAACCAAATCTTATCATTTAATGAAATGTATTCTATAAATTTGACATCAAATCACTTCCTATTGCAACAAAATGAGTATCCTCTGGATCACACAGTCTAGTCCTTACATGACAATCATTGATCTGATCTAAGTATTGTTAAATTCAAGTTACACATCTAAACTGCTGACTTGACTTTTTTTTTTTTTGGTAAATGATAATTGCACATTTACTAGAAATAAAGGTAGAGTCTATCATATTTCTGACCATTTACTACCAAGTTAAAATTATCAAAATATTGGCAGTTTTGCTGAAGTATTTGGAAAAGTGCATAACATTACAGGAAAATAAAAGGATTTTAGTAAAAAAGAGCACATATCTTAAACAACTAATATAGTTATTCCAATCTTAAAAATAATAAATGATTTCAAAATAATTATATATCTTATTTTTGCCTTACAAAGTTATGATAAAAAAGGCATATCACAAATAAATATTACTGATCAAATACCTCACTGTAATGGTTTGATTCAGTGTTACTAGATTTAATAAATTCTATATTTTAAAACACATGCCATTATCAGCTAGCCGATTCACTGCCAGAGAACATTTCAGCTGGATTAAACTCGTACAAAAAAGTAGTCCCCTCAAGCAACAGAGCCTTTGCATACACTCTTAAGATATAGAAAAGCGTCACAAAGTCTTGCGTAGAAAACAGTGTGTCAGCCAGGGCAAATCCAAGAGTTGAGGGTATAAATCCACGACCATACTCCACCATCCATGTCCCTGCTGTCCATTCTACAGCTGATGCCTCTCCCCAGTAATGATAAACTGTGTCCCCTGCAATAATATGATATGTACAAAAACATTTTGTTAGGTAAATTTGTGTCATGAGCCTAAATGCTTTGAATTGGGATTTGCTCATTGCAAATTTTTTTAAGGATTTCATAAAAATGCTACAACAGATTACATGCTCAGGTGCAGGCTGCCCAGTGGCTGTATACTGATGGTATATATATACATTGTCACTGTTAGCTATCTGATGAAGTGTTAAAGATGATGAACAGATTTCTCGTTCAAATGAATAAAATCATATACGGTAATGTTCACTTCCAGTTACTTCCCCTGATAGGAATGAAGAATCAAGGGGAAACAATGGATACATTGTATATCATCACTACATGGATATTTAATCTTGTGGACAAAAGCAGCAGTTGGGATAAAGAACTTGTATGCTGTAACTTGCAAAAAATACAAGCTTAAAACATAAATTCAATGTAACCTTCATTTAAAAGTAAATACCTTGGCTAATTGATCTAAAAGTTCTGAGTTCAGAAGTTACGAATGAGCTTTTGACATCAATAATTGACCTGCTTAGCAATGGAAGATACTCTGCAAATAGCATACCTTTTCTAACATTATCAACAATCAAAACTACATGTAGACAATTCAAGGGAAACCAGCCATTACCTCCCTTTCATACCTCGGTTGGGTCTTTAAGTAAAAATAAACTTCTTTTCCCATAAAGAATCATTGATTTGTTCTTCCAAGAACTCAGACAAAATTAAATTAAACTTAAGTCATATCTTTTGCTAAAATAAAAGCAATTTCTTTAAAACTTAATAATTATGCTACCTAGATATGTATCCGGAAAAAAAAAGAATAAATCCTGTAATGTGGACAAAGGGGTCCAACCCATATATATGTGTAGCCTTGTTCTGACATTGAACAATAATGTAGCAACATATGATAATTATGTAACATTTGGCACCCAAAATGGGACCTTGACTGCATATAGCCCAGAGTTTAATTAGCATTGCTCTGTTTAGCCCCGAGAAATTCGGGGACGAATTTCAAAATAGCAGGGGAGTATGTCACGGTTCAGAACTGGTTCACTATTTAGAGGAGAAGATGTGTAAGTGGCCGAATAGCTCAGTTGGTAGAGCCACGGAACGGTATTCCGATAGTCCCGGTCAGGCTGCATATTTTTCTTACCTGGTGACAATTATTTTTATATTTACACTTTTTATATCATATTAATTTATATGAACAAGGCTGTTTGTGTCAGACACCTGTATTTGAATGTAGTTTACCTGGTTTGAACATTGTAGAATGGATATTACCCTCCTGCCACTGTCTGAACGAGCCTGTTAGTATAGTGTCAGATATGTTAGCCCAGTATCTACCTGTAATACAACAAAACAATACCAAACTAAAAACAATACAAAACTAAAAACAATACAAAACTATACAAAACACACAGCTTCATGTTAGCTTGAAATGAAAACTGTAAATACAAATATGTGTGTACTAGAGATAAATTAGACAAAAATGTTTTTACACAAGAATATTGTGCATTTTGTTATTTAAAATTTACTTGTGGTTCTTGTAAAGAAATCAAAATGCCTGAAAGAGTCAAATTCTGGACCTAAATATCAGACTTTAATTATCCATAGACTAAGAAATTAAGAATACAGGTTTTCTTAAATTGAATAAGTAATTTTTTTTAAACAACAGGGTGGATAACATGTAGACTATTTTATAGATATACCTGAATTTCCTGATGTATTTATTGCAGTTCCAAAAAGCAGCACATACTCTGTCAATGATGCATGAAGTATTTTCATACTTCCCATCCAACCCCCAGCGTTCATAAAGATCCATTGTTGATCTTCCTCTGGTAGTATATGTCCCGGGTATTTTTCCTGAAATTCTTTGTTAATGTTGTCATAGGCTATGTTAATATCTTTCCCTGAAAATAGTTTAAAATGTATTCATTATTAGTTTTCATAAAAATTCAATATTTTAGAATGTAAGTATACATTTTAAATCTTATCTACATTATACTGCTTAAAAATCGTAATCGATTACACTAAGCATCTGTACACTATCGAAGGTATGTACACCACGTATTTGTTGAGTTCTAGACAAAGGTGCATCTCTTAATACATATATGCTACATTTGTACATATTACTATGTCAATGTGTTTGGTTTAAACACAGGAACTTGAAATTCTATCAATATTAATGATAATATCCAAAATATATTTACCCCCTATTAGCTATACAGTATAAAAGTTATTAATGATGTTCAGTCAAAATATTATGTGCCTGAGCTAGGTATTTTTGTTCTGGGTCGGAGAGATATTGTCCATGCGCAAAAGGGGCAGTATCTCAATGTGTAACTATACAATTAGCCCAACAAATTTTATTATATAGATGATGGTTGCTAAAGACGGACATCTATGTAATATCAGAATTTGTAAAAACAGTCAGTCTTGCTAACTATAGACTATGATGCTGGCTGCTGTACCAATAGGATAGTGATTGAATTTAATTTTGTAATGAAAAGGTTTGAATAGATTCCTACATATGAATAGTAAAATGATACTGGATGATATAAATTTTGTCCATGGTCACATGATTAAAATAGGACACTCAACTAATATTGCCCCTAAAAATAAGCTGAATGCCTAGGCTCTATGAATGATAAAACACACTTTTAAAATATGCAATCAGATGTTCATATGATGCATTGATTATATTCAGTTCAAAAGCAACTTAGCCACTGTTAGCAAGTTGTATTTCTTCTACTTTCAGTTTCATTTTGGCACAAATAATTTATACTTACCCAAATGTTTCAGGGTAATTGCCTCTACAGATTTGTCACAAAACGTATATGACTTATAAACCATCCATCTATTCAGAATTATGTATAAAATAATTGCAACAAAAGATAATTTGAATGTAAAATGTAATATTGACATCATTGTTTTCATTTTCGTTGCTTACTGACACAGACTAGTTGAGAGTGAAAATTACGGAGTGTAAATATTACAAAATAAACATGTCGGACACAGAAGCATGCGGATCGGAAGAAAAAACAGAATTTCTTCCGAATTGTGCGGATGTCAACCAGTTTGTTCAAGTAAACTTTTTCAAAATAATGTTAACTTTATAATCTTTAAAAGCCACGGGGCTGTTTCATTTAAGTAATTCATATTTCTGGTTTTAAAAGTGAAAGGTATTCGGATAAGAATTAAGTTTGGATAACGTTTGGAAAATTTGGCATCAGCTCGATTAATAATGAAACAAACAGTCAAATGATGACACTTGATTTACAGTTGTAAAGTAATATGGCAAACTGTAAATAACTAGGGCTATAATTGTTAGAAAATTGAAGATGAAATGACCAGACAATGCAGTTTTTTTCCTGTTTCAGTGTTTGGTTGATATTGATTAATTATTAAAATTACCTACTTCTGATATCTACATCTACTTATTACTGCTTCAAATTTGTGAAACGTAGTAAAAAAATATGTATAATATAAACATGAAAAAGGGGAGATAATTCTGACAAAAGTTACAGTAACCAAATATTTTTCTTTCTGTTTGTCATTTTATGATATAAACCTTTCAATAACAAAATGTCAGACAACTGAAATTTTAATAACTGCAATCTTTTTTTATAACTGTTTCTAGAAAACTCTCAAGTCAGTCCTGCAAGCAACCAAATGTTCAAATGAGATGCCGGCGGAAGGTGACGACTTTGATTTCTACTCAAGTTATCAGGGATTTCAGGACATAATGAACATTGAAGGCAAAAGGATACTGCATATGTACGTAACTATTACATTAAAGAGCTGTAGAAAGTTATTCTTTTGTTAACGTTTTGAATTATGACAAACTGTGTACATCTTTTAGTTTTACTTTAACCTGCAGGAACCAGAAGTGAAGTAATTATAGTAACCTGTATACAGTCAGGCCAGCATGCCTGATGACGTTTCACTGTCGGTAGCTTTTGATTTTATTGTAAGGTGGTATTTTACTGTATACCGGTAGATTTCATCAAACAATGTTGGATTTGTTTAAGCAAATGAAACAATTTAAATTTTGCTGTCTATTTTCATGACGTTTTTTTTGATACATGAAAAAATGCAAAAAAAAAAAACAAACAAAAAACAACAAAAAGGAAATTAAGTATTTTCCTTAAACATGTAATTAATCATAGAGCGGCACAGCATAATGGAACAATTTTTCCTTTCACTTTGAAATTATTAATGTTATATCCTGAACCTTTTTAATTTGTAATATATTATTCCTTATTCCATCAACAGTTTTAACACAGATAATATTCCCAGACAAAAAAGCATGTATTTAAATAAATATCTACATGTATATTTTTCTTTAGGATACAGAATATATTAAAACATCAAAATGTGAAGGTCAACCTTGGGTCAGCTAGTGGGGCAGCTGATATTGAAGACAAGATGGACATGTTGATGGATGCCAATGACCAAATACTTGAGAGAGTGGTATGCTATATAAGTTTTCTTTATTTTGTCAAAATTTATTCTGTTTTTAAGTTAGATTATTCAAAGAATAGAGAGCTGTTGTACTTATCCCGTTGCTTGGCTGCCACATTGGCTTAAGTTTTTGCATACAAGTCAGTATCTCCAAAACTGCTGAGGGGAATAGGTTAAAACTTCACACTTGTTCTCTGTGATTATCTTACATGATTGGTCTAGTTCCAATAACTCTTGAGTGACCTTTTTACAGAGTTATGCCCCTTTTGGTACTGCCAAGCACAGATTGGATTGTTGTTGAAATGTTTACTTTGCAAGCATTTTAGTGAATTTTACTTATAAGTGAACTTTACCTATAGGTCAAAATTCATTGTTAAATGACTGTTGTTGACTTTGTTGTTTACTATGTTATAGGGGAATTGGTTGGACGAGGCTTCAGGTATAAAGAAAGATGACAACTCATTAGTCATCGCCACGGCAACTCCGAAACAACAGACATCTGCTAGCTGGAATAAAAAGGTCAGCAGATAAAATATTAACATCACTAGTTTATGATAATTTATATAAATTAATGACATATAGAACAAACTTTTTGTAGTTATTGAAAACTTTAATATAATTATATACGAATCAGTAAATACAGCAGCTGCATTAACAAGTCTTACTTGTATTGAATGTAAATTTTATTATACAAAATGTGTCCTCTCATGGTGCTTTTGTATTTGATGTATATTATTCAGCATTGTGGGAAATTTCAGAAATTTAAGAAAATTAATAGACCATCATTCATGACTTTTAATTTTTACACATGTGCATGATCTTTTAAACTGTCCATTTTGTGTAGGTTAGAAGTAAAATGAGTTCAGGAAACAAGTAAAATCAGTTCAATTTATTTCAGAATTATTTCAGAATTAGAACAGTTTGATCTTTTGGCTGCTGTTTGAATTTTTTGGTTGTTGTTGTTGAAATGAGGGGGGCTATTTCACTAGGGGCCTTATTTCGGCCCCTAGTGATAGGGTGGAAATCCCTTGTTAAGTCTAACAAGGTAAAGACAGATAAATAGGGTTTTAAGATTTTTGTGTATGTTAGTTTTTCATCTCATGATATTCTCTAATTATTGTTGCAATGTTGTTTTACAGAGCCCAGGGGCATCATCTTCTACTCCGAGTTTTAAACTGTTGTCTGCCAGGAATATCCAAAGACCACAGATGAAGTTTAAAGATAAAGTGGACAACAGACCTTTGCCTTTTATCCCTATAATAAAAAACAAACCCAATGCTCTCAAATCTCTAGAAGGTAATTTTTATGTTTTACAAAATGTCTGGGCATAGATTTGCCTGTTTTTGCCCTTAGAAAATTTGCTTTTACAATTTCTTACTGTTTCTAATAACACATTCATTTATTGACAATTATCTTAAATATTTTGGGATTTGGTTTGTACCTTCAACACCAACCCAATGCTCTCAAGGGGCATCTGTAGCTTAATGGTTAAGGCTGTTGGCTTCTAAACACTTGCCCTTCACGGCTGTGGGTTCGAATCCTGTAAGGGACTTTGGATTCTTTCATGTGAGGAAGCTATCCAGCTAGCGAAATTGTCAGTGGTTTTGCTCACATAATTGTGCCTAAACCAATGCACGGAAGAGCATGTAAGGTTTTTCTCCACCAGTAAAGCTGGAAATATGTCATATAATCTCTACTGTCTGTGTTGGTGTGATGTGAAATCCAACCAAAACCAGAAAAAACACAATGATTTCAATTCTCTAGAAAGCAAGTTTAGTTCTCCCTCAAAATTTTGTTTTATTGACTGATAATTTTAAACATATATTGAATGAGTTAGTGTCTTACATGGACCTTTACCTTTGGATGGGATCTCCGGTTGAATTGGTCAGGGTCATTGTGACTTAATGTACATTACAGGACTATTCTTCAAAGTAATGCCAGGTTTTCATCATTTTCAAAGTGACATCTTAAAGTGTATGCCATTGATAAAAGATTTTTACCATCCAGCTAAATTTGTGTTGTGGATTTGATCTGCTTTCATATTATAACTTAACAACATGTATACTTGTTTTTGTTATTCTAGACCTAATAATTTACACATAATTTTCAGAGAGTTTACAGTTACCTGAGGGTGTTACACCGGAGATGGCCGAGAAACCAGATTTCAAGTAGGTACACTAGTTCAAAACACATTCTAGAAAAGTTCACATTGTTAAAAACTTAACTTTCAGTTTGTACTGAAAAACAAAATGTCAAATAATCAAAAGTATTTGTAGAAAGTGTAGGGGTAAGGCGGGGAAAGAATTTTTGGTAGAACAATCAAATAATTGGCTATCTCAGTAAGCCTGCATACTTATGACAAAAATAAAAACTAAAAAAAAAAAAACTTTTGGCTGAACCAAGCTAAACTGGAGTGTTCAATACATGGCACAAAAAGATTCCTATTCATTATATTACATTTTATTATTTGTAAAGATATCCACACCCGTACCAGTATGAGTTGGACAAGTTAACATACGTGGATGGTCAGTTGCTGCCATCAGATATAGTGGAGCCAGCCAGCCTAGACGAGACACCGTGTACTTTGATCAATAAAGTAGAGGAGCTTGCTGGTGTTCTAGATCATCTGAAGAAACAGACAGAGATAGCTGTAGATCTGGAGGTAGTTTCATGTAATTTTGTCGTGATTTATGCTTCGGAGGGATCACTTTGTTTCCAGATTTTTGTTATACAAGTTAAGATCTTGAGTTTTTTCTGTGTCAAAACATGGTTGACTAAGGGTGTCAGACTGGATGTGCTGGTTCAGACACAGTTAGGAGCAAGCTGTTGGTTTCTTGAGCAAGAAACTTTGCTTACATTGCTCAGTATTGGTTGGTTTCAGGAACATAAGAGTGTGTCTATAACCTTCCTACACGATTAAATCAAAATAAATTCTTTACAAAGTGAAAAATGAGTTTTTGAGAATTTTAGTTATTGTTACGCAGGTTTTCAACTGAACACTAAGCATTGCTGTTTATTATTATTGTTCAGACAATCTGTCGGATATATATTATACCTTCTTTTTACTTATGTACAAGTTTGCAATGTCAGAGATGATTCCATTCAACATATAATAAAACAGTGGGGGGAAAATCCCATTTGGTAACTTTGTTGAAATTAAGGGATAACATACAAAATTTAAATGATGAATCTGTCAATCATGGAAAAATATTTCAATTTCAGCACCATAGTTACAGAACGTTCCAGGGTATTACGTGTCTAATGCAGATATCAACACGTTCACAGGATTATCTCATAGATACATTAGATTTACGTAGTGAACTACAGTGTCTGAATGAAGTGTTTACAGATCCGAGTATTGTTAAAGTAAGTTGCTTTATTTGTCTAAAGGACATTTTTCATGCAATCCATCAAGAAATAATTATTGTCTTATACAGTACATCTGAATTATTAAAATGACTGAGAATAATGTAAACATTGTTTCAAGTTTTTATGCTGAAAGTTATTTGAATGCCTGATATAATGTAAGGCATATTTACATTTGGCACAGTAACATTTCAAAGAGTGGCTGACCATAATTATGTCTACTTTTACATTTATGCTTAACAAACAATATGCCTTATTTGAAATATAATGAAATTTATGAAATTTAATGAAACCTATAAAATTCTTACTGAATATGCCTTATTTGAATAATAGAACATACAATGTATGGAAGTCTGTGTTCCTTATTACTGGTCATGAAAAGCTGGTCCTTTTTAAAAAATAACTACCTGTTGTTTTAATGACACTATATATTCATAGTGTGTCAACTTATAGTTTGTAGGATTTAAGGCATATCATATCTACTTTGTGTTAAGTCAAAACATGTAAAACATTATCAATATTTTTAAATATCTTTAACATAATGATGTTTAATTGTTTTGCAAATTGTATTTTAATAATTCATTTATGACCAGAAAAAGAAGTTCACCAAACCAAATGTTAGCCAAATTTTCTACAAATTGTACAAAGTCTTTACTGATGTTTTTATTTTGACTCCAGGTATTACATGGTGCTGATATGGATATAGAGTGGTTACAACGTGACCTTGGTTTGTATGTTGTGAACATGTTTGATACGGGACAGGCAGCCAGGGTGATGAATCTAGGTCGGTTTTCCCTAGCACATCTTCTACAAAACTACTGCAGTATAACAGCTGACAAACAGTACCAGCTTGCTGACTGGAGAATAAGGTAACTTGATATTTTTATGGTAAGGCTAGACATTTAAAAAGTTTATTTCTTGTTTCTGAACAAAAGAGAAAGGTTTTTAATATTTCGTTTTTCACCGTATGTGGGCTGGCAGGCAGCTGTTTAAGTAATTTCCTGGAGATTCCTGGAGGGCCTAATGAAATAAGTGTGTAATAGATTTTAGGTTCAATTTTAACCCTTAACATGCTGAATATTTTAAATGGACTTGTCCTACTTCCATTTTTGGGACTGTTAATAGTTAAAAATTGTCAGCCAACAGTATAGAGCCTGGTCAGACTGCACAGGCTCTCCTGACTCTATACTGGTGGCAAAGGCTTAACACTTTTGGCTCCAGCACTTAAATGGTTAAAAAATGTTTTGTTTTCTGATTATTTAATAGTAATATTTTTGTATTCAGGACCTCTATGGTCAAATGGTTAAAGTCCGTTAAAGTCCCTGACACAAAAATTGTTGGTACAATGCTTGTATTAATGAACATTGAGTCGAGATGGTTTTGTATCTGAAATTTTCAGGCCGTTACCGGAAGAGCTAAAAAAATATGCGAGAGAAGACACACACTACCTGTTACACATATATGACAGAATGAAAAATGAACTGCTGGAACGAGGCAATGAGTCCAAGAATCTTCTCATGTCTGTTCTTCAAAGAAGTGCTAAGCTTTGTACAAAGGTAACATAACATTTTTTGTATGACCTACACAATGTTATTGCAAGAGTTATCCAGTTTTTACATAGACTTTATTGATGCATGGATTTTTAACTTGGCTTTTATAAAATAATTGAGGACTAAACCTAATGTTGGTGTAACACCATACTAAATTAAAAATACATTAGAAGTTTGATAATCCATTAAATTTTGTAAGATATTTGCTTAAAATTTCATATGCATGCATCTTAGGAGTCATTATGTTGATGACCGACAAAATTTTTTTGGATTTTTGTAAACATATTCTACTTAATGTTTGTTACTTCAGCGAATTCCAGATAAAAGATTGAATGCATGTTTTATTTCCAAAACAATAGAAGTATTAACTTTTCATGCTGCACATATCTGTAGAGTCAGAATTGTAAATCAAGACACATAACTCTTGTATGGAATTTTACTGCATTATTCCCCTTTGTGACCCTTTTATTATCAAGCTATTATTGAATTTTACTGTATTATCCCCTATATGACCCATTTATTATCAAGCTGTTATTTGCCTTTGATAGTGTTATCATTACTCTTGGTTCATGTTCAAGCAGCAGTGAGTATAGTCATACTCAATGTCAGAGTGGCAACACTTTCAGGTACTATTGGTTACCAATAGAAGCTGATTCACTTTCAAAACTATAACAGCAAGAAGCTTATTGAAAGGTCAAGAGAAAAAGATCTGCTGCTGCTATTGATGGCTGTCAGATCCCTAAGACATAGTCTTATTACAGTGCAGATTTTAATCAGAATGTTACAGATATGCATTGATTTTGAAGTAAAGTTAAATAATGTGTTACTAATTCTGCTTAATGCTTTCTCGCTAATTCCCAGTGAATGTATATATAAAATTATATGATATATTTTGACATATAGGTATGTTGGGTTTTATCATTTTTCTCTGCTTTATATTGTAGAAATATAGTTCTATTATTAATAACCGCTGTATCTTTTTTATCCATATCTATTTGTTAATTACTTTACATTCACGTTTTTGCGCAAATTTGTCACGTTGACGTTGGCGTCCTAACGGACGTGACGTCAAATACTGTGTACGTTATTCTGATGAAGACAACAGTCGAAACTAGTAAAGATTAAAGAAATATGTGTTGTTTTGGTGTATTTCAACTGATTTACTTATTATGCTGTATATAGGTGTATCGTAAGCCCCAGTGTACACGAGAAGGATACAAGGAATTATATGTGAAGAATAAGAAAGTGTTTAACTCCCAACAACTGCTGGCACTAAGTGAAATGTTTAACTGGAGGGATGAAACAGCCAGACTGGAGGATGAAAGCTATGGGTAAAATTTTAATCAGTTAGTTTAGCTCTGCTTTAAATATAGAGGTGATTTGCCTGCATCACCAATATAAAGTCAGGGTAGCCTGCTTAACTTTACAGTGTCATCATACTGCTGGCACCTTTTTTTTACGTTTTGACATTTAAACAATGTACAGTTCTAAATTGTTTGATGTAGAGAATTTTTTTATCTTCTATCAAATACTGTATATGTTTTAAAATGTTTGATTTATGGTTGAAGAATGATGTATCTACATTGAATATTCTTTAAATTTCCCTTTTGAAATTGAATTGAATGTAATGTTCTTCAAATATTGTTTTTTGTTAAAGGTTAAAGGATACAACTGAACATAAAAAGGATAGCTCATACTGGTTTTTCGAATTTAAAACGGGCTTTTTTAACAGGATATAAAAATGTCCCTTTTGAAATTGCATTGAACATTGTTTAAATATCCTTGTATAAAGTTAAAGAACCCAGCTGTACATAAGTAGCATAGCTCCTACATGTTTTTGGATTACATGCTTTTGTAACATGATATATTTGAAAATTGACTATCACATACAATGTGATTGATGATGCGGAGATATCTTATCTAATTGAGCCGCGTCACGACAAAACCAACATAGTGCGTTTGCGACCAGCATGGATCCAGACCAGCCTGCACATCCGCCCAGTCTGATCAGGATCCATGCTGTTCGCTATCAGTTTCTCTACTTGTAAGTAAGCGAACAGCATGGATTCTGATCAGACTGCGCGGATGCGCAGGCTGGTCTGGATCCATGCTGGTCGCAAACGCAATATGCTGGTTTTGTTGTGACGCGGCTCATATATATGTAACTATTTTCAGGTATGTGTTACCAAATCACATGATGTTACAGATATGTGATATATTACCACGTGAGAAGCAGGGTGTGTTAGCTTGTTGTAATCCTATACCCCCTCTAGTACGACAATACCTTAATGAGATACATGCCATCATTAAGAAAGCAAGAGAAGCTCCGTTACACAAGGTACGTATTTGAGAATGTCTCGTATACTTTTAGTTTAAACATATTTATTGTATATATTATATAATCTGACTACAATATACAAACATTTTAACATCCATACTATCATAATACATGCAAGGGATTTTAACAGAAGCACTAGGTGCTTACTAAAGTCATGAGCTTTTGAAGTAAAGCTCTCATATATGTTACCTGTATAGACTATTTATATATAAGTCCTCCTGCTTAGCTTAATAGAGGGAACATCAGATTAGTAAAAAGAACAATCTTTGGGTGACAATTGATATCTGACATTAATCTAATGGTCATTTCGTTCTCATTACTGATTCAGAAATCATATGGCATTAATTGTGGGCCAAATGTAGAGAACTTGGTAATTACTGTTTAGTTATCTTGGAAATCCAGTAAGTTTGTCCAATCACTGAGATATGACAAACATACAGTACAGATAATAAATAAACATGTACTACATATATTTGTAACTGTTCAATTTGTTGACTCCGATGGTCAAGTTGTTTATATAAGGCTAATATGACAGTCTAAAGCCCAATAACAAGGCCATTATGAAAACACTTAATCATTGACAATTTTATTTATTAACTACACATAATCTAAAAAAGTTAAGTACTTAAGTAACTAATGTGAAATTCTGTTGTTGTGAGGTATTACAAATGAGATTCTTGTTGTAAAAATGTCTCAGAAACCTACGCTGCAGCAATTCAAAATGGCGACTTTTTTCAATTCATAATGGCGGAGCTGGAGAGCCATTCAAAATTCTCCAATCTCATAATAGTCGAGTTTTCTCATAAAGACAGTACATTTTGCATAATGGCCTTGTTTTATGTTCATAATGTCAATGGTAACTTCATATTAGCCTTACATTTGAAGTTAAAACATGCCTAATATTGAAAAGATAATTAATAATGATATTTAATGACTTGACAATCACACCACTTAAGGCTTCAAGCCATGGGCGTTTTCTTTTTTATGTGAAAAAGCAATAAACATTTTATTTTATTTTTCATGTATTTTTCAGGTTGAGCTGGTGAAACATGAGAGGAGACCAACACAACATCAACATCCTAAATATAATGTTGATAGTTTGTTACATTGTCCACATGATCTGTCACACCAGGATAATGTAATCATGGAAACAGATACCTGTCTCCTAGGTAACGAAATTTTAGATTATTTTTCTAGGTATTGTAAGGTTATCCATCTCCCCATGATGTAAACACTGGTGTAGCACCTTTGTTTGTTAAGGAAGGTTTTGTCCTTTTGTTCTAGGAAACCTAGTTTTTACTTTTTACTCCACTATAAAAATTGACTATTCAAAGCGTATGAGGGCTAACCAAGTTGTTTCACTGATAAACTGGAAGCTAAAATTTATGTCATCTATTCTCTTAAAGCAGTATGCCTCCAGATTCATGCTAATTTTCATGAAAATTTTGAAATTGTTCTTAAAAGTTAATAATAATGAAGTAAATTAAGAAGGAAATTTACACATTGCAAATGGCACTTTCAATCCACAATGATAAAGAAAAAAGAGGTCAAAATATGCAAAAATAGCCATTAATACCTTAGCCACACTGTAGAAATATAGTGAAAAATACTGCAAAAAATCACCAAATAGCATGTAAATTTTCACATTAATCTTGAAACTTTTTTTATTCTTTCTTAAAAACTTAGTTAATTAATGTTGTTAATTTTTTATAAAAGCTTGATTATCTTGAAATATTATGGTTCATCTGGAGGCATGCAGCTTTGAGATATACATACACTGTATATGTGAGGATGCTAATTATCTACCTTTTGGAAAGTAAGTTTTTCTACCCTGGTGTCTCTTTGTGCCTGAAATAAGGCAAGGAGGGACATCTTCTAGGGACTCCTCCTTCTGCAGAGTTGACAGATGATGGTTACAGTGTTGTTGAGAGATAAATGCTTGTATATAAATATATTGATATAATTTTCAGACTCGTCCCTGGTGGCAAGAAAGTCAAGTATGTTCTCAAATACAGCTGATAGTGTGATTGTTGTCAAGTCACATCCTTTATTAACTGTCTTTGATTCAAAAGTAAGTTTTTGTATGAAACTTTTATAAATGACTAGCTATTTTACTTTTAGCAATGTGTAAACGATAGGAAAGATAACATGCTTAAGTAGATAAACATTCTTGAAAGGTTAAACATACTGTATAAATGGTTTATATTTAAACAAACCTAAATAGATAAACCTCCTTGATAGTTAAACATGCTTGATAGTTGAGCATGCTTGAATAGTTAAACATGCTTAATAGATAACATTTTTGATAGTTAAGCATGTTTGTCAGTATTTTGTTTTTATTTCAGCCAAATACTAAAGCAGCCTTGACTGCTGTACAGAAAATTGTGAAAGAAGTCAAAGCTGGCTTGACCAATCCATATGAACAGGTAGGTTTTTAAATGTTTTACACTAATACATTGACAATTTAGGGACATTTTGTGTTTGTCCAGTTCGTGGAACTGCTTTGTGTTAAAGGACAATTTGTAATAATGAGCAAAACATATTCTTGTAACACTCTTTTTATAGTATTGAAACCATGCCTTTTTTGCAAATGAAGGGTCATAGTTTCTCCACTGGTATTGGTCCATGCTGGGGGGGGGGGGGGGGGGGTAGTTGTCTGGTTCCAATGACAATTCTTGTTTATTTTTATGACAGTGTGTTTAAAATCCTTGTAGTTGATATCAAAACAATGTACCAAACAGACTTTTATCAATTTTCAAAGTATTATTTCTACATTTATATACGGTCAACAAATTTAGGGAGCGAAAAGTACAACATATTAAGACTTGTGATTAGCAATATCTACTAGCCACATAAGGGTTTTAACAAGCCAAAAAAGGTTGACTTTAAAAGTGGGAAACAAATCCAGAATAATGAGCTATGCAGTTTATAGTTCTATTTCCAGAATGGAGGGTAAATGAGTGTTTCATTTGAAATTCAGTCATTTCATTTTCAGAAACTAAGGTGATAATTTTGCTGATTTTTCACATGCCATTCAGACTGGTTACTTGTAAAATTTGATGGTTCTGAAGCAAAGTCTACTAGCCATGGGCTTGAGTGCAAGTGCAAAATTGGCACACTGTAGTTTACATACTTATTACAAGAATTATAAAGAAAAATCATTATATGTAAAATGTATTATATACACAAATCAATATATGAATATATTTACCAATATATTATGTATAGTTGATGAAATGAGCTTTGTATTTTTCATATTACCAGTATATTCCGGTTGATGCAAAGAAAGGATCTTCAGTCATCAGACCTGCTAAATTACCAGGTGATAAGGCTGAAAGTATAATGGTAAGTTTTCTCCAGATTTGATGACCTGTTACAAAGAAACAGTCTGTAAGGTTTATATTTATGTAAAATACATAAAGACTACCTTACGTCACACGACTACCCGACAACACAAGACTACCTTACAACACATGATTACCTCAAATCACATAACTACCTTACATCACATGACTACCTAACATCACATAACTACCTTACATCTCATGACTACCTCAAATCACATAACTACCTTACATCTCATGACTACCTCAAATCACATAACTACCTCAAATCACATGACTACCTCAAATCACATAACTACCTCAAATCACATGACTACCTTACATCACATGACTACCTTACACCACATGACTACCTTATTTCACATGACTACCTTACATCACATGACTACCTTACACCACATGACTACCTTACATCACATAACTAAATTTAATGAAAACAATTCAGTTACAGCTTCATTTTGAAATGAATGCTTAACATATACTGATATGGTAGTTGTATTATATCGTCAACTTAGTAAAGTAATGGGTTAACTTCTATTAAGTTATATAATGAGTTAACCCGTTACTGCACTAAAGTGACAATATGTGTGTAATATAAAGAAATACATTATGGTTATACTACATAAAAAGACAAGGGAAGTCATGCAATAAATACAATTTTTTCATTTTACACAGAAAAGTCCACCATGGAAGTTGCTGCCGTCATCAGTAAAGAGGAAGTCAATAGAGGCTGATGGTGCTAATGGTTCAGGTATTGATTTCAAGATATTTCCTTTATCTTGAGTTTGATAAAAACTTGAAGGTCCCCAGTATAATTTTGCAAAAACTTTCTTTCTTGACTATGCAAAGTATTTGGAAAGCTGTTTTACTTACCCTGGTGATTGTGTCCGTTTAAAACATGTAAAAAAACAACAACATAATATTCACCACATGTAAAACACATGCTTTTCAAAACAAATGAAACAAATGATTTACATATGGAAAACATTTTGGTGTGCTAAACAAATGTTAAACATGTAGTATATTTTTACCTGTGTTGAGAAAAATATGATGTAAAGAAGTTAACTTTTTTCAGCTCCGCCCAGTAAGAGGTCACGCACAGATTTACATGGTAACAGTTCCTCAGTGAACCAGCATATCAGGTTTGAAGATGGAGACCCGAACCCTAGCACTGAGAAAACTGAAGATGATAAGAAGGCACTGCCACAGGATGTTGAAATACCTCTAAGGTTTCAGGTAATTCATAGATTATAATCATATGATATGTATTGTCTGGAGACTTTATTGTTTTATACAGTTACAGGTTGGGTCTGGTATATAATATGTTCAACATTGTTTGATAACTATAAACTTAAAACTAAAATTCTATTTTTGAGTCTGTTTATAAGTGGTAAGTTAATGTGCAACATCTCTTATGTCCCCTAGCACTGGTTTATTTATTCAGTTTCTTATTTCACTAATTTTATTGCAGAATAACCTCAGACTTCATGCACTCAATCTCCATTTATTTTAACATGGAAAAATTACGGTCACATTACTTATATTACATAAATTTAGTCATTCTAATTCAAATTTCTTAACTGTTAAAGTATGCCTTTGGAGATACCCTTGAAGAATAAGTAATTTAATATAAAGAAATCAGAAGTTGGGTAGTTTAGCCGGTGATAAGATACATGAGAAATGTTGCACATTATCTTACATAAACAGACCCAATAAAACCCAATCTGCAACTATATCCTTTGTTTTAATTAGTCTAGATTGATTTCCCCTTTTCCAGATTTTTACGTATTCATTAATTTCCAGGTGCCATCAAAGAAAAAAAAGAAGGAGAAAAGACAAGATATAGATATTATAGAAAGTGTTCAGAAACATTTAAGCCATTTGAGAGAGCTAGAACGGACCAATGATGTGGCTCTAGGAGAAAATCCAGACGATCAGCAACCTTTTAATTTAGCGGAAAAGATAAAGGAAAAAATGGAACAGAGGAAGTTAAAAAGGAAAATGAAAAAAGACAAGAAAAAGGGAAAGCTAGGTGATGCTGAACCAGTGGTTGATTTGACAATGGAAACAGCAGAAAATTTATCTGTAACTGTGAATACAGGAAATAAATCTAGAACAGTGAATAAAGAAAGTGACAACAGAACTGAGAATAAAGGAAGTGAAGAAGCTATAGTGATACTAGATGATGATAAGGAAGAGGATAAAGAGGAAAGTAAAGGATTTAAACCGTATGATTATGCAGAAGGTGCTAAGAAGTTATTACAAGGTATTGGATGTTTTATATCCTCTGGGTGGCCATAATTAGTTAACCTAAGCATTTTACAGTGCTAGTTTGATACACAATATTTCCTTATGATCCAAGCGTACTATGATAAAGAAATTTTGCAGATACATTGAATTTGCTTTGCTGTATAAAAATATACAACTGTTTTCTTTATTAACTGACATTTGTTGAGACTTTCTGACATACACAGTAAGGGTGTTGACTCTAGGACAGGGACGAATTTAGGACACCCGACGATAATTTCTTTTTTGTTAGGTATATTATAGCCATTATTTTATGTTTGTATGTCTGGGTACAGGACATGTTCACCTAATCATCAGGAGCTGATGTAATACTTAGATATCCCAGTGTCAAAAAAAGCTCTTCCCGAACAGCAAGTAAATATCAAACTGTACAACTACTAAGATAGAACTGTTTTGACTTGTTTCTTTAAAGAAGTGACAGATTATATGATCATACACATGTTAGATATTTAACAAGTTTTTATTCACAGAATGATCCACAGTGATTAACCTTACATTTTAGCTCACCTGTCACAGAGTGACATAGTGAGCTTTTGTGTTCGCTTTTCGTCCAGTGTCGGTCTGTCCGTAAACTTTTACTTTAAACGACATCTCCTCATAAACCGCTTAGCCAATTTCATCCAAACTTCACAGGAATGTTTCTTTGGTAGTCAACTTTAAAAGTTGTTCAAAGAATTTAATTCTAAGCAGAACTCTGGTTGCCATGGCAACCGAAAGAAAAAACTTAAAATATCTTCTTTTAACAAGCCCAAATAGCTAGAGCTTAGATATTAAGCATGAAACATCTTCTAGTGGGTGTCTACCAAATTTGTTCAAATAAATGCCCTGGGGTCAAAATTGGTCCTGCCCCGTGGGTTATTGATTTTCCTTATTTGTATATAGTAAAAACTTTAAAAATCCTCTTTTAAAAAATCCAAATAGCTAGAGCTTACAAAGTTTGTTCAAATAAAAGCCCTGGGGTCAAAACTGGCACCGCCCCAGGGGTCATAATTTTTCCCTTTATGTATATAGTAAAAACTTAAAAAATAATCTTTTAAAAAGCCCAAATAGCTAGAGCTTAGATATTAAGCATGAAACATCTTCTAGTGGGTGTCTACCAAGTTTATTCAAATAAGGACCCTGGGGTCAAAATTGGCCCTGCCCCAGGGATCATTGATTTTCCTTATATTAATATGTATATATTAAAAACTTAAAAAGTCTTCTTTTAAAAAATCCTAAGAGCTAGGGCTAAGATATTTAGCATGAACTATCTTCTAGTGAGTGACTACCAAGTTTGTTCAAATTAAAGCCCTGAGGACAAAAATGGGCCCGCCCAGAAAGGGGGGGGGGGTCATTGTTTTTCCCTATATGTGTATAGTAAAAACTTTTGAAAAATCTTCTTACAGCTAGAGCTTAGATATTTATCAAGAAACATCTTCAAATGGGTGTCAACCAAGTTTGTTCAAATAAAACCCCCTGGGTTAAAATTGGCCCTGCCCTGGGGGCCTATATACAGGTGAGCGATTTCAGGGCCATCATGGCCCTCTTATCTAAGAAAACTATCCATCTTACACTTGATGGAATGATTTAAACAAGCCATCAGCTGCTGGCCTATCAAAATATTACATGGAAAAGCTCCTGAGGTTATCAAGCCCTAGTAAAGGCAGGGATTGTTGCCGGGTAACATAAAACAAATCCAGAATAGTATTCTTAAAACAGTGAATGAACTTTTCAATGACTTTCAGTAATGTTTTGTAATCATTTAAAGAATGTTTTTAATTACAATTTCAGGTAATTCATCGAAGGATTCAGATTATTATGACCCACAGTTTCAAAATAGAAGAGGAAAAAATAAGGTCAGTTCTTGTACATATTGAAATTTGCCCCTTCCATTTATGTAATTTATATTGAATGACTTTAGGTTCAATACCAAATTTATTTATTTATGAACGAGTTCAATAAAATTATATTATGCAAGCCTCTGGCGAGAGGTAAACTTTTGTTGACTGTAGTACACTTCCATATTATTGTTGCTTGTTTATCAGCTAAGGGTGTTGCATTTTGTTAACGTACTTTACAGAGGGTATACTAAGTGTATGGTATTTTCAAAGGGTTAGAAGTTTACAAGTAGAGCATTTTAACAGTTAATCGTGTATGACAAAATTGTCCCTCAAGTTGAAGATTATGTCAACAAAATTATTTGAATTATCATATCATAAAAAACCGAGTCCTAATTACAGATCTTTTTATCACTTTCAGGGATCGAGAAGTAAAGCTTACAGTAAAAGAGGACAGAAAAGTTACTCATGGAAACAAAAATAGCATTAAACATGTTTATGTTTTTGTTTGATGAAGGTTTTGAGCCAATGTCATATTGACAGCTGTAAACATTAGATATAATATAATGTAGAAAAAGTGAAATTAGTATGCAAAACATACAAAATCATGAACATTTTTCTTAATGCTGCATGCTTCAAGACGAGCCAAAATATTTTTTTAAAAAAGCATCGTTGAGAAAAAATGTACATGTACTAAGTTAAAAATTTTCACAATTAAAAAAATAATTTGTGTTATATACAATTAATGTTATTGTTAATTACTATAAACATAGCAATTATCAGACAGTATTTTCAAAATATCAAATTTGAAAAGAATATATCTTTATAAAAATATCTTTAAAAGAAAGTTAAATTTATTACTGTTCAATGCTTTCTTTAACATTTTGATAGTTTTCTGGTATTCTGAAATATTTGAAGTATTAAATTTGTTCATTATATTATGACAAGATATTTTTATAGTTCATCTTGTTACAAATGTTTATTTGGTCTAAAATTTTAATGGTTGAGGATTTTGTTATGGAATTGAATTTCACAGTTTTTATTGTTTTGCAAATATAATTTACACTTAAGTGTATTATACAGTATATCTTAACATTATACCTTAAGTTTTTGTGTCGCCTTGAAAAAAGCGACATATAGGAGTTACTTTTGTCGGCGGTCATCTCGCATGTCTGCTCAGTGAGGGTCAAGATTTTTCAGATTTTAAAAACGGAAAATGCCAAGAAAATTTTTGAAAGTTTTTCTTTGTGAAAATTATGATTACATATGTTAAACTTTAATAACTATTCTGGTTCTAAACACAATAATTTGCCAATTTAACCGGGCCTACTAATGGAACGGCAAGGACGGGATTTAGCATAATCCGTAACTATGTAATAGCAACAACATCAACAAAAGTAAAATGGAAAAGGCTTTTAACATAATTGTTACTAGTCATTAGTTGTCATTAAAAGTTATAATGATAAAAAAGAAACAAATTGTTCACTTTTCATAGTTTATTTATTTTTTGCATGTGTTTAAATATAACTGCATACTAAAACAAATTAAAAAAGACTTGAAAGCTTAATTTTGCCTGGCAATCGATATATTGCTGTATCGCTGATAATTCATTACCGATATATCGATACAAAAATCCTTATCGATGACACCCGTATGATAGATCTCATTAAGAAGAAGTGCAGTGCTCAAGAAATGGTACTCTGCATTTCGTATTTTTTTAGTTATTACCCTTTGTTAATTTTCATACTTTATTTGAGTCAAGGCCATTTCTCCTAAAGTATAAAAGCTAGGGACTTGAAACTTCATAGGATGATAGATCTCATTAAGAAGAAGCGCAGTGCACAAGAACTGGTACATCTTTCCAGGCCATTTCTCATAAATTAAAAATTTAAAAACTTGAAGTTTAATAAGTGTTTATTTATTTAAAGGAGTGCACAGAAAATGCTGCTCTGCTTTTTCTTTTTTTTTGAGTTTTTCCCCTTTGTTAATTTTATTTTCTTTTTTCCCTGGCCATTCTCCTAAACTCATTTTTTTCACAGGCGACACACCCGATTTTGTGAGCAATTGTTTTGCCAAAATGTTAATTTTACAAAAGTTTGTCGATTAATTTGAACAGCTATACATGTATATTAAACTGAAAAATCTTCATGAATCATATTGCTTATATGTCAGATAATTGGCAATTATAACAGTTAAGTGAATAAAGATTTTAGAGAATGTGTATGTTTGAATGTGTTTTCTCCTTCATGTCGTTTTAAATCCTTATTAATGCTTGCTGCGATAATAACTTGTTTAGTATCACCAGTATTATAAGGTGACAGGCCATCCTGCACTTCAGTAAGTCTAGCTAACGTTCTATACTGATATGATGACAATTTTAGATTTGACATGAGAATTTTTAGCACACCTGAGCACAAGCTCAAAGTGAGCTAATTAAAATGGATTTTGATGAAACTATACAGGAACGATCCTTAAATGGTCCTCTATAGATTTTGCTCAAATGGTTCTGTCACGGTCACCCCTTCTACTAGTAGATCTATTCACATGAAATTTTATAGGAATGATTACTTCACTTGAAAGACTATACTGAATATAGCAACACAATTGCCATTTTTAGCTCGACTATTCGATAAGAATAAGTAGACTTAGTCACCCGGGCGTCGGCGTAACCACTTATGTTAAAGTTTTTGTAATAGTTCAAATATTTTCAAAGTCCATTGACAGATGGCTTTGAAACTTTGCACACTTGTTCACCATCATGACCTCAACCTGTAGACAGGAGGAGGTAACTCTATCAAGCATATTGACAGAATTATGCCCCTTTTTCGACTTAGAATTTATGTTAAAGTTTTTGTAATACCTCAAATATTTTCAAAGTCCATTGACATATGGCTTTGAAACTTTGCACACTTGTTCACCATCATGACCCAAACCTGTAAACAGGAGGAGGTAACTCTATCAAGCATTTTTGACAGAATTATGCCCCTTTTTCGTCTTAGAATTTACGTTAAAGTTTTTGTAATACCTCAAATATTTTCCAAGTCCATTGACATATGGCTTTGAAACTTTGCACACTTGTTCACCATCATGACCCCAACCTGTAGACAGGAGGAGGTAACTCTATCAAGCATTTTGACAGAATTATGCCCCTTTTTCGACTTAGAATTTACGTTAAAGTTTTTGTAATACCTCAAATATTTTCAAAATTCATTGACATATGGCTTAAAAACATGTTGAAATTTTATACTCTTCTTTGAGAGCATAATAGGACTCTCTCCAAGGCCTATAACTGTAATATGGATTTAAAGAAAAATTTTGCCTTTTTCTTTACTTAGAAAATTTTAGAATTTATGTTAAAGTTTTTGTAATACCTTAAATATATTCCAAGTCCATTGACATATGGCTTTGAAACTTTGCACACTTGTTTACCATCATGACCCCAACCTGTAGACAGGAGGAGGTAACTCTATCGAGCATTTTGACAGAATTATGCCTCTATTTTTACTTAGAATTTATGTTAAAGTTTTTGTAATACCTCAAATATTTTCAAAGTTCATTGACATATGGCTTTGAAACTTTGCACACTTGTTCACCATCATTACCCCAACCTGTAAACAGGAGGAGTAACTGTATCAAGCATTTTTTTTACTATCAAGCACTAAGAATAGTCGAGCGTTGCTGTTCTACCGACAGCTCTTGTTCAATTGATTACCAGTCACGTAAACGCTGGCCAGGAGCACGAACGGAAACAATGACATCACATTTTAGGTCATCAAAACTGGTAGCTACAGCAAGCCTATTAATACCGATGTGTTTATAATGATATCTTGTTCATGCATACCATATATATAGATGAGCGATAAATGATCTAAATGGCTTTTGTTAAATTAATAATGTGCTGTCAGTAGGAGAAGTAAAATAAGTGAATATACTTTGGTAAATGTATAGAATACAAAGCAGAACTGATCGAGTACCAGAGTTATTTTGAGCTTCTACCAGCTCAGTTCAATATGAAATCAAGGATCACTGGTTCTATCCCTCAGGCGATTCGAAATTTTTGTGACAAATGATCTTTGACAAAGGAGTGGCAATATGAAGAGTATGTTCATCACATTTTCATTTAGATACAATTCCTGTTTCTAATTTAGAAGATATCACAGTTGCAAACTACATATAATAAGAATCAGCGCTACGTTTTTACACCGATACTTTACGCTGCGAAATCACTTACAGTAAAAAAGTTAAGAATCAGTTAAGATATCTTTTATAGAGATTGAAAATGTTAGACATTAAAAGGCAGATATAAAAATAAGTAATCTAGAATTTGCAAGTCATGTTGATGAAGCTTTCATCAAAAGCAGAGAAGATCATTTTTAAGTTAGAAATTAGTACTTAAGATACTATAGAAAAAAAGCAGCAGAGTATCACAATATTTTAAGTTACTTTTTATGGCTACTTATCTATGGCCATGAATGGTGGCGTATAGTAATTGCACTGTCCGTCCTTCCGCCCGTCCGTCCGATAATCTTGTCCGCGCTTTATCTCCAAGACCGATAGGGGATTTCAGTGAAACTTCACAGGATTATTTGTCGAAAAGCCTAGTTGTGCATACTCTCTTGATTTTTCACTTGATTTTTTTTGCACATTTATGGCCCCTTAATGGTTATTTTCGAGTAAATAAGCTTGTCCGCGCTTCATCACCAAAATCGCTAGGGGAATTTCAGGACTGTTTGCATACTCTCTTGATTTTCCGCTTGATTTTTTTTTTTGCACAGTTATGGCCCTTTTATGGTCAATTTTCGAGTAAAATAAGCTTGTCCGCCCTTCACCACCAAAACAGCAGGGGGAGTTTCAGTGAAACATCACAGGATTGTTTGTCACCGTGCCTAGTTGTGCATAGTATCTTGATTGTCCGCTTGAATTTTTTTACACAATATCAATGCTTCCTTGCGGGGTCTTAAGCCAATTTTAGTGACATATCTTGTTATTTCTGTAATATATACAAATAATTGATATTGTAGAAGGAAATAAAGTAAATAAACTGAGATTATTATATAAAAAGAATCATCGTTGTTATCGAATTGTATCACGAAAAATAATTTCCCTGTAACATTCGAACAATGTCTTCTAAAACTAGAAATAATTGTGAATAATCTCTTAACAATGGACGCTGATCTGTGCATGTTTTAATTAAATTTCCTTAACTGCGAAGAATTCCTGATTCACGTGTCTAACTTACGTATAATTTTTCCGCGTTGTGTAATTTAATTGAATCATGTCTATGTCTCATTTCTTTAATATGAAATGAAATGTTTTTTTATGATATTAATGATAATAATTGTTTCTGTTCATGTTGTTTTATTTGTTTGGTTAACGTCATAGATTTTCTAAGATGCCGAGTTACAAAGGAATATCATGTTTTTTAATTTTTATTTTATTTCTCCAGACCACCACTGCTTTAATTCAGCGGTTTAAATCTGTGACACTTAATTGACCGTTGCAGAATCTCCGCGTATTTAATGACAAAATCTACATTGGAGGCACCAATATGCTGTACATACTTAATAATGACTTAAGCATAAGTCAGTTAACTAGTACATGTATCAGTATGTGGATTCCGTGCGGAAACATTAATAAAGTTTTACTTA